TCGAACCTATGGATTGTAATGCTAGAATAAGAACTCTGCATCAAGTAAGATAATTATAAGGAGCTCAACTCTCGAGAAAATCGGCTTATTCTTTTCGATAATGCATTTATATTAATCTACGTCGGCCGGAATTTTAATCTGAAATATAATCTCACGTGTTGTCCTTTGCAAAATATACAATACATACGTACAAGGAGGATTCCTTTTGTCGTGATTTTGCAATCCCCCAGCCAACCCCCAACCCCCACTACAAGTGCGTAAATCCCATCTTTGACTTCTGCCCTGAACACAAAAAGGTTGCCATTCTTTTCATCCACTCAAAATGCGACCCTCTGCCGAGGAGAGAATCTTAAACAGCAATCATTCGCAGTAAAACTTTAGGGTTTCTTGGGGTTGAAAATCCTTGTAGACTTTTACTTGCATCAGTCACCAAAAATGGCGGTATTGATTTGCAAATTCCAAAAAACACAGATGTTATGCCAACATGAACAGCAACCAGTTCAATTTGGAACAAGGAATCAGAAAAAAAAGGAAAACGCGCACTGGAATTGTTGCCCTTCTAAGCAGAAACCCCGAGATGATATTGACAGTCTGTTCACAATACTTTGTATGGAACAAGGAATATCAGCACAAGGCATAGGACCACAAAGAACAAGGATCATGACGCTATACGAATACGAGAGCGCAGTGAAGCTACAAAAGGGGACATAACTCCTTGATTTGAAAAATATCCCACAAGTTCTGGAAAGCTTTCTTGAAAGCTCATTTATGTGGTATTTTCAGGTAAAATGCTCATTCAAAAATAATCCTAGAATCTTGACGTGTTTTGTCCATTGGATTCATTTTGGGCCAAACTTAAAATTATTGATGTCGGTTAACTTCTTCAAAAGGGAATGAAAGAGAACAAAGTTAGTTTTGTCAGTATTGTATGCAAATTTATAACAGTCCATTAATGTTGATAGTTTTTGGTGAGAAATATGAGATCATCTGCTTTAAAATAGATATTTATGATATCAGCAAACAGAAAAAATGACAATAGCTAGGAAGAATTAGGTAGGACCCTCACTTGTAGATGAGAAACAGTAGGGGACAAAGGACTGATCCCTGGGGAACACCACAAGTTATATCACACAGACTTAAAGAGAACCATTAAATTGAAAAAATTGTTTACGGTGATTGTGGTAAATATGGAACTAATACTTTCAGTCAAGGTAGTCAATGCATGCGCTGTGAAAATCTCCAAACCAACACAGACTAAGTATCTACAGGCTATGGGGGGTAATGACAAGAATATCTAGAACTCTACAGAACATGTCTCCACAGCTTTCCGACAGCAGTCATTGCCATTGACATGAAAGCAAGGTTCTATCTTCTCACTTTCCAAGGTTCTCTCCCACAACAGGCTACCGACCATACCTTATTATACGCGAGTAAATTGGATTTCAAAATATGTGGTAATTGACGCGATTCAACGAAATTGAAATATTCGAATGGTTTTTAATGAACGCAACTTTTTCAGCAAAACCATTTTTACTGAGACACATTCAAGTCAAGTACGGGAAAAACAAAAAAAATTACAGAAAAACTTCAAGACAGGGTGGATTGGAGATTCTAATAAAGGTATTAGTCACGTTTGAAGAGCCTGAAAAATTGTCCATTTTAGTGGCTAACGTGAAAGAGGTCGAGTATCCGTTGTCCAGGGGTGTCACTTCATACTTTTTGTTGGAGGGGGGGGGGGTTGCTGCATTTTTGCCCTGCGAAAAACATATTGCCATGCCAAAAGATGAAAAAGCCATGGAGGAAAATGAAAACTATAGATGTTTTAAAGGTATATTATTGTTTAAGAGTGATAAATTACGTTGTTTTTTGTCCTAAGACGTCACACTTTTGCTTTGACAACTTTTTGATAATTAGACATGGGTTGGGTGGGCAGGGTCGCAATTAAAAACCTTTCCTCTCTGTTGTACAACTTCAGGTTGTCTTGTAACGTGTGAGAATTAAACTATGTCAAGATAAAGTTTATATACATAAGGCCAATGCACACTGGCACGCTTGTTCCTTTAGTCGTACAAAGACACAATGTAATGCTTACTCAAAAGCACTACAAAAGCCCAAGCGGCACCTAAAAGGCGTGCCCTGTCACATAATCAACCTTCCCCCCCCCCAACAAGGCCAGTCACTTGACGACCCAGATTCCCTTATTTGAGAAAAGCTTTTGTATTGGATGTCGCCAATGGTTACGAGAAGTACTAATCAGGAAAACGAGAGCGAGAAAACAACTCGGAATGTTTCTATATGGAGACAAAATGGAGTCTCTCGAAAATTGAGAGCCTGCACCCCCCTTTCTTGACATCCATAGCGACGGCCATGTCAAAGCATTTGTTCAGGCATTATGGTGAATGCGGCAAGGGTTTGCTGAAGGGAGAATGATGAACTCTTTTAAATCAGCAACTCTTTCTAATTGTGATCAAAAGCAGACGGTGGTACACCAAAATCAAGAATCAAGATAATTCCTTTGAGGGGCGTTGCATTGACACATTGAAACCAAATCACAACTAACTGAGAACCTATGAAAGAATTTATACTTAGCGATACAGATCTAATTATTGTCTTCGGAGCTCCACGTTATTAAAAAAAATCAAAAGTTGTACGCGCCCGAGACTTTGAAGAAGTAGAAACAGTGATTCCCTTGCATGTTTTGGATGCTAAATCAGGGAACAAACTAAATGGCGTTTTATTGAACCCGACTTATGTGGACACTGGACAGAACATAAGAAAATCAGTGATACACGGTCCTTTTGAGTAGCTTAACTACAGTGACCCTTTTCGAGGCATTTCACTTACTCACTGCCCACGCCACCGTGGGGAGGGGGGGGGGGGTGCCATGGTCTCCCCATTTTTTTACTAAGCAAATGATTTCAAAGCGGCAATAAATGAAAGAAGCCTTGTCGCTTGGGCCCTGCTACTTGCTCTTTTTATAAGAACCAGTAAATTGTAAGTTTCAGGCTGACTGTTCTTAGTTTTTTTCCGAAAATCTGAGGCTAGATTGTTCTTGATTTGTTCACAAAATAATAAAGTGTAAGCAGTGCAATTGCTAGCTTATTTGCTCTAGGGAGAAATCAGGCCTCTTTTGCCGACAAAGTGAATAAGGCAACATTCATTTGCCGACAAGTTTGAATATTCACGGAAAAAGCACCCACGCATGGTTTAAAATCCTCGTTTTGGAAGATAAAACATTATTCAAGATTGCATTTTTTCTTCGGGAGATGTATCATACCCGTCCTCCAGACATGCACTAGCCCCCATTTCAGGGTCATTGCATATGCACATTATCACTTGAAGCCCTGGCGGGAAGTTGTGTGGACCCAGGCAGAACAGCTGTGCGAATAAGGTTATTTATGCGCATGTACTGTGGCCCTGCAACACTGATTGGTTTAAGACGGTATTGTTTCGAAACAAATGACTGAAGGTTTCGTCTCCCGAACAATTTTACAGTAGCTCTTAATAATTCTTAACTTTTGACCAATTTTGATGCTCGTGCTCTTATCAAATTGTTCTTATAAAAAAAGAGTGTAATTGTAAATTGGACAGAAATCTTCGCAGTACACACTATATAAGCAAACTGATTATTAAATCCTCATAACAAATAGAATAATATCACTCACCTCCATCCATCTTCTTTCTTTTACAGGCAGCCTCTTCAGTTGAATCGACACATATTCACCCTTCTCCTAGCAAAACACAAAAATGGTTTTCGATCAATTTACTTGTTTTGCCTTTACTTCATCGCAAGCAATAGCTGATTAAACACATAGGTGGAGGGAAAATGCTAGGAATGTTAGCTATTAAACCTTATTTCGTTTTATCTTTGAAAAAGAGCATTTGATCAAAATCAGTTTTTGTTAAAAGCTAGAAATGATCCATTTTGCACAAAAATGCTTTAGAAACAGTACCACAATTCAAAATTTGATAGGTAAATTCGATATCCGAGACTCCAAGCCCTGAAAAAAGTTTTAGGTTTATTTCCTTATACATAACTGCCACTTTTGCACCATCGATGGCAAATCACGATGGCACCTGAAGATTGATCAAACATATCAAAATACCAAGTAAAGAATTATTTAAAAAAGTATTAAATTATCGATATTATATTAAAAAAGCACAATATTTGCAATCAACCCATTTCCAACCTCGGTAATGTCAAACGTTTTCTTCTATACGAATCTTTTCTATACGAATCTTTTCTATAAGAATGTTGAGGCTCGAAATTAGTGAAATAAAATAAATGGTTAAGAATAGCAGTTTTAACTGATCTATTGCACGCATGGTAGGCTCGCTTTTTCGAAAGTTACGAAACAACCCTACCCAAATTGAAAAAAGCTAAGAAACTTTTGTAATTTGCAGTTTTAATTTGGCAATCGAAACATTGAACATCACTGTATATTGCAACACTACACTTGACATGCAGTTTGCATTCATTCTCAGTAACTTGCACACTCGAGAACTTTCCATTTAAAAATTTCTTTGAACTTCAACTTGACATTGACGAAGTTCAATGAGCTTAACTGTTTACAGATCTCAACAGAGTTAGTCATTCTAGGAAAACAAAATTCCCTGATGTGATCAATTTGTTAAAACCTGGCAAATCTTTAGGTCCCAACAGCATTCCTACTAAACTTCTAAAACATCTTTGCCCTCTGATCAGTACTCCGCTCTTTCAGATCATAAATGAATCTTTTCAATCTGGTACTTTTCCTAACAAGATGAAATTTGCCAAAGTAATTCCTGTGTTAAAAAAGGTTGTTCAATTACTGCTTCTAATTATCGTCTCATATCTCTCTTATCTGTCTTTAGCAAAATTTCTGAAAAAGTCATATATAAGCGTCTATATGACTTTCTAGATAACAGGGCATTTTTTAAAAATTTTCCACTGGTGGGGCATTTGAGAAAAGGGCATATAGATAAAAGGCAGAATTTACAGATAAACAGGCTTTCAAAAATATTCTTAAAACATTGTTATAGACCATAGAACAAAATCACTGATCGCTAGTTTATAACTAAAAGTGTCCATCTTTTCTGAAAAATTTCTTTACAAATTGACGTCTGCTATAAGTTTTAAAGTCTGGTTCTCGGTTTCTTCGTTCTTTTGCAGCACGAAAATGAGCAACAGCAGCTGTTGGGTCATAGTGAGCAGTTCCAATGCCATTCAATGCAATGAATTAGCGAGAATTAATTGTATCATCTGTCATTGATACTCTTGCATTACTGGCCACGATATTGTGATGCGAAACAATGTGTTCTGTTTGCATGGAATGTGGTGATAGACTCATAATGGCAGCAAATATTTTGTGCACAATTCCAGTCGTTATTGCTACTAACTTGCGCAAACGAACTGAGAGATTTGAACCGATATCATTGCCTTCTGGGAGAAATTCTACATCTTTGATTTTACTCCATTGCTCGCAACTGTCATCAGCAAACTTACCCTCATGGCCAGGGAAAAGGCGTTTTACGAAGGAAATACCTGCTTTTACAAAAACAGACAGTGAATTTGTGGTGCGAATTGCGAGGGAATTTTTTTTCTTCCCAAGCAGATTCCAGCTGTTGTTGATTTTTGCTGCTTTATATATTGAAGATTGTAGGTGGTCTATAACCAATTTGAGTCTGTCCTCCCCATCTGCTCTAACTCCTTGTGCAATAGCAACTGACCCATTCTTAGAAAGCTTTTTCGCTTCGTCTTTGTGCTCTTTGCATACTTTGCAACGTACATGGATGCGCTTTCTCCCATTTCTTACAGCTTCAAATTCCTGTAATTCAGAGAATTGTGCAATAATGCCTGTTAAACTCAGCTTAATTCCATGATAATAATGACTTGAGACACCATTTGCAGAATTATCAATTTTTTGCTCTTCTTAAATTTTTTCCAGAGCAGCAACCTCTTTTTGTACTTCTCCTTGTGAACTTTCTCCTTGTGGTCTTCCTTGTAGACCCCGATTCCTTGTTCTCCTTGAGGTGTTCCTTGAGTATTTCTGGAACTGCTTTTAAATGATTGATGACATCGCGATCAGAATTATTAGGTGGGATGCTGGCTTTAGGTCACATGGGTACTCTTGTACCCTCACCCTGCTGTTGCTGTGTATTAAAAGAAGATGTTATTTTGCTGCATTTGCTGGCAATAGTCGTTGCTTGGTCTTGTTTCCTTTTCTCATTTCTTCCCGCCCTTGGCATCTTCTTTCATAACAGCTCTAGCAAGTGTAAAACAAAATTCTTTGCTTTGGGTTTTAAAAAAAACTAAGGGGGGGGGCACTTGGCACACAGACATACGGGGGGGTCAGTCCGATATTTTTGGTTCAAATGTTTGCCAAAAGTGATATTTTTGGGTTAAATATTTGTCAGAAATGATATTTTTGGGTCCTGCGAAAATAGTAGATACAATTCTGATATTTCTAGGTATCAAATTTAGAAACACTGATGTTTTTGGGTATTCGGGAGATTTCCATATCCGAATCAAATGTATTGTTCATGGATCTAATTTGCTGAGGTTTATTTTACCCACTTCAAGTCACGTCGGGAGTCATGTTACCATACTCTTTGGAAATTTTAATGCAACTTTTTGTACTCACTGTAAACTTTATATGACACGAAATATGCTAGAGTTTCAATTGTTATGAATATCCAAATTGAACATTTGCTCCATGTGTGGTAATGGCAACTGCAACTATTTACGGCTTTTTTGAATTGCAGATCTTATAAATTACAGCTATGTCATGATATCACACCCAAAATTCCAATTTGTGATATTTTTGGGTACAAGATATCAGTAAAACTGATATTTTTGGGTCTTATTGAAAATGAGCTGATATTTTTGGGTGGCCTTTAAATTTCTTGGACTTACCCCCCCCGTATGTCTATGTGCAGAGTGCCCCCCCCCCCCTGGGAAAAAAACATTACAGTTTTCCCACTTACAAAACCGAGTTCGTTCAGCAGCAGGTACCTTTTACATCGTTCTCGTGTGGCGCCACGTGCTCTCAAGCACAGTGTGCCTAGCTTGAAATATGAGCTTTCCAAATTACAGACTTTGTGAATTGGAAAGGGAATCACCTATAGAAGCAGCAGTTCCAGGGAAAAATTGAATCCAGTTCCAGGGAATTGAGATTTGAAACCTCTTCAATGAAGATTTCATCCACAAATATCTCAAATAAAGTAAAAAGTAAAAAGTCACCGACAGGGGGCGAAACTACCGGGGGGGTGTAACACCCCCCCAATCCAAAAAATAGTCGATTTCGCAGGGCAATCGAAGATTTTGCAGGGCGCCAAGAACGGAACAGGTATGTAAGGAAATGCTCCGTTATGCATTTTAGAGAACGAAACAGGTATGTAAGGAAATGCTCCGTTATTTGCAATGCGAAAGCATTTCTTACCGTAAGTCATAGCCAATGGATGCAATGATTGATGCATATGTTTATGAGGGCAAGGTTGAGTCCATGCAAATTAATTTAAGTTGTAAATTATTTTCATGACAAGCACGGCGTCACTGGAGGGGAATAAGAGGCTGAAGGCCCTCACTTTGGTCAAGATCTGGAGGGGAATAAGAGGCTGAAGGCCCTCACTTATAATTGTTTCTATTACTTTTTAACAGTGCAGGAACTAAAAAACATAATAAATCGTTAAGATACCGATTTTGTTTCATCTAATTGCTAACTTTTTCACGTATATTTTTATCATTTTTCTTTTATTTGCATTAATTCAGTAAATCACTTTCTGTATCATTGCAATGTTTTAATTTTGGATGTGTAAACATGGCCTTCTCGATACAAGAAACTGCACATTTCTGTTCAGGAAATAAAATTCCCCCAATCAAAACAACATCTTCCTCTGTCATTCACAACTACGTGCAATCTGAAACGAAAGGTTGCCGTTCCTTTCCTTCCCCAGCGTCTAATACTAGAGTTTTAGCATGACATCCCCCTACCTATTTTTCCCAATAAACAATAATATTTTCAATAAACAATCAGTTCTTTTGGCACAATAGTATTTTGCTAAATTTTTGTCTGAAAGATGCTTTTTAGCCCTTTCACAAGGTATAATTTCAAAAATTTTCTTCACGTCGGACCCAACCATGGTGGGTCCTCCTATCTCACTAAACTTGATTCTTAGCCCCACTGGGCTAAATTTCGTTGCACTGTCTACATAATGTACCCCCCCCTCCCCAATTAGCTGTTTTTTAGCTTAATTTTGCAAACCAACATTAAGTGAAGTGAATATATAAAAACAATTTACGCTCACGTAGAGAAATAGATATTTCATAGGCAATGAAGTTTCAAGTTTGTTTTTATTGCTTAGAAGTTTGTCCTTGGTAAAGACCAGTGTACACTGGTAAAGCTTTCACTAGTAACCTTTAGACAAACCGTTGCTACGAGGTCTGCAGGGCACCACTTAGTTTTGCAGGGCAGAAACCCTTTTCACCCCCCCAAACCTATTGGCCAAGTTACGCCCCTGGCACCGAATCATAAGGGCACTTAAGTGGTGGGGCAAACATGCTCCACTGGTGGGGCAATGAAAGGGGCTGGTGGGGAATTTCCCCACCACTTTATATGTTAACAAATGCCCTGCTAGTTCAGTTTGGATTCCGTGAAAATCACTCTATTAATCAGGCTTCCGTGAACTGAACTGAACTGAACTGAACTGGACTGGACTGGACTGGACTGGACTGGACTGGACTGGACTGGACTGGACTGGACTGGACTGGACTGGACTGGACTGGACTGGACTGGACTGGACTGGACTGGACTGAACTGGACTGGACTGGACTGAACTGAACTGAACTGATCACTTCAGCAAAATGGCCAGAAAATTTAAGAAACTGCCTACCAGCACTGGACCTTAATTTCCTATAAAAATACGTGTAATCTATCTTAAATAAAAAATAACAAGAAACGATGTTCAACTGGATTTTGTTGTAAATAGTAGCTACTAGTATGGTAATATCTGTATGATATTTGAGACGACTGAACAGTTTTTCGAATCTGCAACAAAGTCCAGAAAACATTACGGTTGCACGGTCACGGTCATTGACCGGAGGAAGTTTTGAGAAACAATAGAATTTTGGAGGGAGGTCTTCGTAAAAAAGAATTATAGAAAACAATAGAAGCAACTTATTTTGGACTGATTTCTTTGTTGAACTTTTAAAACACACTTTAAATCTGTTGCAGAATCGATTGGTGGTGGGTGCGAGCCCCTAGGCTTTGGGAAGAAGGGGAAAAATAAACCAAAATCTTTAGGCTAGGCCCTTTTACTGCTAGAAAACACATTTTTATCAAATAAGAAACGCCAATTTTATCTGAAGGGAACGCCCATGACTAGCTTTTGATTACGTAAAGGCAGCAATTGTCTCTCGATTTATAACATCTTTCAACCCTTTTACCCTAGCTACGCCCTATCAACTGTTGTTGCCTCAAAAAATTGGAGGAAGGTTTTGGCAGGGAAAATTTTGACCGGAGGAAGGTTAAGGACTTTTCTGGAATTTGATCTTCAGCCTACAAATATAAATCTGATTCTGCAGACACGGAAGCCAATAATGCTGCGTAACAATTCGAAAACTATAAAATTTTGAACATTCTTTATTTCCAACATTCGCTATCTCAAACCGATTTCAGTTTTCCTTGAGAGTTCGAGATTGTGGACATAAACTGTATTTTGAAATGTAGGAGATTTTCGGCCCAGGGTGCATTCCATGTAGTTTACGCCGGAGATCTCCGGCGTGGATTTAGCTTTTTCCTCGGCGTAGCGGCGTGAAATTTGCTATTTGCGAGCCTTGGCGCATTGGCGTACGTGATAAATTTTCGCGATGGGCGTAGCAAAAACGGTACTTGTACAGAATACGTGAGCAGCCTGATTATATTGATATGGACAGTAAAAGCAATGCAAACTATAGATTAATCGAAAGCTTGTATGTTTTACACTTGGCGTAGCAACTAGAATAGGTTGAAATTTCTCTGGCGTGGGTCTAACATGGAATGCACCCTGGTTTTCGGCGCAATTATTGCAACTTGTGCTTCAGTCATGCATACAAATGAAAATATAGTTTTGTTATATTCAACAATATCTATGTCTGATGATTAATCTGACCGTGTAATAGGGTCCTCAAAAAGAATGACTTACGTTAGGCTTTATGACTTCCACGACATACCGTCAGTTGCAGCGAGAGCAGGAGAGGACGATAGAGACGCGCACCGAATTTTATATTGTGGAAACAGGAAGTGCAGATTGATTGACATGTCGGTTCAAAGCGAGCATTCATTGGTCGCAGTTCTCTTTGTGGGATCCCTATGGATGGTGTTAGTGTTTTCTCAGAAGGCAGGTCAACTGTAATATGGGATCCCTGCCCTGTAAAATGTTTTCTTGGTAAACATTCTAGTGATATCGAGAGTCACAGTAAAGTCACATGATAGAGATTAATCAACGTCGCCTATGTTCAAGGCTTTTTTTATATTTCTTTAGTCCGCTTAGAAAACGAACTAAGGAAGCTAGAGCATGTATTGGGTTAAACTTGTAACGACACAGGGTTCCCTTACGGACAGTATCATGTGACCATTGCACCATTCCGCTGTGATTGCATCAGCGTCTGTAAATATGTTTTTTGTATTACGTAATTATTATTTTAAGGTTTGCTTAGGTTATATAAAGGGTTGTTTCATAAGTCAGGAGTAGTCTTGTCGAAAGTTTTGCCGTACTGCTTGGAGCTCTGTCGCTAGTTTTGTCGTGCCTGTTGAAGCCGTGTCGTTATTTGTCGAACTTGTTGTTAGCCGTTAGTCGTATCATTGCCGTAAAGAGAAGAATTTTGATCTTATCCGCCGTTGCCGTATTTTTGAGAATTTCTGCCTACAAAGAACTCACGTTTGTAAAACCCCCATTTTAAGAGGTTTTACAAACTGTTAATAAGCACTAAATATTGCAATTGAAAAGCATTGCATTTTTTCGTTAGTGTTGTGTTGAATTATGCTACTGACAACAGCAGGGGTTGGTTGACTGATTTTATTATTAAACTTCACAAATACCATAGTTTTACTGGTTTTTTTATATTTTCATAGATTGATAGAAATTCCAGGTAATATGAAAATCTTCGAAAATTAAGCAAAAATGTGCAATTTTTAAAAAAAGCCCTCCGGTTTTTCTTAACAACTTTTCGCAAAGAATTAATAAAAATATTGATTGTAGTGTAATCGATAGAGCATGGTCTGGTACATTGATTTTTCATCACCCCTGCCCCTTATGAGACGATTTCAGTAATAAATGTTTTCTCCGACATTGGATTTTAACTGGAGGAATATCTGTGGCAATATTTTCAAGCTTCGTTTTATCAATATGTCCCTCCCACAGTTTTGTCTATTGTAACGTTGACATGAAATAGGAAAGGTCTTGCAAAGTTTTAGAACAACCTTTCTATTGTAGCTCGTAATGAAACTTTTCTTAGATTTTAAAAGTAACCACAAAATAAGATGGAGGAGAAAAATGAATGAAACACAGTTAAAAACATTAACATTAAAAATCAATAAAAAGAACTAAAAAAGAAAAGCAATTTTTGTCAGTTTAGATTACCATGTGTCGATAGATGACTATTTTCAACAAATAACACCTACTTCTATTTCCGGCAAAAATGCTATCATCCGATTTTAGAAAATTCATCGATCAGAAGTTTGGTAGTTGTAATTCATCTGACAACAAGAAATTAGAGTTTGCTATTTCGATCTGAATAACTCGAAATCCGAAATCGCTCTCCCAGCTATTCAGGCACGTTCGGTACCGATTATTATAAAAAACAAAAGTTTCTAAGACACCAAGAAAGAAAGAAAATTTCACTGTTAACTAAATGCATTTGTGAATGGATAGAGATGAATTTGTAAATACAATTAAATAAGAGTAGTTCCTCACGAAACCGAGGTAGTTATAAAATCTCTAAATCAACATGTCGCACTTCTGGTGACTTTTTCTGTGAAGAAGAAAAACTTTAAATTATGTTTATATTTAAGCCACATTCTGCTAAAGGATATGGATAGGAGCTTCAATGTGCCCGAAAACGGGCAATAAAGTGGCGACTGCCTAGTAAAATAATACTTAAATAGCAAGGAAAGGTACGTATAAGGGTAGGAGGATATTTTCACTCCTCTATTTGCTCGCAAAGCACCTGACCAGAGCATTCAACCAGATTGTTTCTATATAACTGATCTCAAACTATTTGCAGAATGGTAACATGATGGCATCATAAAAGAATTTCGTAGAATGTGCAAAATTGTAGGGTCGTGACCTTCAATCTGAGTCAATTTGGTAGCCCTGTTTTTTGGACAAAGTTACGTCAAACTTATTGTTAGCTGTTATTGCGATTGCTCAAGTGAGTAATGTGAATCCCAGTATTCAGATTGTGAGATGATTCTTTTACAACATTCAAGTCTAAGTCATGTAACTTTTGAATGAGATTTATTGCTATGTTCGGTTAAGTTTGTCTTGTCTCTGTCGAACCTGCGTTTGTAAATAATATCAATTCATCACGACGAAATAAGAGTCACAAAATCACCTAAATATGTTCAGAATTTGCCGAGGAACATTATGCAAATTTTCCTAACTAAAAACTGCTATTTTAGTTTTAAGAACAGAACTATAACGAAAAAAAATTACTTGTAAGAGAAAGCGATTGAAACCATTTGGCTATAACTTAACAATTTTGAACAGATAATATTGTTTTTTCTCAAGTAGGAATATTTTGTAACAAACTTACAGTTTAAAAAGATAAAAGCATAAAAAATAATTCTCTAAATTGAGTGAACTATCTAAAAAACTAGCAAGAAAACACGGAGATCATTTTCCCACGTCCCCTGCAACCTGAGATATTTTGTCTCCAGTCAGTTTTAACCTCCCTCTTTGGCACAACTTCCCACCCCAACCTTTGCCAGTCTAAGGCAAATTCTGCTGCCCCTGCCAAATTTACCTGCAATCACCATTAATCAAATAACTCACCGGGCTTGCTACCCAGGGTTTTATAATAGCAGCTTCAAACAAATACATACTTTAATGTTTCTCTCTATCCTGTCTACTTGAGACCCTAAGACATCTATTATTTGTTCCCCGTGATCCAACAGGAAATTCTCTAGTTGCTCGGTGGTTTTAATTGACTGGACCTCCTGCAAAGAGAAGACAGGTTTTCGTGCTGAATATTTAGGCCCTGTTCACACGATACCGGACTCATTTCGTATCGGATCGCTTTTCATATCGGATAGGCCTTCTGTTCACACGAAGACGCTTGAATCCGATACGCTCCGTATCGTTTTTGCGGAGGGTTTTTTTGCTGAATATTTAATCAAGAAGATTTCAATTTTGAAAAATATTCAGACAAGTGAAAAGCGAAATAAATACAAAGGATAATGGAGTGGTGAGTTGCTGAGGCTATCTGAAAATAAACGGTGGCGGGCACAGGGGGGAGCGAGGGGGTGGTTGGACAATGGTATTTTGTTCTAAAACAATGAGAAAATGTGGGGTCATCTTAGCAAAACAATAGGACTGCCCCCCCCCCTCAATATTTGATCAAGTGTCCGCCCCTGAGAATAAACCAGAATGCGTTTTGAAATATCCGTGAAATTTGAAATTTTATTCATAAATAACAAAACCTAGCCAAAATAAACTAACTATAAATATTGCAAGATAAGTAGTAAGATAACTTGTTTGATATCGAAAGAGATCGCAAAACCTCTTCAGATGCTTTTATTTGAATCTTGCATTTTATAGTGTTCATAGCTTTTATCTTTCGTGGCTGTTGAGTATGCTGCATTGCCACAATCTGTTTTGTTTTAAAGTAGGTTAAGCTTTTTGACCTATTTGACCTTTTGATATCTATTCAGATGCTTAGAGCTTCATAACCATAAAATGATTGGGCATACCGGAAAACAAGGACCCAGGACCTTAAGGCAGGACCCGTGCCTTCTAACATTAAAGAGACGAAGGTGGTTGTAACTGACCATGTAAAATGACGCTATGATTCCAAGCCTTTCGAAAACGAATGTAACACAGTAGGCAAAACTTGAGTAAAAAACCATAGAAGTCCTACCAGTAATAGCTCTTCCATATTCAGACGATTAGTGTGAACTCTCGTAACCTCCCTTCCATCAAAGTTTATCTCTGCCTTGAATCTAACCGTATCAGCACCTATAGAAAAGGCACAAGCGGTTAGCTTTGGTTAGCTTTAGTAGAACCACAGAGACTTGACAAAAGACAACCCGTTAAGACAAAACATCAAAAATGCCTGGTTTAAGAGCAAGAAAACAATTTAATAAGAACCTGTTATTATGATTCCGTATAAAAAAAGGATAAATATAAGGTAAACAGGAATTTCGTTATCTTAATTAAAAATCAAGAAAAATTTACAAACGAATGAATGCTCAATATGAAGGAATAGCAAAGTAACATACCCATTTCGGTAGCTTTAACATCATGAATTGACCTGAGAATAAAATGACCTTTATCACAACGAGCTACAAATATGTCTCTACATTGTGCAAAAATTGTTTAAATAATATGATGATTATGTTTCATAGCTTTGAACTCACCTGACCATGATATCGTTCTCAAGAATCTCGATTATTTGTCTCAGACGATCAGGGTGAATTGATCTAGGCGATAGAATCAAAAGACCAATTAGATAAAAAAGTTTCAGCAATTGCTGTTCCGAGTATTTGAAAATGAGAACTAGTTCCTAAAAAGAGAAACATGACGATGATGATGACAGCAGATAGGAGAGCTTGGTACTCTATTGCTGAAATACAGAGCATTTTTCCTAGGAAACAGGTGAGTAAGGTAATTTAATGCAAATTATGAGCAATGTCCAGCTCAGCTAGTCGCTTGTAATGTTGATCCCTTTATTAATTCTGCTCTTTTTGGCAACACACTCACCTTCCAGTTAATGCATCCGTATTCCGTCTGATTAAAAATACAGCGACAGCACCCAGCAATGCTGAAAAAGACATCAATTGCAAATATGTAAACTACAAGTTTATGTTGAGTATCTGTAAAGTTACTTAATCTTCCGCGTGTCATGCACAAGTATTCAATATTTCAACTATGAACATGGGAAGCTGTGTGTTTGTCTGTACGGAGTTTATCTTCAGCTTTTTAAACCTTTTCTCACCTGGTATTTAAGAAGACCAGTTTTGGAAGAAATTTTGCAAAAAAGGGCCATGCTGCCGATTTATAACGGAAATTACAGACTCTGTAGAAAGGTCGGGTCTGGAACAAGATAACAAGAGAATTTTCAAAGTATTTAGGGCAGAAACCAACCTACCTCCAATAGTAATTGATCCTATCGCATCAAAGATAATATTCCCAGTGTATGATGTTAGGCCAAGACAGCCAGCAGCCAGGAAAAGACCCGCCACAGCAGCACTATCTTCAAGCAAAACTGCGACAGCATTTGGGTCTCGTCCGCGGACGACTATAAAGAAAAAGAGTAGAAATTTATTTTTGTCTGTTCAAGCCAGGACGAAACCTGTGCTTTTCTATTCAGAATATGGTGAAGCAGTGGGTGCTAAAATACGAAGGGAATATCACTCCAAGAAAAACTCGTACGCTATGAGTAAAAACCAATTTGTTTCGAGAAATGTTCCTCGAAAACCTCTGAAATGTCTTCAAAAATCTCCTACAACATTTGGAAAGGGTGATACACCCCTTGCTAAAACCAGCTTAGAAAGGAAAGAAAGAACAGAGAAAAGACATAATTCTCAAAGAGGGTTGAACCTTGAATAAATTGCATCAAAATCGAAATATGATTTTTCAGTAACTCTATATATTAAAAGGAAACATGGATCTAAATTACGCTACACGTGCATTCTGATGCATCTAAATTTTAGCAAGATAAAATAAGGAACTAAGATAGTCTAACTAAAACCCTTTGATTTACCTCCCTTTTCGCATCCCGATTTTCGGTGGAATGTGCTCTGTTCTTCGAAACAAAACCAATATTGACAAGGGCAAGCCTTGACGAGGCGAATGAGCCGTTGCTCTTACATTTCTATCGTGTTTTAGTACGGTTTCCAGCTACAGCCTGCCGAGGCAAAGTGACAACAATGATCTAACAATTTTCGATAGCTGCGCACAAAAATAGATCATGAATAGATCAAAATCGTCACTTTGCCTTCGCAACGGGCATACAAAACACGAAAGTTGGCGAAGGAAAAGTGGCTGGAAACCGTACTAATACATGATAGAAATGTAAGAGCAACGGCTCTTTCGCCTCTTCAAGGCTTCCTCTTGTCAAAGGTGGTCTTGTTTCGGAGAAAAGAGCCCATTCCATCGAAAATCGGGATGCGAAAAGGGAGGTAAATCGAGGGGTTTTAGTTAGACTATCTTAGTTCCTTATTCTACTAAAATTTAGATGCATCAGAAAGCACGTGTAGCGTAGTAGCGCTAGTACATGACTGTAAAGTTTGTCCAATCAGTGCCAATAGAAAATATTGTCAATGAAGTCCAAGGGTAAATACGAACTCATGTCTACAGAACAGCGTTTTTTCCTTTTTACGAGATAGATTCTAAAGCTGCTAGGTGGAACGGCGAACAAGCTCAACTCATAATCTGAAACAGCCCGCCATTATAGTTTTTGGCACAATCTGTCTAGTAGAGATATAAGTATATAAAAACTGTACATACGATACTCTTTAAAACTGAGACCACTTTCACGAGCACTTTTTTGAACTTGTTTGAAAGCCATTATCATAGTCACTATAAGAAGAATAATTCAAATAATTAACAAGCTCGTGCAAGTAAAGAGGCATGTGTTAAAATATGAGACGGTATCTAGTGGAACTTTAACAAATTTCCAGAACAAATATATGTTTGGAATGAAATTTCAAAAATATACCGGGGCTTTCTTTGTGACACTCCGTACCATAAGGAATTAAACAATTGGTCACAAAATATGGGGAAATAGGTTCATTTGTCTGCAAATTGCTTTAAATGACGAGTGGATAAGTTACTCAACATTGGGTAAAAGTAAGACTGTATTGAAATGACCGATCACGACTAAGGTTAATTTTGACTGGCTTTGCAGAGATATATGAACAAGGAGACCAAAGGACTCTGACGCAGAGAATATTATTTCCTTCTCCGATTGTCAAGTCCTTAATTCTGGCCTATTTCCCCCAGTTATTCTTCACAACAGCTTCCATCCTTTCTGGGACTGTCAAATATCCACTCTATTTGGCTCTCACAGACGAGCTGACGAAAAACGATTTGGAAGATCTTATCCGTAATCGTCTGTCTTTGAGTATACAGTGCCGGTTTACAATATCCTGGTTTCCGGTTTACAATATCTTGATTTCCGGTTTACAATATCCTGAATTCCCGGTTTACAATATCCCGACTTCTTACAATTTTGATATCGCTGCTTCATTTAGGGTTACAAAAGGGTTCATTATAGCCACATTTGGGTTAATAAAAAGTTTATGGTTTTGTTACATATTTTGAAAGTGTATTCTAACAGCTACAAAATGAATTGTTGTGTCACACCCTTTGAAGTGATAATGGTCAATAACGGTTTGCTATCAGTGCAACTATTACAAGAAATGAAAGAATGTAAATTTAACGACAGGTATTGGATGTAGGAAACCTACAGCTTTCAACAACCATTGATACTCCAAGAACTGCAAAGGCCTGTAAAGGAGTGAAGAATTGAAAACATGAATTCAATAATTCCTTAGAAAAATCAATCAATGAACGTAAAATTTATAGGCAAGACAAAACACCATCCCAGCCCCCCTCCCTTTTTGGCACTATCACCAAGCTTCTTCGGAGCATATAGTAAGCATTAAAGAAGCATATGCTCGGTTGTATATGCTCATTTTAGCGAATGTAAGATTTTGGCTGAAGCAACAATTCATTGCAAAAATAATGATAATAATTAAACAGGATTAAACAAACTTTGCCACAGGAATAATCAAACTGAAGTCGAATTAAAGCAACATTTTTAGACAACTGAAAAAACGTACCACTGGCAAGGATGTTAACTGTGTTGGATGCAGTATTACTGATATTCCATGATAGACTGAAAATCCACATCCCAGAAAGAAGATACCAACACCGCTGATAAGTGAGTACGCGTACCGAGCCCTTGACCAGCCATACCTTTCGTTGAAAAATAACATCATCATAAAGCTTGAATTTGAAATGGATACTAATAGCAACGGATTATTCTTGAACCCCGTTGTGACCTTGTCGAAAGAGTCATGGAACTTGTTTCAATTATCCATATCAACTTCACAGTGCCCATTAACTGATGTTAGAGGCAGAAAGAATGTGAATGTGACAAACGTTTTAATTTGTGATTTGATTGGACAACTATACCGGTCTTGTGCTTGCGTTTCTCTGATTGGCCTATTTCGATCCACAACTGGGTATATAAATTTCAATATCTGGATAAGGTAACTGTACATGAAGATATTGCAGAACACAGTGACTATAAGAAGGCATAGCATAATATATTTCTTGATGGACTCCGTACTCACGGGTGATCTGGCGATGGTTCCTTTATCGACTTGAGTATTCCTAAGGCCAGTAAACACTAGAGAAAAAAATAGGATCAAGAATAAAAGAACAGATATTTTGCTTCAGAAGCCAAAGAGAGAGCTGAAAACTATACCTGAGATGCGGTTGTGAACATAAAAGGCTAAGAAACAAACACAAACGTTCTATTGAAAGGGTTTTTTGCAGTATGGCTAAATATTTCATTCTATAAAGTTTATTTAACGGCAAGCAATACCTGATTGGCAGCATCTGCAAAAGAGTGAATGCTTTCAGACATCATACTTGCTGATCCAGTATACAAGTAAGCAGAGAATTTGAACAGCATTACGAACAGATTCCTTCAAACAAAAAAGTTTCATAAACTTTCTGTTTGATACGATCACAAAGACAATAAAAACAAAGACAATGAGAAAGACGTTTTTCATAAGTCAAACATTCATCATCGTCGCCGTTATATTTGTCGCAGTGGTTTTTGATGTGGTTTCATCTTTGTCGTTGTCGTCATTGCCTTTTTCGTCATTGTCTTTGTTGTTGTCGTCGCTGTTGCCATCGTCAATGTCTTGTTCGTCTTCGCCATTGTCCTTTTCATTATCTTTGTTGTCATTGTCATATCATAATCATCATCATATATCATGCATCATATATCATAGATCATATATCATGCATCATATATCATGCATCATATATCATAGATCATATATCATGCATCATATATCATACATCATATATCCTATATCATGCATCATATATCATAGATCATATATCATGCATCATATATCATGCATCATATATCATAGATCATATATCATGCATCATATATCATACATCATATATCCTATATCATGCATCATATATCATAGATCATATATCATGCATCATATATCATACATCATATATCATATCATGCATCATATATCATAGATCATATATCATGCATCATATATCATAGATCATATATCATACATCATATATCATGCATCATATATCATACATCATATATCATATATCATGCATCATATATCATACATCATATATCATATATCATGCATCATATATCATAGATCATATATCATGCATCATATATCATACATCATATATCCTATATCATGCATCATATATCATACATCATACATCATATATCATATATCATGCATCATATATCATAGATCATATATCATGCATCATATATCATACATCATATATCCTATATCATGCATCATATATCAAAGATCATATATCATGCATCATATATCATAGATCATATATCATACATCAAATATCATGCATCATATATCATATATCATACATCATATATCATACATCATGCATCATATACAATATCATATCATACCAATATATAAATATATAATAACTAGCACATACAATAAATTATAATACTATCTAATGTAATATCAACTGAACTTAAAAGATCATAAATAAGCAGTACTTACGCAGCAACTGCATACATCACAACTTTTGCCGATCCTTCCAATAACAGTTTCCTCTGGCTTTCTCCTCCAAACATCTGCGGCAAAAGTTTTAGTTTGAAAGATTCAAAATATAGATAGAGATATAGTATAGGCATATTTTAAAAGAAAAACTAACAAAAATAAAGTTTAAATGCATATCATCCTACAGTGAGATGCTTTATTGACTTCAAATGCTGTCTGGAACCATTTAGATCTGGTTTGTGTTTGAACAATCATCAATGATATATCAAGAATTTTCGAACTGTTCAAGAATTTTTAACGTGCATGAGGACTTGCCTCGCTTTGAACATAGACACGTTTTACTAACCTGGTTATCTTCTTGTTGCTTTGTTTGGTCTTTAATAGTTTTCTTTAGATGTCCAAGAAGCGCGCTAAGTCCTGAAAGGTAACGACTACCAATCTCAATGCACAGTGAGAACAGCCATAAACAAAAAATCAAATCCACATCTCATTTCTGATAGACTGTTTGGTAATCCGTGGTAATTCAATTTGACCAATCAATCCCATATGCGAAATTCGGGTAGCTTCCACATCCATAAACGAAAACATATTTAAATCCTTGACGTAGCCACCACCCATAAATAAGTGCCCACTTCAAAATTACTTCTAGCAAATAAGCCCCCCTAGAATAGGTCTCCCCTCGAATAAGTCCCTCTCGTCACATGTGCTTCGACTACAGACAATAACATAAGTGAAGATGTCCAAATGGTTTAAAGAAGGGCAGTCGTGCGCCCAGGCAAAGATCATGCTCAGTTAGCGAATGCGACTAGTGAATGGGCATTAGGAAAATCTAGTTTTCCTGCAGAGAATGCTGATCTTGTTTCACCATCCGAATTTGTAGTTAATGCCGATCTTTCTGGAGATGATGAAATCGGCATTAAGACATGTTCCAGATACCATACAAAAGGTTGGCAAATAAGGGTATGATGGTCTTCAGAATATTTACCATTTTCAATAACGGACTGGAGGAGAATTTCACTCATCATTTGGATCATTTATATTAGGGATGTCGGTGCGCCAATCGAAAAGACGACCATAAAGTAAAACCCCGCCCGTTTTTAGGGCGGATGAGAAGATAAAAGAATGACCTCAAAAAACAAAAGCCCAGGGGCACCAAAAAGGCGTACGTTGTCACAAATAAAACCTTTTATTAAATTTAACTTAATCAAGCTATACATCGATTCCTTGTACAAGTGAAATCTGATCTACTCTAAATACAATATAACAAACCTCCTTCCCCTATCGAAAAAACCCCCCATTCAGAAATTCACATTTAGAAAATACGCCCCTGTTATCCTCTTCGATGTTGTATGGTTGCTATAAGAAGCAGGAAGTAAAAGACAGAACAGGACATATTTTACTTGTAAATGGCTTTCCCCATCAGCTCTACAGCGGCGTTACTACTCGCTTTAACAAATATGTTAAACACCCTTTACTGGAATTTCGCAAAAATGAAATTATGCAGGATTATGGAAATGTCATAAGCAAACAAAAAGCCTGTGAATCAATGGAAAGCTTCTAGCGACTGTTAATTCTCAAATCTTGCCATAAATAAATAAACAAACACGGAACTTTTTATCCAGTTCAAAATTTGTAAACCAGACATCTACATATCTGCTGAGACACTTTACGTGTAAGCTAAGTTTCTGAACCAAGTTTATTTATAAATGTTACCCCAAATTATCAGTGTAGCAAACAAGATTTGAAACAAATCGTGAAACACATTAGAATGATATCTCATTTAGGCAAAGTGTTAAGCTACTTTCTCTGCAAACATCGGGTGTTAAGTTTGGCTGACCAATGGGAAAAGTCTTCATGACTCTACTTCTAGTCTAAAGATTCACTCTCTACTATTTAGAACAAAGAATGTGTAAACTAACGTAGATGTGTCTTTTATCGTCCGAAAAAGGACAGGCAATGGTCGGTACTATTGTAGCAATCAGTGGCCTGTAGCCATTCACTAGCAATTACAGCAATTTCTTTTCCCACACATTTTACAGCATGAAACATGGGATAAAGACCCAAAGCCAAAAGAGGAGTGAAAATTTTGTGTGTGGATAAGACTTACTTGGACAGGTTATGCAAGAAAAGCCCTATATAAAAGATGGAGTCACAGAATAGGGATTCAGTGATGAAATAGAATTATCTCAGAGGACCTATTCTCCAATTCTAATTGCAAAAGCAAAGAATTGTATATCTATCAAACTGACAAACCATAACAGAAGATAAGGAGCCGAAAATGTAAGAATCATTTGATAATCAAGATTGTTCTTTTACCTAGGCTATTCAGAATATTTCTCTATGAAACAAGAAATCCAGATACAAGTGGCTGTCCTGATTGGTGAAAACACTGAGCCAATCAAACGCATCATTCCGTTATTTTTCATTATGTACTCTTGGGGGTGGTGTTTGACAAGAACTGTCCAGCATATACCATATTCTTAATTCAATCCTACCTTTTCGATATCTCTCCCCTTCTTCCATTTCACCTTTTCGCTTTTTACGCTCTCTTTCCAATGCTTCCATGCTCCCCCAAACTTCCATTGCCCTAGGAAAAAGTTATTAGATTCAAGAAACTATTATTTCAATCACAGCGAGCAGCGTAAGAGAGACATATTAAAGACATTTTAAACACAATTTCTGTGGGGTTTTGAATAAAAAATGTATCAGTCCAGGGTTCTGTAGACGTAATGGAGATAAAATTCCATGAGACCCAACATACAATTTGTTTATCCATGGATTGCTTCGATAAAAGATGTAAAAAGACACAGTTGATAAATGAGATCAGACTAATTCAATAAAGTATAATCGTTTAGGATTATTGATTGACTTTTGGATGCCAGCAATGCAAGTGTCAATTTTTACTCACAAAGACATTTAAGAATACCAATCTGCAAATATGGAAAGAGAGAAAGGAAAGTAACACTTTGATAACAAACTTGACTTCTGTTATTATTAGCATGTAAGACTACATAGTGCTAGAAGAGGTTAGTGTTAACAATTACCTACTGCAATGTTAACAAGCAAAGCACCAACTACCTTTTTTCTACATCCAATTTAAGATAGCAGAAATCAGGGGGGATGTCACTGCTGTATGCATTTCTCATTTTTGTTTTTCGCAGGCCATCAAGATCACTAGAAAAAATGAGCAAAAATATGAATCCAAAACATGTTTCTTTCACAATACTAAATACTACTATTAGACTGCATACCATTAAGGGAAAAGAGCAATGATATGAATAAAACACAAATCCTTTAAGTATTGCTGAATGCTTCATTTTTGACAAAACATACATATGCAAATGCTTTTTATCATTACTTAATTGGTTCATATTCAATGCGAAATATCAAGATAACATTTATAAGATTTACAATCATAAGACTTACAATCATAAAAATTTAATCCATATTAATTATGTAAATTATACAGTGAATTTTGAAGAAAAGTGGGAGGGACGAGGTAGAGTTCTTAACATGTAAAACCATTTAGGGGATAAAAAAGAAGTTGTTAAATCTGAGCAAACATTTTCATAAATATATGACTTAGATGTCAGTTTTAGGTGTGTTTCATTTCCTAAAGTTGAGTTTTGCCAGCTCTACAGTTGTATCACCAAATATAGTGTTTCAGAGCACATTATTAGTTTCAGCTTTGAAAGTCTGAAAAAAAATTATTTCATTCTTAAATAGAGTCATCATTCACAGTTTATAACTATATACTTAACTCATAAATATCATGTACTGACCTTGATGAAAGCAGATAATCACTGATAGCTCTTGAGCTGGAGATGAATGTGTTTCTTGTATAATGGACATTATAATCCACATCAAGAGCAGTTGGTTTGTAGTAATACGGCTTCAAAGCTGAAGAAAGTTAAACATTTTCTATTTCATTAGCAATAGCATAAACATATCTTTTGAACAATAACTGGATCATAAAATTTTGATTCACAAATCAAGTTGAAATACAGTATCAAAGGAAATATCAAATACCACTCTGGCAAATTCAAAACAAAATATTTTTATAGGACAAATTAACTTATGAAAATCACAAATTTTAACTGTTAAGAAATATCAGACATAGATGATAAAAGCAAACATCTAAATATATTCATTTGGCAGGGAAAGCACAGAGAAATGTTTTTGGAAAAACCTTAAATTATATGTAATTATTTATAATTATATGTTATTATAAAAAATGTAATTATATGTAAAATGACATACAATGGCTACTTACATTCTTCTGGTCCAATATGGGGTTTAGATACATCAATTTTGTGCTTATTTTCTTTTAAAACATTTTCTATTTTGTTAGCTTGTTCCTGTAAAATTTTTGAATTTCCATCTTCATTTTTACTTATGCCATCACTGAATTTCCTTGTACATTGGAAGACAAAAGGAATGCCAAATGCAGAAGGCAATCTTGTGTTATAACCTTTGTGTGTGATGTGTGCTTTCCTGCAGCCTTAAAACAGAAAACAAAATCAGTGTTGGAAACATATTTTAGAAGCTGACAAAGGTGATTTAAGCAGATGATCTCCTCAGATGGACAATATCAAATTTCACAAAAATATCATTTCTGGACAAAGAACAGCCTAAGAATCTGTCATGGAAAAGTGTCTGAACTGAATTTAAGCCCTCTGTGTAAGTATATATAACAGACACAGAGGATAAAAAACCCTTATTGTGTACAATGAAAAAGAAAACCTATAGATACTGTGTGTTCCCCTTCTGTGACTTCAAAATTACTATATAGAGTTGCAGTTTTGACAAGATAGTAGTCTGGGGGCTCAAACCACTTAAACATACCAGGCTTACTAAGCATTTTTAAACTCAGAATTTATAACCAAAGTTTTTAATCTTTTCGTCACTACACTCCCCTTACAAAAGTATTGGACCACCTCAAAGTGGGGGGGAGGGGGGTTGGCACATGAACTATCAAAAGCTATTGTTATGCAAACTGTCTGTGTTTTAGGTGGCTAATGGGAGTGGGTTGAAAATAAAACAACCTCTAATCAAAACTTCCATTTATTATGAGCACACATTTAAAAATAATAATGACAAAATCTTTAAAAGTTTTGAATTTCATTACTTTCAACTTTCTTGAATTGATTGCAAATAATTGGGCAATTTGATCTTGTAGAATTTTGTGCAAAACCTAAATAATTATTTTAATTAATGATTTCTTGGTTCTCAGAGAACCAGTTGCGGATCTAGACTGTGTTCAAAGGGTTCTTGAATCCTGTCAAGTGTTCCTAAGACAGACTTTTCCTTTCTTTCTCAATTCCATACTTAGAGAATGTCAAGGGCTGTGGAACAAGAGCCCATTTGCATTAGGACTCATTGCAAATTATTCTAAAGTAAAATCATTTTACTCTGTGGTAGCTATGGTAATCTTTTGTCACATATTATATTCCACTAAAGAGAGGAACCCTGTCATTGTCATGGCAGCCCTTTGTACTATATTGTATTTTTAAGAGAGGAACCCTGTTGCAGCCATGGCAATCAATTGCCCTGGCTTGTTTTTGCCACAAACAAAGGAACCCTTTTGTAACCCAATTTACAAAGTCATCGGAACTCATTCAAAACATTAACCATACAAGTGTCCAGTTTTCATAATGGCAATGTGAAGCTGCAAGTGATGGCAATGACTGCATGACGAAGAGAGCTTGCTTTCAGCACTAGAGACCAGCACCTGAAGTTCAAGGAAATTAAAGGATTGTATGGAAGGGGTGCTATGAACTTTTAACAGAACTTTTCCAACACGCCTACGTCAACTATGTGTTCATTCTTCTTGACTTGCCTAACTATCCCTGAGAAGATAGATCAGAGTTTCCTGGATCGTGGATCAAAGACAAGTCAATTTGAAAAGCTAGATATTTGTAAGGTGATGTTCATGAGATAATACAGTAAGCAGGAGAGAATTCTTGGCAGGAAACTCTGGGATGTGAAGACATTTTCCATTTGACATGCAAAGTTTATAGAACTTTTGAATCATACATATATATATTATTTAACTATAGAGTACGAGCTTTTTAAAAAATGAAAGACTTTTGGAAATGTGATAAGATGATTTCATATGCCAAAATTTGCACTCTAAATGATTAGGCTTCTTCACTATATATGTCAGAAGCTTTGTCTATCATTATCCATTCTTGATAAACTTGCTGAATTACATTTTGCCTAGTTTTTTATTTGGTAATATGTAAAGCACAAATTTACTTCGAAACTTGCAATAGTCAGTAAGCTTATCTCTGCCTGTAAGCAGCTACATGAAGTTTTTCAAAGTCCTCTGTTTGGCAAGAGGACTCTGTTTGAAATCATCTTTTTGGAATCAACGATGACAACTTCTGGCTTGGGTTACAGACTTTTTGTTCTTACATGCCTTGGAATCAGGCTAAAATAATATTTTATCTTGTTAAAATTAAATCTTGCAATAGAGTTCTCAAATTTTGACCAATTAACACAAAAGAACACCATGAAATACTCCCAAATATGCAAAATAAGTTAAATTTGTCAAAAATTGGGTGAGCTATGGCCAATAGAAGATGTGAAGTTTGCTAACAGATTACTGTTTTTTTGGCTCAGTTTATAAAGTTATGAATTGAGACCAAATTACAGAGGTTTGATGGGGCCAGAGTTTGTGCACATCGGGTCATATCTCAGCCAATTGGAAACCTTGAATTGTTTTCTAAGGGGTCAAAAGGTTTTCAATAATTTCCTGCCAAAATTTGCATACCCATTCATCTAAATCATGCATTCAAACATTTGGTATAATTGAAAAAGTGACAAAATGTGGCACCATTTTGAACAAAGCTGTGCACTTTTGTGAGGGGAGTGTACATAACTTGTGCTTATGTGATGGTGGCACATAACTTTTGATTGTTTCAGAAACCAGGCTAGACCAAAAGGTTTTTAATTCAGTTCAACTTCTGACCAGGGAACAAAAAAATGGGTTGCTAAAGTGCAGTCTTCCCGATGGTGTGTAATCAGTATATGTGTGAGTAAACCAGTAGGGCATTCCATCCCCAAAAGTTATTGTTTCAAAACAGTTGCTCCAAAACAAAGTGTAAGGAGGCATATGAGTAGAATTTCCTCTCCTTAGAAGCTCCGAGAAGTAAGTCAGATTTCACCAAATTGTCTTTATTCGTTTATTTATTAGACCTACAAAGACCTCATATTTTACAGAATTTCCAGCATGCAAAATGTATCAAATTTTGAATAACATGTTTATTTTAGTCGGCAAAGCACAACTCGATAGATAACCTTGCTGTTAGTGGTTATTCGATTTATTCAAAAGAAGAAAATTTTAAAATTACACGAACTTAAACTAAAATAAACTTGAACAAAAATGAACTTGGTAGGCTAAATTCAATTACAGCTGTGGCAACTAAATGCAATTGCATTCAAGGAATTCTTCTCAAGAGTCTTATCACCCTTTATACTTAATAAGTTTCTCACCCTGTATATATTTCCTTGACAGAGGCTGGCAGAAATATCCGCTACGCGTTACAAAGAAGTTGTAGTTCAATCCTTTCAAAGCCATGCCGTTGAACTGTGCACATCCCAACATGCTTATAGCCTTTTCAAACCTTGGCTTGAAAATTCAGGACAGATTGTGGCTATCAGGCGCTTTAGATGCTCTCGGCAACTTCTTTTTGGCCACTCTTTTTCTCCATCACTAGTTGTGTTGTAGTAGGCCTAAACCACACGGAAAGCGCGGCCTATGAAAATCTTCCAATGCTGGTGGTAGTGTTTCTAGAATTAGGGCAGAATTATTCCGCAATAATACCTTCGAAAATAAAGCACAGCTTAAGCTGATTTCACCGGTTTCCCTGTGGCGCCAAACAGGATAATATAATTTACAACTATTCCATCTTCTACACTGCCGTCATTCCCGCCATCTTTGCACAGGCCTAAGTTATGGCACAGACTGGTGACTAGGCCCAGTTTTCTCCACTCATCTCACTCATCTAGAAAAAATTATTTTTGTCATGTTTTTGTAGAAACCAATCCTTAGCCCTTCTGAAGTGGGTTTCCTTGTGTAATTTCATGTTCAACTTTAATCGCTCAGGCTACCTTACATAAAAATCTTAAACAAAAATTTCATTGCTTCGACTAATTGCTACATTTTGTAAAGGTTTTAAATAAAAAGAAAACAATTTTCTAACGTAAGGCCAAAAAACTATGATCTTAGAGATATAAAAGGAAAAACTTCAGCAGAAAAATTACACTAAATATATTGATGTCGTAATTGACAATCGACGCAACACAAAGCAGTGAAATTCCAGCGACCTGAAGGGTGTGGCACCAAAATCCAGTTATTGTCTTGGGCGCGAAACACGGAATGGCGACAGTTTCTTGAGCCGTCGTCTTTGAAGTTATATCAAAAATCTCCCCCCAACACTTTGTTTGTTAGCACAGTAAGGATTTTTGCCGGGAAAAAGATTATTTTTTGTACTCACTCTGTAACCTCTGTGCAACAATTGTAGCATACTAGCATTTCTATGTAGTTGAACTTTCAAAGTATTGCACTAGAGTGTAAACTTTGAAACAGAAACGCATAAAAGCAGTATGTAAGAGTATTTATCTTTTAATCACACCCTCAAAGAGTGAGACTTGCCCTTTTTGTCGGCAAAAATGATCTCTTCACCCCTACAAACAATTTTCTTAGCTTGGCCTCTGGGCAAGTTAGAATACAAAGTAAGCTATTGCATGAATGTTAAGCTACAAAACAGTTTACTTTTTCTGATCTTTGTATTTGTAATTTCTTGCTTTACATTTTTGCCCCATTATTTTTTAACTTTGTATTTCACGTTTCTCGCAAATGCACATATTTTATCCACGATTCCATAATTTAAATTTCAAAATTCTAGTTTACCATATATTGGATTTCATTGGATTCTCGTCGTCGTTTTGATTTGTTTGTACTTTTTTACCACATGACTTCATTTAACAGCTTATTCTGCATATCTTTTTTCTTACTGGTGGTAACAGCAATAGGTGTCTAAATCTTTGTAAGGAGAATAAAATATTTACCCTAGGTTACTTTGAAGATATATTTGATCATATTATTTAAAGATATAAAAAAATGTACAAATTATATATTTGATTAATCAAGACCATTATTACAAATATCAAAAGTTTTATAGATGGAAAATGAATTTGCACAAAATGTTGCCTAGGACACTGGGGTAAACCTAAAAAGTTAACGAGTCCAGCGAACGGGTGAACGAATGATTACTTTTGATCGTGATATCTTTTAATTTTCCCCACATGGTCACAGATTGCCCACAAACTTAGTGCACTCTTATTTTCTGCAAGCTGAATGGGACTGATTCATACGAATTTCGATCTTTCCCTCTCACCCTTTGTTGCCACTGACTTTAAAGATAATTTTCTGGAAGTGCACTTGCAATCACACTTTTTTGGGATTTTTTCTAAGGGCATTAACCAATGGAAGTTACATTCATTAGTAAGATCCTGCGCAAGGATAGGTACACAAGCACTGTTTAAAGAAAGTCTAAATAACATATACCAGAACATTTTTATTAGTTTAACCAAGGTCTATTGTGACACGAAATGGGAAATTAGAAAGCATGTATTAGTTCAATTTCTATTTAAATAAGAAGATGCATATCAGTGAAATTTGTAGATTATTGAGTAAACTAAGGTTAATAATCGCCGCGATGTTTGCACTTCTTCTAAGAAAGTTTATTCGGAAAACAGCTGTAAATGCGAATGAAAGGAAAACTCCATTCCGCAGTAGATTTTTAAAGTAATTTGACTGATTGTTTACAATGGGAAATTAAATCCTCGTTGTTGCGTCACCAGTGCAAAATAAGGTACTGCCCGGTAAATTTCGGAGGTCACTTGAATTCCCATTGGCTACATTAGACAATAGGCTATTGTTAAAATTCCAATGGTAAATGTACCACAAAGCTTTTTGTTGTCGTGAACGGTTGACTAACGGGTCATCGAGATATAAATCTGCCCTATTGCCTTTCTCAATCACAACATTCTGTCCGAAGCAGGAATCTTTTGGCATCCATACCGACAAGCCGACACAGTTTGAACGAAAAAAATTGGAGTGAGGTTTCTGCTTAAATTGGTGAAATGGCGAAATTGGTAGTACTAGTTCAGCTCTTCATGCTCTTTTCAAAGGCTGAAGGAACATCATTTAGCTCGTAAGTAGCTTAACAAACTATTTTGTTTTACACTGATTTTCAGTATAATTTTTTTATTTAACTAAAACAGCTCATAATCGTCGAAGGAAAATTTGTTAAAAAAATTTAAAGGTTTTTTATAAGGTGTAAGGATTGATGGAAACATAAGAAGCATTGACAAGATATTCACACGAATCGAGAAAGAGCATGGTTAATTTTATTCGAACTTTTAACTTGTGAGCGGTTATATTGGTACCTAAAGAAACTGCATGGACTTCTCCTCCAAAAATCAACATGTTTTCTAAGTGTCTTCTGAGTTAGTTTTCTCGTCGAGACATGATTTACTGATGCAACTACCTTCAACATGCCATTTTTAAAGCAGAACAAAAGAACCACTGAGTTTTGTGAGCATAACTAGGCCAACGATCTTGGGGGTTTGGGGGGGTGAAAAGGGTTTCCAGGATTTAGAGGGGGCAGCATTTCACTCTTCCAAAAATATCTTCCGCCCCACTCATCACCATATATAATGACTGGCCCCTTCTTTTGAATTTGCTTTTTAATAAAGCTTACATATCACGGCATATTTTTTCAGCCACATTACAGGAAAGGGACCACGAAATTGAACTTTGTGGGCTAAGAATCAAATTTAGCGATGTAGGAGGACCCACCATGGTTGGGTCCAACGCGAAAGAAATGTTTTAGGAATTATACCTTGTAGAAGGGCTAAAAGCATCTCCCAGAGTAAAATTCAAAAAAATACTAAACCGCTTAGGATAGAAAATTCGGCGGTTCTCAAAAAAACACTGATAATAATTTATTGAGAAGAATTAGAGAGGGGAGGAGTCATGCTTAAACTCTAGTGACAGACGTTGGGGGAAGAAAAAAGGGGGGAAGAAAAAAGGGTGACCTTTCTGGGTGAGCTGTTGTATTGGTTGAGAGTATTTTATTTTCGTTACATCTTCTTGTCTCGAGAAGGCCATGCTTACACATCCAAAATTAATACATTGCAATAATATAGAAAATGATTTACTGAATTAAAACGAGTTATAGATATGAATTTAAACTGAGACTTCGAATGCTTAAATAGAACAGCTTCCGAAATCGTTCACCCCTATAACTCGAAGCAATGACAAGAAGAAGCAACAAGGCGTAAACAGGGGCGTCAAGAGGGAGCGTCAAGAGGGGGCGTCGAGAGAGGGGGCGTCGAGAGAGGGGTTAGGGGGAAAAGGTCTGGGGCCCGTGCTCCGATGGCCCGTGCCATCATGCCGGTTTTGGGTGTCCCTGGAGATGAATTTTTCATGGAGACTGTTAGGACATAACATATAGACAGTGATCCAGTGACACAACCATCCGTATTTTTATCTGGAACTTTCAATTAGTGTGCGAACCATGTCCTGAAGACGCTGTAAATGGTTGACTTTGGTCTCAGACAGGCAGCACATGATATGGAATCACATGATATGGAATTGGAATCACAAACAAGAATAGCATCAGCAAAAGCATGGATAAAACATAGTAACTACGTATAAAACAATTTTATAACCGAAACGGTTCAAACAAACGAAACGAATGCAACAAGAAGCTAAGATATTTTAACCTAGTAATAAGTTTACGCTAATAATTATATAGTTTTTCTAAGACTTTTCAGAAGGAGGCGATCTATTATCAATACCTCCTACTAGCTAAAGCAAGTTTGTTAGCGAATTGTGATACACAACAATTTCCCCCTACATTAAAAATGAGCTACATAACCATAACCCTAAATCTACTCGTATTTAACACATCAATTTTTCTTATGACCTCGTTTTGAATTATACTTCGAATTTCTTTGTTTAAAATGTTTGATTTCGAATTCACATTAAAGAACAGAGTGTTATTCTATTTGCAAGTTTTAATGATAACATTGATTTTATGACGACATAAACTTAAAAGCCATGCAAAGGATTTAAGCTTGATAAAAAACTAGAGGGGGAGTGGGTTTCACCCAGAAGGATTTGCGGTCAAATCCCTTCTAAGTTTTCAAACTTTATAATGCCATAAAAACTAAAATACAAGCATTATTTTAGTAAAACTGCGTGAAAATGGTTTGTATTATCTTTATCGTTCATCAACATTACGATGTCGAGACATTGTTCCTCAAAAGCTGTTGCTGTTCCTGCTTTAGTTAGCTAAGTCTTTGTTTGCTTGCATTTTTAAACATAATGACATCACTTTGCTTTCTGAGCATAAGAATTTGGAAAGGACAGATAAAATGCAAGACTGAGGTGTTGCTAAAAATCGTTCACCGAGATGCTAACAATAACCTAAAACCGTACAATTTTACAACGCAAACAACATGCAATTGATGTTCGATTGAAATATTATTGAAGAACTAACAAAAGAAAATCAGTAACGAAATTAACACAAATCTGTCAAAGTTATTGATTTTTTGCCTTATCATGCATGGCAAGTCTTTTCATTATTTGTAGATTATTTCTGCGTATTTACATGAAACTCAAATTTATCTGTATTTACATGCAAGTCTCAACAAGTGGCATTTGTTGTATTACCCAAGTAGACTCCACATTAATCCTTAAACATGACTGGACATGATCTTTGATAATTTACAATGCCTACCAATTTGCGTTGCATTTAATATCTTTCATTCCTTTTCCGAAAGAAAAATTTCTATTTTCGCCCCCTACCCCCTAGAACAATTGCAGAGAAATATCTTAAGAGAAACGCAAAAGAAAGTGCTTCCGAAAATCCTAGCCCGTTTCATAGTAAATCAAAATTGTTCCTTGGGGGAGAGGGGATGATTGATTTTGACCTTGCAAACTGACGTTAGTGTTCCAAGACTTATGGCAGACATTGTAGCTTTCATAAAGAAAAGGCTTGGTGTACCTCAAAGAAGCATACTTGCACCTCTGTTGTTTATAAGAACTATGGTTAGACATTATATCTCCCTCACAAATGCCAAGTTAGTATCACATAAGATTTTGACAATTGGCAATGACATAAGATTTAGAAAACATGCAGATGAACAAATCTGAAGGACTCGGATTATCAATAAACTGTGAAATTTATTGAAGACATTTTAATTCAATATAGTTTTTGAAAGACAATACAGATAGTTTTTGAAAGACAATTAGAATTATTTGACATTCTTGATGTTCTTAATTCTTAGATACATGACGAAGAATGAAGAGCCCCTCTTTATAAATGGCCCAAGGAGTTTATCTGATCGCATTGCAATTGTTGGAGCGGGTGCTTCAGGTATCCACATGGCGACAATGTTGAAAAATGAAGGCTTCACAAACATTGTGATATATGAGAAAAATGACCGAATTGGGGGCAAATCAATGACAATAAGGGACGCAGAAGGGACAGTGCAAGAGCTTGGATCGTGCTGTATTGGCCCTGGCTATGAGAATAATATCATGAAGATAATCGAAGAATACGCGCCTGGAGAGCTTGTTCCAAGGCAGTTTGGCGACGTATGGTTGGATGGTGCTGCAAATGCCACATCGTATGGTCATTACGTAGTGAAAGAAACCATGAAATATTTCAATACTAACAGTGTTAAAGAAGCACTGTTTAAACTTTTCCAAAAGATTGACGAATACGTATCACTTCACAAAAGCCTTTTTCCCATGTATGAATTTGAGTTAATGCCAAGGCCCAAACCCGAGGTGATGAGGAACCTAAAATGCACCTTCTTGCAGTTTTTAGAAAGACATGACCTAAGAGGGCTTCTGCCTCTGTTGCTTGTATCACATACCCTTCAAGGTTATGGCTACCTCGATGAAATTAGTGCAGTATACGGTCTTATTTGGAACACACCCTTTCTTATGCAAAGCTTCAAAGAAATTATGAGTGGAGACACTACACCACGTGAGTATACTTAGAGAAAGGCTCTTGCGCAACAGGCGTGCTTTGCGACAACTAGACAGATACTGCAAAGCATGAAGGTTGCACAATAGCCATAAAAATAACGTACTGAAATCCATTTGCTTGTCAGAGTAAAAACAAAATAATGATGATGAATAATTTCTAGGATGATGAATATGATAATTTTTGTATAGGTACATTCATGTTGCGAACTGGATTCCAGCACTTGTGGGAAAAAGTTGCAAAAGTTAATGCTCTGAACATCAGGCTGAATTCGAACATACAAACTATCAAACGAAGTAGGTATGGGGTGCAGGTGTGTGATGCTGAAGCCTGCTACAGCCACGATTTTCTGATATGGAGCGGAGAAGCAACGCGCAGTTTGCGAGTGCTAGATAAACCTACAAAACTGGAAATAAATTTGTTCTTTAAATTGTCACCCGACTATTTGGTGTCATCTTTGGTTGGTTTAAAAGGAGGTATGGTATTAATTTCGTTTTCCTTTATCTTACATTCCTTTGCTTTACATTTGATGGGGGTTTGCAACGATATGCTACTTTTGCTCATAAGTTTACATCTAATTCAAAATTAGCAAACGTCATTATTACTTCACCAAAAAGATACGTGAAACTTAAAAGAAAGCACGATACTCGGTAGCCTGTGTTCCAGACCCCTAACTTGAAAGTAGGGATCTGGAGCACAGGCTAGATACTCGGTTTGTCTCTTTCAGCTGAGTTATCATGCAGTTTTTTTCATTTTGAATGCCATCTTTTATTCAAATGTAGTGTTTTTGTAACACGGGCGTAACATATTTCAAAGTCACTGCTAGAGATAGCTTTTACTCCTATAATTGAATTTCGATGAATTATTTTTGCTGCTGCAATGAATTTGCCTACGCTGATGCTTTGAAACGCATTATTGACACCAGGGTAGCCTTACCTGACACAAATTTTATAGCAAGCTTATGTAGGCTCTGCCTAGAGTGATTAACATTAGAAAAAAGGCTATCCTACCTCTTTGTAAACAGACAAAATTGTATTGAACGATGCATTATGGGTAGTAGCAATTGATAATGTCTGGTGTCGTAAAGTTTAAGGTACCTAATTGAGAAAATTTTCCTATCCATCCCCAGGAAAAGAAAGCAGCACTGCAACCGGCTATTGGTTCGACAACATCATAAAGAAAAGAAGCGTGTCTGTATTGGCGTCTCGTAACACTAAGAGAGTATTCGAGCTTGGTGGAGTTTATCCGTTGCAGCAAAGCTCTGTATCAGGAAGCCGCTTCGAGCTCGCATATCAGTATAGTCCAACCAGACCCTGCAAACCACATGAAAAAGCATTGCTTCACTTTTACGAAACAGGTGCGACCGAGGCAAAGATTGCGAGGCAGGTCGTCTGGCGGTACTTTCCACATTTCTCAGTTGAAGAGGCAGCCGCTGGGTCTTTGTGGGATATCTTGGAAATGCAAGGAAAATCAAGAACATGGTTTATTGGTTCCTCTGTCAGCTTCGAGTCACTAAAAAGTGTTGTGGAGTACAACAAGTTATTAATTAGTATAATGAGGCCACTTGAAGAATGATGATGGTGATACAGCATCATTTCACACTTGGTCTGCCATTTCTAAATGGCCTATGATAAACCTATTTACTCTATACAGGTATTGCCTTTTGTTATAAAGGAATATTTTGCTTGGATATTATGTAACGAGCTGATATTGTAAGCGTTGTTAGATTCATATTTATATCTACAACTGTAGCCCCTTGACTTGAAAGCAGAAACTATGAATCAAACTTTTATGTCTGCCGTTGCCAACACAAAACATGACACAGGATTAAGATGATTCAAAGGGCGATTATGAGAAGAGAGAATCCAGAAAAGCGAATTGACACAAAAACAGAACTAAGACAAACAGAAAAAGACAACTCTTTCTACTCTTCAACTTTCTTTGACTCAACCTGTTCTTTCTTGCACCTTGAAACGCTAAGATAGGTCGAATGTTCGTCAACTCGAACCATTTTCATCTTTTCCTTGGAGATTTGAGATTCAGAATCATTCATTTCAGACTTAAGCACCACCCTTCTTAAGTGGCCATGCACTTGACTATGTTTCATTAATGATGTGAGCATGTCAGAATGGTTTGAAAAAAATAAAACTGCATCGATCTATTAGATCTGTTATCCAAATATAGGGGTCAAATGTACAGAAGGTGAAGAGGGAATCTCATTAAAGTGCCACTGAAATGAAAAATTGAAATTGTTTTATTGTTGATTCTGACAAACTAATCACCGCTGATTTTGAAAACAATATTAGTTTTCTCGCCTTGGGCATATAAATAGGGATTTCTGGGGGTTTTTTGCGGGTAGGTCGTGCGAAAAGAGGCTGGGACGAGTGACGCATTAAGATTTGCGGAGTCAATTCAGCTTTTGTAAAACGTGAAACAAGCATTAAACTTGATAAAGACAGGCAGTTTGATATGCAGAAAAAGATAGGATGTGAATATACGCAGAAAAATATCCCCTTATGCTATTTAAAGACTAGGGTACCAGGCTCCAGACCTCTAAGCAGTGATCATAATTTAACTTTTTGTTCGCGATACAAGCATGGAACTTGGTAGATATAAGTATTTTGATACGCTAAAAAGATAGCATGTAAATAGACGCCGAAAAGTATCCCCTTGTTGTTTTACAGAAGGGACTGGCTATTTACAGAAGGCTATTTGTAGTTTTACATATTAAGGCATGATTTTGGCGGCAACTAGTGCTTTGACAGTGGCAACGTAAGTTGGAAAGTGGGGAAAGCGCCGAAAAATGTGCAATTTGTGTGGTTCTATTATAGATAAATTGCTTCCCTTGATCAATTTGCTCCTTAGAATCAAGTCTTGCTACAAACTGCACGCAAAAGTTTGCTTATTTCATATGAGCTTGTAGTTAGATAGCTAGTGATATTTAGAACACATTTGGGTCGGAATATACGGTTCCGTGACAAATCTTAGTGGATCTTGTTTTGAAAGTTGCACTTGGTGATTTAAAGTACGCTCTACAAAATGAGTCTGGGTACATTTGATTTTCGATAAGCATTTGCCGGAAATGACGTCATAAATTGGCACCTGGAAAATCTTTTTACGGCCATAACTCGATAATTTTTTTTAGTTATTTTGATTTAGACAACGACTTGAGCACACAACATTTCTTGAATCTCAGTTATACCGGAGCAGTATGATCAATATATTGCTTTTGAGTTCAAGCAATGACGTCACAACATAATTTGCCGACAACATCAAAATGTGATTTAATGTACATCAATCAAAAGATTTTCTCGTGATGAGTCGAATGGTGTATTACTTCGACGAATTAGACATACCTGTCTCAAGTTATGGTCGTCGGATTCAGTAGCACTGACTTGACAGAGAACATCAATAAAAAAATCCAAACTTTTTATTTCAGTGGCGCTTTAATGAATAATAACAATGATAATGAATTATTAATTATTGAAAAAAATACAAGTTTCTGGAATTTATTTACATCATTTTCTATAACCCATGGAAGAAAAATAAATTGGAAGCGTTTACAGTGAGTTCACAATGATTTCGACTGCAAAACGCAAGGGAGGGGGTGAGAAATTCTGATCGATTGTGAGTTAAAATTTCAGGCGTCCAAACTGAAACAGCTGGAACGTTAGAAAGAAATGATTGAGAGAAATTATGAAGAGCCAGTAGAAGCATCAGCTCAGCCCATAGACTTTTAAGTTCTTGGATGTAGAGGGCAAAAAAGAAGATATTGAAAATGAGCTGAATATCTTATTTGTTGATGACGAAGGAGATCAAAAAACTTAAAATCGATGTGTTGTGGATGTATAGTAATGCACAAACTGTATCAAGGATTATATTTTTTGTTATTTTGAAAGCCCATCAGTTTAAAACGAGATTTTTCCAGCGTTCAAGTATTCGGTAAGAAAATATTCGGTTGCCCTGCTTTACCGAAAATAGAAACTTTTGGTACTTTATGTATACTACAACACATCTAAGCAACTAGCTCTCGAGGTCATGTGCCTAAGCTCTTCATTTAAATGACTGTCAACTCATTGGTTGACCGGAAAAGAACCGGGCACCACCCAGTACGTGGGACTCGATTGTTACGACAGGGGGTTCTGAGCCATTTTTCATGTTTTTACGCTAGCCTCCATTACATTACGCAGGTGGCTTGACCCTGCCTACCATTGACAAGGGAGAGGAAACGATGTATTCATAGCATTTCATCTAGAATTTTTATAATTATTCCTAAACATAACTCTAACAACTATGTAGCAAAGTTTCAAGAGAGAAATAATTCAATTTATTTCCCGAATCGGATCAATTGTGATCCCCTCTTCTGTTGCTCAGCTCCTTCATCTGTATTTTTTCTGTTGTTGGCAAAGTCCATGACATTATTACCAACAAGATGACGAAAGTTAACCTTACCAAGGTTACTTTCTGCTGCAGCAAACTCTTCGCCAGATGGTGATTTGACCCTGTCTCCATGGTCCTCTACGTTTTTTCGGTCAGCAAAACCAAAACGCCCTTCTACGGGGTATGGAGCTGTTTCCCTCCATCTTTCAGCGCCACCTGCCGACAATGCCTCGGATTCGACATTATCATTCCGAAATGATCTTCTAGCTTTGAACAATCTATAGCGGCGAAGTTGAAGCATTTTGCGATAAATTTCAAGTCCATTGACACTTCCTTCAGTAGTTTCCCTATTGTCGGCTCCATCTGCGTCTGTGCTTCTGATGTCTTTATTTGCTTCTATCAATCCTAACTGGCCTGGTTTTTGAAACTCGTGATTGTGTAAAAATAACTCTTCCCAGACACATGCTTCAAACTGCTTATAGACATCAGAAAATTCGCGCAAACTCACTTCACCATTGATTTTAGACCGAAGGGCACCTGATGTTGACTGGAACTCCTTCCAATGAACTTTTCCACCTCTAGGAAAGTCCCCGATGAAATGCTTGAAGCAAACATTAAGACGCTTCAACAGGGCGTTGGTGGCTCCCAAATTGTTGAACATCGCTTCGATTTTACTTCTGGTTGTCTGCATATCTAGTTTTTCTGCTGCCGGTAACACGTCTTGCCTGCTCCATTGAAATGCGCTTGAAGCCAAGAATACGACTAGATAAATCTGGCATATCTAGAATGCAAATTAAAAATGTTGATCGAAATGGCTTCATGCATAACACGTTTCACAAGGGCACGAGCAAAATTTTGAAATATGTGATAATGAATAAAAATATGGCGTATCTAATGTCTTATGCAGCCCAATTTGCTTTGTAATTTTCAAGGGTGGCAAAATTATTGATCAAAAGTTAAATCCGTCGTAAATTAGTTAAAAAGTTATGATGCAACTTCTGTATAATATGGAAATCTATAGTTGTAACGAGCTGTTATCTAATTGTAAACTTGCAATCTACAAAGTTAACATTCAAAGGAATTAGATTTTCAAAAATGGAGACTACTGTGTTACTGGTCTGTCATAAAGTGCTCAATATCGTATGGGCAGAGCTATACACACTTTTGGTGTATAGAACAGAACGCTTCTAAGATATTGCAACTCCTAGTTTTACGCTTGATGCAATCATCAGACAACTTATATGGAATCCTACCTACATTTGTGCGCTAGCCTTGAGATGAGTTTCAGACTGTTTCGATTGACGAGACTAGCTTTGAATTCAAATTAAGTCTTTTGTATATTAAAAGGCAACCTGGAATTGAAGTAGCAAAAGTCAGATAGCTGGATTAACACTCAGCGCTTCCAGACAATTCATCGCACAAACAAAAAATTTAATGCATTTATAAAGCAGCACTTACCATTTTCTTAATAAATAAATTCTTTCTCGTCAATAACCTGGAAGAGAATTAAAGTCAGAAGACATCGAACACTCTATATATACTTTTAGATAAGTGTGATTTTCTAATGTGCAAAATTATGCTCTATTCAGATCACGAATTGAAATAAGCCAATAAATCTGTTAAAATCAACAACAACGATAATGACCCGCACTATTTGCTGCTGCTCCGCAGCTGCAACCTATTTACCCAGCGAACGCCCCCAACCATAAAGAGAAACTGGTGTGATTCTTTAATAACTTAACTCTATTCAGATCACGAATTGAAATAAGCCAATAAATCTGTTAAAATCAACAACAACGATAATGACCCGCACTATTTGCTGCTGCTCCGCAGCTGCAACCTATTTACCCAGCGAACGCCCCCAACCATAAAGAGAAACTGGTGTGATTCTTTAATAACTTAACAACGATAACACTGCAAGTCGCGCATTTTTCATATTTAGGACGCCACACCTGTTTGCTTAATAGTCAAGTGATAATTTTCGAACGGGATAATTGTTCTGACCTGGATCTGTATCGAAATATCTGAACTGTCACGGGGCTACTGAAATTGAATGACGTAATTCCAATGGCCATAACAAACGGATCTACCGTCTAATAAAAACAATTTTTAGACGTATTGCTTAACGAAATATGCCAGTTTGCGATTTCCATGATTTGTTATGAGGTGGTTGAATGATGTTTTTTCTATTGATTGTAAAATTGAAGAGGTTTGTTTTAGACGTGGTTCTTGTAATGTTTTGTATAAATTAACACATTATGACGTAACGGTACTTATAGTTAGTTGTAGAGCACGAGGCCATGGAGTAAAAACGTATTATATGTGAGCACATGATTAGGCCCTTTTTCACAACATAACAGTTCGAACTGCTTTTCTACTTAAAAAGGCCTTGTTGTATTTAGAGGCTGGTGAAGAGCAAACAGTGTATTAATACCTCTTTCTGCCCGATCAGAAATGTATTAAAAACGCCTTAATTAATACCCCCTTTACTTCTTACCAACATAGCACTTACGTTTTAAGTATCACAGAAAGAAAGAAATATGTATCTACTAAACCATCAAATTTTTCAAACGTAAAAGCTATTTAAATAACAGTACGGTCCTCTTATTCCACTATCAGAGCCATTTTATGTCTATGTTTGCGAAGGGTGCATCGGCAACCATACACTGGTTTCACCGCTGCCATGGATTGCTAGCAAAGGAAGATACAAAGGACAAATTCGGGATTGGCAGTGAACTGAAAACAAAAGAACTTCAGAAACTACGATCTCACTTGAAAGCCAAAACATTTGACCTTACAAAAATTTCGATCAAGACCACAGCGGTATGGTAAGCATTCAATTTAGTATCTGGTCTGTCTGCAAAATTATGTATTAATAGTTTTCCTTTTATGACATATTTTACCTTTAAACTAGAAAGAGCCAGCCTCCAAATTTGATCACTAAATTACAACCTTACTTATTGATAAAAGCAAGAAAAAGAAAAGGTTCAAGACAGGTCCCTTGTGGTAGCCTACTATTATGATGCAAAAATTATTTTAGGCTTGCTTCTTTAATAGATAAACATACATTCCTCATTCTGATCTTTGACTTCTATAAAGTCAAACCTCCTTTTCAAGCCTCGAGAAACAAATGGTACCCTGGGAAGAAATATACTGTACTAATTTTGACTTCTGTGGTACTCTAGATGCAAAAGGCCAGATATGTTTGTACAGAAGCGTGTAGGCCTATTTTCGATACTTGTTTCTAAGGCTTCTGCAACCGTTCCCTTTAAATTTTGCCCTGAATTGGGAAAAACTTTCTGTTTGGAAAATATTTTCCACAAAGACATACGCTCAATGTAAAATCCTGCTAACTCTAAAAAACCAATGTGGTTCAAATTCCAATTTCAACAAACCGTTTACTTTTGTGCCAAACTTCAATCAGGATATCATTCAGGTTGCTTGCAGCAGTGAAATTTGAGGAAATTTGAGGAAGTTACCCCCGGCAAACAGGATAGGAGAACAGCTTTAGTGTCATCATCGAAACAAATTATCTGCCATTAACAACAACAAGAGGATATCGACAAAAAACGAAATACACAGCGCCTAGTTATCACAGTTAGACAATAAAATTGTAGCTAGCTAATTTTTAGCCACCACGCCACTGCTTTACATTCTACTAGTTCCCAAAGTAATAGCTCCTATAACTGAAAGTTTGGCCCCCGGTTAGCCCCCCTCCCCCCAGATTTTTAAGGCTATAATCCCCACTGCCGGTGTCATATGCGTTCCGGTAACCTTATGTATTGTGGTCCGGGTACACAAACGCATGACAATTTTGGTTATGCAAAAACGTACCCAAGCACTTAAACAATAGGGTACCAAAACGAATGGTGGAACTTAGCATGCAAAAAGTTCCGGGTACACAAACGCATGACAATTTTGGTTATGCAAAAACGTACCCAAGCACTTAAACAATAGGGTACCAAAACGAATGGTGGAACTTAGCATGCAAAACGTTCCGGGTACACAAACGCATGACAATTTTGGTTATGCAAAATCGTACCCAAGCACTTAAACAATAGGGTACCAAAACGAATAGTGGAATTGAGCATGCGAACCGGTCGAATGTTCTGGTTCATATTGTTCAGAATATAAAGAACAGTTGAACTATTTTTGTAAAAGGGATGCAAATAAGAAGCGGTGCTGGTACAACATTAATGGTGACTCCAAACTTTGCGTGATTGAAAAGTGTAAATATTAAACTCTTAAAAACGTGTCAAAACATCGCACAATGATGAAATCACACGATCTGAAACACATTACGTTTCACAATGTTACACTTTTGCATAGGGTACCAAAACGCATATTACACCGGCAAACAGGATAGAAGAACAGCTTTAGTGTCATCATCGAAACAAATTATCTGCCATTAACAACAACAAGAGGATATCGACAAAAAACGAAATACATAGCGCCTAGTTAACACAATTAGACAATAAAACCAAGCGCTCCTTTTCAGTCTATTCATGGATTGAAATCAAAACAAATTTATGCAACATGCGTAAAAGACGCTCACAGTTTCGTAACACACTTCACCTGGCTACTGTATACTCACAGCATAGCAGTCAAAATTCTTTGATTGGCCGAGAGCCCAGGCAATCATCTATTGTCTTCAAATGGTATTGGAAAATGACCTATGAATTACGACTTTCATGAGACCGACACAACACAACCGTGTCTATTTAATGATACAAAATTTGCTACATGGCTTGAAATCAAATAAAAAAATTCTTCGGCACCAAAATAATAAAATACTGTGTCTAGGGCATAAAAATATAAACAAATTTCGTACACAGTGCAAAGAAAAATTGACGGACAAAAAAACTATTCACTATCTTAAACTTACATTAATACAATCTTAAGATACTTTTTTAGAAAATGATAAAATTGAGTGATACACAGCACTACTTTGTCCTGTTACAGATACGCTGGTAACAAGTAGAGCTAAAACTCACATCATGTTTAAGGGATATCAAATACTTTCACGGGTCTCTCCTTTTTGCTGGAGAAGTTTAACCATGCTTCGGGATCATCAGGAATTATAGGTGCCACATGCGTGATAATCTCTTTATATTTTACATTGACAAATCGCACAGTTTTCGGAGGCTGTTGATATCTATCAAGAAAAAACGAGGACAAGGGTGAGGGATATTTTTGATACGGTTTTTATAGAATCGAGTATTGCTGAAGTACAAAGTAAAATCTTAGGGATAGGAGCGACAGAACCTATCAATACATATTCAATAAATGTCGAATCTTAAAGGCATTTCATCAAATCAATATACAATTTTTGTAAATGCAAAAACAGGCGATTCATATACAATAGTCGCAAGAGAAATGGATCAAATATGGAGATTTCACTGAAAAAATATCTGAAAGCTGCACGTACACTGCAAAATTTCGATCCCTCACAGACAAAAACTGGATGTAGTGATTAACAAATGATAAGGATCAAAATTTTCTTATTGAAAACAATCAAAGAAATAAATCAGAGGTTTACTTTCAATACATGTTGCTAGCTTACATGTCAAGGATTTGTAGGTGTAAATATGAACTGAGGCTTTTAATATCAGATTAAAGTAAGGCTTAAGTTGATTGTATTAAGTGCAAACCTTAGAGTCTCTTTATTTGGAAGATATTACTGTATATCGATAATATGTATACGGGAAAAGAAGCTCCAAGAGGGGCTTGTAAACTGTGCTTGCATCCTCTTGTAAGTGGACGGAATAAAAACTTACACTACAGATTCTTGTGCATCAAACAATGAACCCAAAAAATATGGATGCCTGCTCCGGACTGTCAAACGTGCAGTGATTTTCCACCAAACTGGGTGACCTTTAATGTCTTGTTAAACTACGCTAAAAGTTTGCATAATTGGGAATTTCTGTTAAAAGATGAGAAATTGCAATTTTCCAAACGTTTACAGAGTATTTCACGGGCTTTTGAGAGAGCTGGCCGATTAATCACAAGACAATTTACAAAAACACAATGCTCTGATCAACAAAGTACAGATCTGACAATCACAGCATTGCGTGATTCGATGGGAGTAAAAAGTTGCACACACCTGTCGTTCGGCTTCACAGCCACAGTCGCGATATGCTGGAACAGACAGCAATAAAAGTGAGAAAAGCTTAAAAAATCACGGTTAGTAGCAAACAGAAATGTCTTAAAAAAGATTTAAGTTGCGTGTGGTACTTTAATCAAACAACAACAATTAGCGAATAAACTTAATACCAAGATGTAATAGAATGTTAAAAACACGACGTTTCGAGCATGTATGTACTCGTTATCAAGGCAAAACCATCTTATCTATGATGGATCAAAACTAAAGATATAGACAGTTTCAGCCCAAAATCTAATACAAAGAACAAAAAATCTTTTGCCACATTCTAAAAACTTGTCATTTGTTAATAGTGGTTCAAAATAGTGGTTCAATCGACTGTCTTCCGCTGGAAACCAACCAAATTATGTCACAAACCTCGTCATCGATAAGAGATTCGTGAAAAGTCCAGTCACTTTTCTGGCCATTAACGTACAATATACTGTCAGCTACAATGTCCTAGGAACACAAAGAACAAAAAGCAAATAGCTAAATAATCTTTGTTCAAATATACAACTACTAGTAATAATATAGAATACTATATTACTCCATAAACACGCCAATACTGTTCAAAATAACTCCATTCTATTTTGCAAACGGAAATGACAAAAATTATCGTGAAGAAATGTAGTCGCATTTCATAAAAAAGAACAAACCATAACTAAAGCGAGACAAAATGTTAAGCGGGGCAAACAGATTCAGTATAATATAATATAATATAATATAATATAATATAATATAATATATAATATAATATATATTATAAGATATATAATCAAATAAATATAATATAATATTAATATAATTGATAATTAATAAAATAGATTAATATAATTAGCTTCTATAATCATATTCATAATTATAACTAAATATGAAATTATAATATTAAATTATAAAGTATAAATGATATATAATATAACTATATTATACTATACAAATATAATATAATATAATATAATATAAATATAATATTAATATAAATAATATTAGATATAATATAACTAAACTTTACAATTATACAGAACTATAATATAATATAACTATAATATAATAAATATAATATCACATTAATATAATATAACTATATATAAACTTATAATATAATATTAATATAAATATAATATAATTATAAATAATATAACGTATAAATAATATAATATAATATACATAATAAATATAATATAAAAGTATAATAAATATAATTATAATATAATATAATTATAATATATAAATAATATAATATAAATAAATATAAATAATTAATTATAATAATATAATATAATATAATATAATATAATATAATATAATATAATATAATATAATAATTTGTTATGTCCATATAAATAGATATTATAAAGTAGGATATGTTGGCAGAAAATATAACATCATAAATTAAATAAATTATGATTCAATAAAGAATTTATCAATCAATATCAAAGAAGTAAACATAAATATCATTAAGTCAAACCAATTGATACTAAGCAAACCTCTTTTGTCAATGACTCAGTATTCAACTCAAATCTCATGTACTCAGCTGTGCTTGTTCCCAGTCCAGTGCCTATAGCTTTCACGTAACTTTCTTTTAAACACTGTAGACAAAGAAGGTATAGTTAAATCATTTTAATCTACAAAAAGCAGAATCTGAAAGGTTATTAATGGGAGAAAGCCTTTTTTCATCAACATGTTCCCACGACAACTGCTTAAATAAATAGCAGCTCCGGTAATGACTAAGTTAAAAGAACTTTTCTGCAAAATATGGTGATAATTACAAACAGAGCTCAGCATTCAACAAAATGCTGTATAAACAATCCCATCAGAATTGCCATAAGCCCAAAAGGAGAGGAATCTTTTACGTAAAAGACTTAAAATCGTCCTATTAAAGAAAACAGTTGGCGAGTTTAAATTCAAACATGATACTGAATCCCTTCTCATCGTCTTCGCCTGAAGGCTATTTTAACAGCATTAATGATAACCAAGCCACGCATGATACTGGTGAAGAAGAATCTCTTATGATCTCCAGCCAAAGAAAAGCAGCCAAGCTTTTCCCTCCCAAATCTACATTGAACCCAAAAGCATAAAAGTTTGCTTCTTGGGATCTTCACATTGAAGTATGCATGTATGAGATATTTAAATCAAGCCAAAAACAATCCAACCTTTCATTGGAAGAATGGAATTGCTTTCAAGCAATTGAAAGAGCTGGACGATATTGTCATCAGACCAGCAGAAAAAGGAGGACGAATTGTTAGTTGTTTGGCGTAAAGATTACTCTCAAATGCAAACCACGTCCTACCAAGCTCTAGCCAAGAATCCAACCAAATCTTTTATCAAAACCATTATCAATTTTGTCAAAGAAGAAATCGACAACTAAAATCATCCATCAAACGTTTCAAGCGCATTATTTTCAGAATTCCAGAACTCCTGTTCCCTATATGCTGCCTTAGATTCACGAACACGATAATTCTAAACGCCCAATTTTATCAGCTGTCTTCTACCCAATATTTCAAAAAGCAGCCTATCTCAGCTCAATCTTCACACCAATCGTCCAATATCTTCCTACGGTTGCCAAAGATTCTTTGCGTCTTAAAAGAATTTGAATTCAAAGGACTTAACAATTATATCTGCACTATAGATGTCAAACCATTTAACACATGCATTCCACACAACGACGAGCTACAAGCACTAAAGATTTTCCTTGACGGGTGACGTTTCCAAAGCCCAACAACTACGACTCTTTCTTCACCTTGCTGAACGAGCCCTAACAACAAATGTCTTCTCTTTCAACGGTCAATATTATCCTCAGATGTCTGCTGTTGCCATAGGTAGCAAACGTGGCCCAAGCTGTGCCTGTCTCTTCGTTTGCCACTAGAAAACTTATCTACAAATTCTATGATGGGCCTTTGCTTTGCATCATCAAAAGAAACATTGACGACATCGTTTGAGCGATCTCTCTTTCTTTTGCTGATCTCCAGCAATGCATAAAAAATACCAATAATTTACAAGAAATGCATAGACTTCAAACACAACACCCAGCAGCCTAGTGGACCTAAGCGTACATTAATTTACTACAATAGGTTCTTTTCTGTTCTTTACAAATCTTCCTCCAGTTCTTTGTGATTGTTTCAGTTATGTCGCATCTCGAATCCTTTTCTATTTGTCAAACCTTGTCTTCTCTTTGTTCTGCTCGATTCTTTTCGAGTCACTTGACAGCGAGTAAATGCTCGTAACGTCGTACTATAACAGTCTTTATTTGGATAAAGTACCACCTTCAGCATGGCACACATGAGCATATCGGCAGCAATTTTTTAACAGCTTTGGCCAAACCTATTTCTTTTCGTATGGATTACATTATTTTTTTAAAGCTTTGTAGCGGAAAATTTTCTTGATAAAGAGCATACCACCACTAGAATTTGGTATCTGATTGGAACTAAATTTCGTTGCTTCGATTATAAAATTTTTAGGAAAAGAAAGCATACTCGATGCATAGACTACTGAAATTGAAAGAGTAATTAACAGGATATTGTCTACCCAAAATCTGTAGAACGCTGCCATTTGGTCTCGCTCCGATTCTTTGGATTTGATTACTTGCCACTCTTCTGGCGTAAACTGACGGGTCATTGTTTTGAAAAAATCAGGAACGGTTGTATTTACTGCAAAAAACGTACAAATTAGTTTAATTTACAGTAAACTGATGAATAATTTGAAATTCATGTGAGTAATGAATTGAAAGCAAAACAAAAGAATCATACTAAATATGGAAGGGTTAGATAATATCGTCAACATAAATAATTAAGAATTATTATATCAATATACAATATTATTTGTACCTCTGATGAGAAACACAAATTACTATTAATAATGACAACCAAATAATCACAAAAAAGTGTGCAGAAAAATTAGGAAATAGTTTGAAGTTTTATTTAAACAGGAAAGGAATGGAAGTAACATTATCACCATTCAAAATAATCGAAGTATTGTTTTCTACTCAAAATACAATACAATTATGCACTTTAGTTAGTATCAAGCTATGGTGCCAAACTAACTAATTCAAAAAATGTAACTTGATGGATGTGTTAAGCTACACAGGCACCCCTAACACATAATTATAATAAATCAAATCTGTTTTTCTAATCCTGTAGCACTGGATCTTTGATCAAAACTTTTGTTTGTAATTTTTCTGTCAATCACATTTAGGATAAAATGCTAAACGGTACAAGCAAAACAATCCATATGCAAGAAGCCACAGCAATGACAGGTTATGAAGCCCTAAGTGAGCTGCTGCCTAGCTTACATGTTTAATAAATCTTTATACTTTAGGCTGAATAACATTTACATGTCTGTGTGCGTGTGCATTGGTATAGTTCCAACTCATTGGTATAGTTTCTTCAGAAAATCTAACATTAACAGATAAATCAAATTTAGCTTACCAGGCCGATCAATTTTCATTACATCTACACCAACTGTTAAAATGAAGATCAAAACACTCTTAAAACAGATCTAAATATTTTTAAAAACTTACACCATTGATACAAATACTTTGGTTTTTGAAAAAAACACCCCCTTTCTAATCCCATAATATCATATAGTTCTGAAATATTTTGTAAATTCTTTCCCAAAAACTTTAAATTTAGTATAGATAATAATGGAATACAAAAATATAATTTTCAAAATTAGGAGGTTCAATATTATATGACCAGACTCTAGGACAAAATCAGATTATTTCAATTATATTTTTTTGCTCTACAAGACAGTCTTATAAGATTTTATTTTGCTCATCCTATTTGCATTATTCCTTTTTATTGTTCATAGCTATTTTCATTGCAAAGATTTGAGAATCTGGTGGACAGCCTACTTCACATGTATTTTTTCTGGTATATCAAAACATATTGAATAAAGTATGGTTTTCATGATGAAAATATGGGGGAAACTGTCCTCAGAAATCTGAATAGTTCAAGTCCGAACATCTTGTGTTACGGAAGACTTCTCATATTACATGTGAAATGAAGTTAAGAAACATTTTTAATTAAATTACAAAATAATTTACCATCATTCAGTAAGCTCCCAGCTATGACAGAATAATTTCCCTGGAATCAGAATGAAGAATAATGATTTCCAGCAAAATGAGCATTAAAAAAAGGCTATACAACAAGATTTAAAATTCAATTTTATTACTGTGCAAGTTGTCCACAAAAATGTGACAAAACATAACTGCCCAGTTGAGATTACAGCAAAAGAGATTGCAGAGAAAAAAGCACAAGACCAATGGATTAAAACCAAGCCTCTGTGAACAAATTTTACAATTTTTGTCAAATATCTAATAGTTTTATCTGAAAATTGGCTACTCCAAACCATATATAATTTTCATATAAGTGAAAGATTATCAATATCCTTGGCTAAAAATCGCCAAGATCAAGCACATTGACTGTATTTTGAAAAGCTTATATTTACAGACATGTTCAATGATTGACAAAAAGTTAGGAAGAATCTCTGAGAAAATGATGCAGAGCTGAAATAACTTATTTATTCAATTGGTTCCAAAAACGAAATACCCACTAGGAATTACTAGCTTTTGTGACAAGAAGCATCTTTACAACACAAAGAAATTTAATTGAAAAAAGTATTAAAATAATCTCATTTTGACAACAACAAAAATGATTATAGAGCTTTGATTAATCAAGCCTTGTGTTGTAACATATCATTTAACTGAAAATGTCAAACATTTGTTTTTGAGAATGCTTCTTTCTAAAATGTAAATATATAACTTGAACTGCTGTTAAAAATAACACGAAGGAAAGGATTTTCTGCATACCTGATGTGACACATTGAAACTTAGTCCAGAACTGTTGTTGACCTAAAAAGGAGAAACTAAATCCAGAACTGTTGTGGACCAAAAAAGTACTTTTTGTTTCAAACAAGACCACCTCAGTGTCAGTTACATACTCAATTCATATAGGAAAAGGAGCAGTTTAGTAATTCCCACCTCAACCAAGTTTTTATGTATTTTCATATTTATATTTTATTCAGAAAGGAAATAAACACAAATTTTAGCTTTAAAACTGTTTATAACAGTATGCAGTTGCTGCTTTGATGTGCAGACCTTATGTGACAGATTAAGCAAAAACCTTATTTTATTACTCATGGAAGCTAGAATGTATTTCAAGAGACCTTTCACGACAGGGTTGCTACTGCTCAGCTTTGCATATCAGTATTGAAAGGCTTACTTACTGTCAGTTTCATTGTTTTGCATTGCTATGATGAGTAAAAGCTTTAGGAATCACTCGGTATAGAGAAGACTGACAACCATTGCCCTATAGAAACCTTCTGCTTTGTTTCTTTACAAAATTCAAAAAAATAATCAGATACTGACTTACCAAGAAGGGCTTAGATTTCTGAGTTCTTTCAAGGACAATGTCTGGTGCAGGGATGCCAGCAAGATAACTAATGCAAGATCTGATTAGAAGCCTTCCTGCCTGTAATAAAATATGTTTCCCTGAAAACTATAAAATTTACTCAATTACAGAATTTTGAAATGCATTTAAGGCAAAAATTGAAAAAACTGATGGCAACTCAAATTCAAAATTCAAATTTTCTGGTAGCCTGGGGTGAATATATGAAACAGAATCATGAACTCAACTTTTATGATAATAGCATACTCACCAAAGCAAGTTTTGCATCATTTTTAAAAACAAACTGATGAACTCTCTTCTTCTCTTCTTTGGAGATACAAGAATTTGCAAATAACCAATCCTTACGACAAAAAGTAATGCAAAACTTGAAAATAGATTTTTAAAAAAGGAACAAGGAGCAGATATTTGCACTGAACATTATCCTTGGTCGGTGACATTTTATATCCTTTGTCTCATCACATGTGATTGTGTAAATAAAGTATGCATAAATTTTTGTTAAGTGTATTCTATTGAATTACTCAATGTTCATTACTACTTGAGTCATATGCGTTTTTGTTATTTAAATTAAGAAGCTTCCATTCCCCATTTCTTTTGAAACAAATAAAAGACAAATGACCCACGAAATTTCCTCGAGAAAGATTCCGATGATCTTAATTAAAAAGATATGTCTCTGACTTGCCTGCGCAACAGGTATCCATTCAGCAATATTAAAAGCCCATCTGATGTCATTCATAATTCCTTTAAATAAAATCATGAAAAAAAATTATATCCCGAGTCATCAAATGACTCAACAAGTCAAATGTAATTTTAGTGCATATTCCCTTTAGAAGACCAAAAATTTGCCGCGTTTATTATGAAACCTCGTATGGGTGTTGACAATATATATCGCCTCTCTCCCAATTTATAATTCTATATCAACTCTGACGTCAAGAATAGACACCCCTATCCTACTATATTTTGCAGGACTTTCTTTATTTCAAACCTCTGTTTTCCTGATTAAACATTTAAAACGATCTTGCAATCACTCTGAAAAAAATTGGAAGGCAGCGTGCACAATTGACGCCCCCCACTTCCCCCCTCTCTCTCATCAACTCTTGTTAGTTACGTTTTCAGGGACGCAGGAGCAAATTTTAGAGAAGGGGGGGCTCTAGAAAAGTAGGGGGCTCCTTATGTAGCTTGCCATCATTATCTTTGATGCCACAACCTTGAAATCATACTTGGTGAAAAAGTGGGGGGCTACAGCCCCCGGCTCCGGCGTGCCTGGTCTTAGCAAGTTGACATCGATTTTCATCACCTAATGCCAAGAGAAAACAATACAAATAACAATTTTAGCGAATTTCTTTTTAACTTAATGTATTCTAAAGAAATGTTTCTTAGTATTAAAAATGCAACATAAATATAAAAGCATCGTGTGAAACTTTTTGAACGCGACTTGGCCCAAACATAACACTAAACTTTACTCAAAAAATGGCATGATGTTCTTTAACAATTCAATATGGTTATGGGTATACCTTTACTATACCTGTCAGTCAAGTTTTCCGTGCCTTACGTAAGTCTTGTCTAATGTGTCTTCGGTGATTTTAAAGTCTTATGTCGTAAGCTGAAACTCTTACGCTTTTTCTCTAATTACATAGTTACAATGTGCTTTTGATATGTTTGTTTACGCAATACGCAATATTTCGAACGTGTCATACTGAAATTTACGAGTGCGTGCAGGCTAACCTGTGAGAAGTCCGTATATTCTGAAATATGATTAATTAAACAAGTTTAAAAGTTTTGTTAGGTGGTTCCCGGTGGCTCCTTCTGTGAATCATCGTAAAACTCTACTATTATTCATCATGTGGTTTTCTTACTGTGTCATTTAGGCTAGCACCAAGTTCTAATTCTGCATTTGTTTTGAAAAAATAATTATAAATGATATTAGGTTTTCTTATGGCAAAATTACCCTTTCATACACAAACGTATGGCACAAACGTATGGCTTTGTAGGCAAAATATTTCGTTAGGACACCAGAGTAACTTGACAGGTATGCTTGACCAACCTACACTTCGGTTAAAAAAAAGAATGTATTAGTGGCTGAGCCCTATTATACAACGTTTGTATTGTGAAATATCAAAGTTTACCGCTTATTTCTTGACCATCTACTAAAATTCCAGTTACGATTTGACAGACATTTGACATTGAAGATAGAGTTGGATATGACGTGAACGAAAGTTCGTGTATATTTTGGGTTTATTTAGCAGGGCTCGCGCCACTGATCCAAAATTGAAGGGGCCAGCAATCTAAGGAAAAATTCCTCTTCCCCCCTTTAGTCCCAATTGTGGCAATGTGTTTCCTGAGGTTGTTTAACTTGTGGGCTTAGGTTCAATGCATGTGTGGCGCCGGCCCTGTTTAGATTTGGAGCCATAAGTTTAAGCTGGCACACGGGGAATTCTCACTTTTACGGTCAATTTTTAGGGCTTGTGCTACTTATTATAAACTGGAGAGACAAGCAATGTAAAGGAATTTTCCTGTTTTAAAAACGAAAACTTTCGGCGTGACAAACTTTCGGACAAATCTTTGTCCGAAAAATTTATTTGTTGGAATTCGAGAGTTGTCCGAAAGTTTGTCATACCGAAGATTTTTGTATGAACCACGCTTGTGCAATTTTTACTGACTGAAGCAAAAGATACATTTTTAAACAGGACTGTCTGCCAAACTTTTGAAAACATTACTCTTTCGAGCTTATAGGAACACCAGTACAAACATATAATATTATCGTTATCATTGTCTATCAAAAACTCACCTTCACTTTCTTCTTCCCTTTCCCTCTCATCTGAATCAACCAGGGGCGTCGCTAAACTCTTTCACTAGGGGGGCTGCCAGTCACCAATGTGCTGCCAAAATAGGGCGCGACCTAAATATATCAATTTTTGGGTGTGGTATTTTGACGCATCTCTTCAGTTAATCATCGCTTCAATTTTCACGCTGTAATTTTCTTTACCTGAGTACTTTAGGGTACCTTCTTTGATTTTACTCTAGAAGTCAAGTTTTGAGCAATGAGTACCCTCATTTATTCAAATAGTTTAGCACGCTTAAACAGAGCCTTAGTTTGTAGGAGCAGTTCTCGCAGGCAGAGCCGCCGAGTGGTTTCGGAGGCAAAACCGAAAGACGAGGCCCCTTGCGAGCGGAGCAAGCAGGGCTGTTTTGCGACCACGCCCTTTATATTATCTTAAAAATGCATTTCAGAGTATTTCTTGCAGTCATTTCTTGCAGTCGTTTTGATCGTTTTACTTTTTTGGCATACTTTTGCTACTTTTTGCTCATTTCATTCTTTAAATGGAATTCATTACTTTATGAGGCCCTCTAGATCTCGAAACCCTGGGGCACTTTGCCCCCTTGCCCTGCCCTGCTTCTAGTATCTCCAGGAAGGGCCGTCGCGAGGCAAGCCTTGTTGGGGTGGGGGGTGTGGACTACAAGTTTACCTGATTAGAAAATTATTGCGTGAAATTCTTTAGCTGCTGTCACAAACCTCTGCAATACATTTTGTCAATCTAACTCTGTATATAATTCGCAACTTTCATTATTATATGATAATAACGGACTTTCCTAATAGTTTTGTCAAATCTCTATATCGGGACAGACATAGGATATAGTTACTACCTGAGGCGGCACCGGTTGCCGCCGAAGGAGGAGGACATTTTTGAATTTTGATGCTTCTAGTTCCCTGGAAAATGCACTCTTTTAAGCACATTTCACTAAAGCATTCCTCCTAGTCCTATTGAAATTTACTTTTTGCAAACAAATTGAACAGCAGATAAAAACAAATCATGTTGTCAGTTACTTCTAAAGCTAGGTAACAAGCAGCACTGGTTGTCAATTTAGATCCCTCTTTCCATCTTAGGATGCCATTTGAATAGGGTGGGGTGGGGGTCTGACACCTTCCACACCTCCCGATCGCGACGCCCCTGCCTCCAGGATCAGCGTTCAGACTTGTTCGAAAAGTTTGACCCTTCCCCAAATTTAGGTGGAGATTAGGTGGCCTCGATATGCTGACAGTTGTCTATGTTCTAGACTCTGGCTACCGACTTGGAGTCATTTGAAATTTCAAAAGGGACATTTGCCCCTTCGTGACACCCATAGCGCTATCTGTTCCTATTTTGAATTGCTGAAGGCTTTTGGGTGATATTTTTTCGGTCTTATCCTAATCTTGTCCCCACTATATGTCAAAGCTTTGAAAGCAAAGCCTGAATATTCTAGGGGAGAGGGGGGTGGGTGCCGCACCCCTGGTAGCGACGACCCTGGAATCAACAGTATCAATGCCTTCGAGAAATGACTGATGATAACTTCAGCCAGAAGCAGGCTGGAGGCCAGAATAGGGCTGGGGGCCAAGCCCGCAAGATGGACAAAAGTACTATTGTTTGGTATATAAACTGGGTTACAGTTTGTGGCTTTAGCCCACCTTAAGGTTTCTCCTGGCCATGGGCTAGGGAAGGTAACACTACTAGAGAATTAAACTTGACAAAAAATTTGAACATATAAAGAAAATTTAGTTATTTTTCTTGAATTTTCTGTGTATTTTAGAAACTTTGATCTCGGAAGGAGACTTCACTTGAGGGCCCTTGAGATGGTTAGTTGACATACAAATATTTTTCATAAGAAATTAAGAACTTGAGCAAGTTTTATACTGAAAGTTTCTTTTCAATACTCTGAGATTCTCCAAGTTCCTCAATTTGATTCTGAGATTCGATTAAAGTTTACTTCGCATAGACCAACCTCTTATATCTTCAAGTATTTGTAATTACAAAAATGCATTTTTTCCTCTCTATGTTATGGCTACGGGGTAACAGAAATGATGCTCGCTGGGGTATAATCTTTGTAGTGTATGTAAAGTAGCGTTCAGTTAAGGTGTTACAGTAACTTTTTTGGAATGTATAAAAAAAGTTTCTCAATGAGTTCAATAACAATCTTATAACTTGATGTAGAAGTTTTTCTTTAAACATCCAAAAGAATCATCAACATCTGTCTGAAATTTCAACAACATGTCCAAAAATATTTTAGCCAAAAATTATTGTCAGAAATGCTATCTGCTCAAAGTTTTTGTACTTAATGTATCCCTCTGCCCCTGTTGTGATACAATTTTTGCTGGCAGTGTTTTACTTGTGGACTTTGGTTCAATATGTTGGCTGTAATATATAGGTTGGTTTATGTGAATAATTTGAGCTGATTTTTATCCTTTATATGGCAAAAAAGTGATGAGACAATGCCCACCTGCATACATTGTTTTGGTGATAGGAACTGGAATCACTATTTCCTTAATTTTACAGAAATATCAAAATCAACTTATGATCGTCCCCCTTTTCTCTCCAAACCTTTGTCAACTTCTATGTTACCTGCAGTTCCACCAGCAACATTTCTGGGCCCTTGAGCAAAAAGAAAGATGGGGCAGGTGATGTTGTCATTAAAACTTTAATTGCTATTGCTACGAAACTTGTTATTGGTTTTTGAGCTCCTATCAGCTTTTGGTCTGGGCCAATCTGTACCCTCTCAGCAAACTTGGTGACCTTCATAAGAGGTTGGCATTCTTTTTTATGACAATCCCCACTTATCATGATTGGGCTTGTTTGTTTGTTTGCCCCTACTTTTATCTATTTCAAATCTTTGTTTATTTCTGGCTGCAAAATTCTAGCGGCGTGGAGCGTAGGTTTGAAAGGCCAGAAAATAAGGGGAGGGATCCAGGTTTATACTGGTCTTTGTGGCCCTACATGTCTTTGCAGCCTGAAGTTATGCTATCAAACTGTGGCAAATGAAGTTGATGCTTCTGCCCTGTGACAATGTGGAAAAAGCTGACAGATAGCAGTTTTCAGCATCAGACTACATACTTTGAATAGAGTCAAGACCATAGCTCAGGGTGTTGAGCAGAGTTCAGACAGAATCTTGAAAAAAGAGCAAGTTTATTCAGTCATTCTGTAGGGGGTCCAAGGGGCCTTTGTTGCATGCATCCTAAGGTCAATTGCTTGCAGGCAGAGGTCCTCTATATTTTATCAATTTGGGGAAAGTTTCCCTTGTAGTCCAAGGCCTTGACAAAAGTTGCATACAGGGGGTAAATGACTACTTGTTAACTTTTTTGCTTGTAAACTGCAAATTACAAGGCATTCTTAAGCAAAGTTTAAAGTGAAGTGTCCTTAAAGTAAATTGTCTGATGAAGGGGAGTACAGGTGCAAGGCTTTCTAACACTGTTTCCATAAATAGATTTTTGCAAGAAAAGGTATGATCCAGACTGGAAACTTTGTTTCTTGCATGGGCAAATTCATGTGCCTGACTGCTTGACTGCACACCTGAAATCATGCACTTTTAAGAAATTTGTATTGTTAATAATGTAAAATGTATTCAAATAGGGAATTTGCGTGGCCAATAAACAAAAGTGTTGGATGGAAAATATTACTGCACGGGCAATATATCGCTGGGCAATATATCGCTGGAGTGCGACAAAGTTTCCAGTCTGGAGTATGATTGATGGGAAAAGTATAAAAAAGGCTGTTTTGAAGAGGAGGAAAACATGAAATTCTCCAGAAAAAAGATATTGCAAAATAAAGGTCAATATTTGTTTATATTACTTCATCAAAAATTTTGATGATAATGCTTGGAAGGATGTCCAGTAAAAACTGCTTAACGTATGTCTTAATAATCATCATCAGAATCATCATCCCCATCACCACCTCTTATTGTCTTTCCTTTTTTCTTTGCAAAATTAAAGATTCCACCACCTGTTTCTCCTTTCAGGACTGGTCTTTCACCTTTATAATCGATTGCTTCTGATACTCCAAGCCTCCACTGAAGCATTTCAGTAGGAAACTCATCTACGCCTCCTAAATCATCAAATCCTACGATGAAATCTTTGGTTTTTCCGTCGATTATCGAGGCAATAGAAGGTAATACTTTTATGCGAAGTCTTTGACAAAGGAACAACGCCTTCTCCGCATCGATCTTAAAAAATTTTGTCTCCAGGTGTTTAGGGGCTATTATTTGAAGATGCTTATCAACTATTTTACACCTCATGGTCGAGTCCCTGTAAAAGTGACAGACAACACGTTCATGCTTTTTAACTTCTTCGAAAAATTCCTTTTCGTCCGCAAGCTCATCATATTTACCATGCCCTTGCAAAATCCACTCGTCCCTTTTCCCTGCCTGCTTTTTCAGTTGTTGTAGTCTTCTTCGACGAATAGCTTCCATATCGTCATCATCCAGGTTATCTAGACGCTGGATTTCTGCGTCGATACATTCCTCGACAACTTTGGCAGCTTGGACTATTTGCTGCTCCATTATTCAATGCGTTTTCACAACAGATACGAAAAGTTCGTCTTCCAGTGTCAGCTAATAAGTGTAACCGTGTACACTTAACAACCACAAACGAAATTTTGGATGCATCAAACGCTTTCAATGTTAGATGTCTTTACTTTAGAGGAGTAGTAATGCTTTTTCGGGATCTAAATATTCAAGAACCAGCAAGGAGCGAGACCCTTCAACAGTATGACAATTTTAGACTTATGCCTCTTTTTCAGCCAGAGCCTCAATATCCCAGCCTCGCCAGCTCTTGCGATCAAGACCAGACTGGTGTAATGGCCGCCTAATCGGTTTTAGCTTTGAAATAAGTCTGGTTGCCGCATTGATATAACAATGATTAAAACAATTATTTGGTTTGCTGGCGGTGGCTTATTTACTGCTTGTTTCGCCAATGCTTTTAAGAATGCTCCATTATTCAAAAGTAAGTATTTTTTTGCAAATCAAAATAAACCATGTCAGTCTCATCAGTTATTATGCCTAATTTTGTTACCTCATACTCGACGATGCATATCTACAATAAAGTAATAGGCATTTACATGAACATTAGAACTACTACATAAAGAACATGTTAATGTAACCCATACAAAATAATGCAGATGTCCAACTGTTGGAGTTTTTGCTAAGACATATCCTCTTCAGGTATCCATTTATGGCTATATGCGTGTGGGAGAAATAGGGGTTTGGGGCAGGCCTCATCAATAATAGTTTGCGCCTGAGAGCAGAAAGCTGAGGGAAAATGTGCCTGCAAGTAAAATAGATTGCAACTTGTGAGTAGATACTGGTAAATTTTGCGGATCTGCCTTTCTACTGAGTTTCTTATTAAACTCAGTGCTGCTACACCAACTTATGTTTGTCAAAAGCAGATACCATATCAATATGATTATAGCTACAATTGTATGAAAAATTGAATAACATAACAATTGCTGACAGCAATCTACATTGATGTGTGTCGCAAGAAAGGAAATGAAGTGAAAGGTCCAGTTGCGTTAATAGAAATTGTAAGAATATTTACATAACACTGGGTTTTCCTCATTCCACAGTTTAAATCTTTGCAGTGAAAGATTCTTTCCCCAATGAGTCCAGTGCAATATTTCTCAGTCAACACAGTGACTTTTACGGAATTTTCATACTTGTAAGATTTGATCATTTTGATGTGGAGATGCTTTCACTCCAAAAGTTGAAAGAAAAGATGCTTGTTTTTGTTGTCGCAAATTGTCAGAATTTTCTTCTAGCTGAATTTTATTCAGGTGTACCCCATAGGCATAGGAGACATAGGGGCTGCAAGAGTATAAATAAGTTATAACATAATGCTCAGAAAAAGGAACGAATGAATGATTGCGAGTGATCAGCAAATATAAATAGAAAGATAAATAGAGAGAAATAGAGAACAAGTAGATAAATAAAGATAAAGAGATAAAGAGGCAATATAGAGATAAAGAGACAACATAGAGAGAGAAAGAGACAAGACTTCAACTTGATAAAATATTGATATTCTGTCATTTTGGCAAGATTGTAAAATAAAAATGGAAACAATCGATTCAGCAGCCCCCTTTCTTTTCTTGTTTTAGACAACAGAGCCTGTTCGACCGAGAATCAGGATATCAAAAGAGAGATAAATAAAGGGGGTTTTAGTTAGACTATATCTTAGTTCTAAATAATATAAAATTATATACATATATAATTCATCATCAGGTACCATTATCTAGCAGAAGATTGGCTACCATGACCCTCCAACTATCCCTATCCTCAGAATATCAAAATCTGAGTTTTGGTTTGTTGTCATGTTCATAGATGAAACTGTCATGGTCATATCTGTCATGGTCATAGATAGATAAAACATATATAATTAGAAAGAACATTATAAGTATATATATGTGAAAATAGATTAGAAAAAGTAAATGGACAATTGAAAGTATATTTTACCAATTGAATGTTTTGCTTTTGCAACAGTAAGTGGTGTGTGGCAACTGGAAGCTGAAAACCTTTAACCAACTAGACCTAACTTCAACTACCTAACTTCAACTACCTTGTTGGCTGAAGACTGTGTTTGGCTATAAATTGCTGAGTACCATTAATTTCTCCTACAGGGAAAGACAATATATGAAATGCTCAAGTTTTTTTTACATGCGCTATCAGGCCTGGCCGTTTGTATTTTCATAGGTGAGCTGTGAATTGCTCCCCTCATTTGCTGAGGCGAGCTAAATCAGTAACACATAGAATGTACTTTAAAGACAATCGACAGATGACTTAATAAGCCCCTTAAGTATCTGTTGGTTGCCTTAATGTAATAGCCTCAGTCAGGAGTGTGCTGTTTTACTTCTTTCAATTTGCATTTGCTTTAACCGTGACTTAGGCACCCCCTTTACTTGAAGTATTTGTAAAGCTGGCACAACACAAAAACAACAATTCTCTTGCAAAACAATCTTTTTGTTGCACAGAATTTGAAAATGGCTTTAAAAATCAAATTTTGAAACAAACTTAATTATACGTCTAGCACTCTTCAGAGAATAAAACGTCAGAACATAGAAGGAAAACTCTACGCTAAAATACCCAGTTTTGGATCGAAATAGGCCATCAGAAAACGCGAGGACATGACTGTTGAGGTTTTCCAATAAGTGCCCCTTTCCTATTGAAAATGTTACCAACGGAGTCCTAAGGTGAAAACAAACTTACTTATTTCTACACAAAAGCAGTCGGCCATGTTTATATAGTAGATAGATTCACAAACTGCTACATAGATGGAACGATGATCAGGCTTTGCCAATAATGCGAAACATGTCGCCGTTATAGTTTTCACCCTATCTGGGTTTTACAGTAAATGCTGCTGGATAGTGGAATTCCATATTTTGGTTGTCGTTTTTGATCTGCAAGACAGAGTACCCTGTTCTCTTTGAGGGATAGTTTTGTTTCTATTGCTGGAAGGGACCTGCTGTCTTATTATATTCCCAATCTACAATTCCTACCCATTTCTTCGACTTTCCTTCCAAAAATATTCCTGTTTTCTTAGGATCGAAAGGTTCTAATCGCTACAAACGACGTTTGACTATTTCGGTTAACGCTACAAACCACCTTTCGGTTAACTATCCTTTTCCAAATAGATCGAAGTTTATGCATATCATAACAAAAACCGCCCAACAAGCAAAAAGTTAATTGCAAAAAATGCAGTGATGGGAGAAATCGTTGTTACAAAAATAAGCCAATTAACCCGTTTTCAGGGTTCTCTGAATAGGAAAAGGGCAAATAAATGGAAATTTTAGGGGAGTGATTCTCCCTTCATGTTCTGTTTAGGAGAGCAATTCATAGCTTGCCTCAGGTTGCGAGGGGAGCGTGGAGGCGAGCGCGAGCTATCGATCGCCTCAAACGGCCAGGCCTGCGCTATGTACACTGGTGTGACACTTGATATCTGTTTTTTGCTTGGACCCAACTTGCTTATTTCATGATTTTCTTTCTTTCTTTCAGAGCCATCTAGACATATTCTATTTACATTAGCTGGACTTGCCATTGGATATAGATTCCACTTATTTGAAGAAAATTCTGAAGATCTTTACAAAGAATTAATAAAGAAACACAAAAATGCACCCTGGTATGATAGAGGTGTTCTTTTAGCTGAGAAGGCTTCAAAGGGAGATGAAGATGAGACTGGTATGATTGAAGGTACTACAATATTTTGCAAGTATTTGGTGTTGTTTTGCTGCTACATAGTTGGATGAAAAATTTATCATTAATGCACAACATATAGACACCTCAAATTTCTGTTCCAAAATTTATGAATGATTATTTTTATAAAAAATGCTGCTTAGCCATTTCTACCTTTACAATGGACATTCTACCTCTATGACTGACATAGCAAATAAACTTTTGGACACAATGTATTCACCTCCAAACAGCTCAATATTCTGATATTCAGATCATAGTGCCTGCCAGTCTAGTAAGGATTTACAAACTAGAATATGTTATGGAATCCAGCTTTGTTTTTTGTTTTTTATTGACAAATAAGCTAACTACAAAAAGGAGCTTATAATCTAAATATGCAGTCGGAAGTAGAAAATACATAACATCATCTGGTCCCACTGTAAACTGCACTTACATTTCAACATTTTACAATTTAACAAAAAGAGAAGAAAAAAGCCAAAGAGCATATAAAATGAGAACATGTAATGGCTTCAATGAAGAGAATAGCCAAAAGCGTCACAAGAAGCTCTGCAATGCAGAACAAAACAACAAAAGAGAAAGAGAGGGCTGGGGTGCTACGAGCTGTACTGACAAGTTAAGGTTACATTAAACATTTTCTGGATGAAATCATCTATTTTTCGATTTCTTCAGATTCTGGTAGCCAGATTTTCAAGGCACACAATGATACCATGTTTAAAACTAAGGGAAGTTTTGAAAATGGCCAGAATCCCCTGTAAACAAAAGCTTCCATAATTTCTTTATCAAAGCTTTAGGCTGAGATCTGAAAATCGCTTGACCTTTCGTCCTTTCGGATCATCCTTGCTTTGTGGTTGTGGTTGCCTATCTCATTTGCAATAACTAGTTACAATCCCATGGCACACCCATGTATCCCATGTATGGCTGTGTTTGTTTAAACAGGCCTATTGATCTTTAAGCTTTAAATGACTTGACCCAGATCACACTGTGGTTTAGGAGTGTACCTTGCAAGTGTGATCAGTAATATCCCATTCTCTCAGGAACCACAATTTCTCTATATACAGGTACGAAAAAGCTATTTTGTACCCAAGGAACCAATTGAGTGGCTCAAAAATTTGTACACAGCTGGGACAGATGTTGGGTAACCAAAGCCTGTCTCAAAATATTTGTATTTGCCCTGGTCTGTCTTTTAGAGCCAAATACAAATGCGGGAGAGAAGAAGGATTGTTTATGGCACTTCCTGCTTATATGAGTCAGTTACCTCAACCGCAAGGGTACAGAATAGCTTTTGAAGATGATACACTCTTTTAAACAATAAATTTGCCTGGAAAATATAATTTTATAACATTTGCAATTTATTTGATATTGCTGGAATCACCTCATTCTTGTGCATCAAATGATGTATAGTTTAATTGGATTCCGATAATAGTTTGGCTTTTAGGGAAAGAAAACCAAATAATGTGTCAAAAGCATTTACCGTTTTGACAGATTATTTCATTATTTGACATATTGTCAAAAGCGTTTACCGTTTTGACAGTTTGTTTGTTGACATAATGAAATTTGTTGTGTTCTCTAAAATCAATTTGTTTGCAAACTGATTGAAATTAGGATTACCAAAGAGAAGTAATTCACATACTTCTATTGATGTCATGTCATTTGGTGGTAATCCACGAATCTCAGAGAGCTTAACAAAGAGATCACTTTTCAATTCTTTAAAGAGATGAAAATCCCAGAAATAGTGTTCATTATCCTCAACACCTATATAACAAACACAAGCTGGGCTGATAGACCCAAAGTTTTGGGAATCCAGCTCAAGCATTAGCTAAATATTTTGTAAGCAACAGTACTCAGTTCTCGGAAACAATCATACACAGAGTTGTCTCTCAAAGTTTTGAATTCTTCTCTTTGTCAACTATTTTCATGAATTTGGGCATAAAACCTTCTACTATGAGCCAAAATTCTTGTCATTGTGGCAAGGCACAAAAAATAACATCAAACATTATTCTTTGTCATACAAATTTTAAAAGCTTGATTTAAAGATTCATTTTGAAAATTATAAATAATTCAAGTGGAGGTGAGGGCAACACGGTATGCACTATGTGATATCTTCTGAAATGCATCACAAAATAGATGACTATGTAACAAAATGTGCTGAATTGAAGAAGTCATTTCTAAGAATGCTTTTTATTCTCCATGGAGATAGTACTATGGAGTTCCAATTGGTTATGAAATTTAGGCGCGCTTAATTTCATCGTTTCTCCTTTTTCACAAATTATAAACTGCAAGCTCAAGGTAAATGTTACAAGTTGCAAATGTCCATCACATTCATGACACTTTAAATGAGCTGCACCTTTTACGGATTGCTATAAATCATGTCAGTTGCTCTGGAGAGACAGATTGAGTTAAAAATTGTCAAAAATTCAAGCAAAATTATTCAAATGGGTGATTGTAGAAAAGTAATGGCAAGAGGCAACTTTGAGACCTAGTAAGAAAACCCTGAACATTTGATGATATCTGTTGAATAATACTTAAGAACAAGTTTTTGAAAACTTTCCATAATTGCATGCTAATACCAATTGCCTTGAATCAACCTGTAGTGTTCACTTTAATATCAAGAACAGCAGAGTATCATGCAATTGTGTCTGTTTGAATGTTTGTTGCTGCCTTTTTCCCATAGTTTTTTCTCAAAATCATTGAATAGAGATAAGCTTTGCAGACAAATTTCTATTGCTTACTTAATTGCCAGGGCTCGAGAATGTCTTACAATGAGTTCTAGTTTGTCTAAAGCAAATTATTGACTCAACCAACCTTAATATCTATTTTTCATATCCTTTGTCATAGTTGTTTGCAATCAGGACATAAATCTACCTGCTGCATCAGTCTAAGCTTTTATTATTAGTGTGATTCTTACTATTTTTCAACGCTCTGATATGATATATTCCATCATATTTCTTCTTTTTGTTTCTAGATGACTTTGAAGATTTGGAGGACGATGAAGGTGATGAAGATGAGGAATAGAAATATAAAGATGTGTGTTGTTGTTCCGAGGTTTTCAGTAGAATTTGTTATTGTCAACCATGATTTGTTTTTTCCTTTGATTGCCTTGTAAGAAAATTTAGATGCTATTAAGACTGACAGCCTATTTTTTTATGTTACCTTTTCTTCTCATTATGCTTATGTCCGTTCGTGTCTGTGACACACCAAGTAATAGAAGAATTTAATAGATAGCACATTTGAACATTTAAATATAATGGTTGTATCTGATGTTATACTTTCCCAAACAAAAATTATATTACGGGTTGCAAAGATCGTAACTGGCGTATTTTGCAGTTGAGCAATTTTTTCCGTCAAGACATACGAGCAAGACAACCGATAGTAAATGACTGAATGAAAACAAGGCTGCCAAGATGATCATCTGTAAAGAGAAATTGATAAGAAGTTTTGGATTAGCATAATTTTGTTACGTCAACTCAGTGGTTTTATCGTAGGAATAGCGAGAACCAGCGTAAGGGACAGGCAGCAGGCATACCAGAGTCTAGGTAACAATAATTTTGGAAAAGTTCTTGCCGACGTTCAAGTCAAATATCAATAGCATAAAATTACTGCAGCAAAGGCTTGCTGGCTAAGATTCAAAAGTCAGCCAAGATGCAAATGCTCACTTGCTCACAGTTTGCATAGATGGAGACATGGCCCTTCCTTTCTTATTTTTTCCAGATAACTGACCGTAACGGAAACCTTTGGTTCTTAAGCCTTTGTCTCTTTAAATATTGTTTGCCTTTGTATCAATAAGAGCACACGATCTTTAAGGCAATTTTCAAAAATTTATTTATTTTTGCTCATAATAACTATTTTATGATAATCGATATTTTCGTCGTTATTATCAGTGTTTAATATTGTCTTGAATACAGATAATGGGTCTTTTGCGCCCTTTTGTGCCCTTTTGCTATTTATCTTCCTTCACCAGATATGCAGTGCTAGATTTGCTTTTGCATTGTGCTCGATTTACAAACTTTAAATCCTTCTCTTCTTCCTCGCTGGAGGAAGCCTCATCTTCAAGATTGTCAAAATGAGGCTCTAGCTCAGGGCTGTCTCCTATGCCAAATACCTCCTTCTTGAAAAGTTTCCAAGAAAGTCGTTTCCTTGATGGAGAATTTTGCGCCCATTTTGGCTTTTTGAATTCCGACTGCGTCAGTCGTTCATTCAGCCTTGCCACCAACTCACTGGTCACTTGAAGCAGATAAGAAGCTTGACTGGTTTGCATCTCAATCCAAGTAAAGGCTCTTTCTTCCATTAAGTAGATTTCAAATCCAATGCTATTTTGGCCACCTATCTGTGTCCACTGTCGTACTTTTCTCCACGGAATATGCAGCTCTTTCTTATCTAGAGAAAGTAATCAAAGTTTACCAATGTGAGAAGACGGTTTGTGCTATGATAAGAGTTTTCAGATTTATTTACTTATCTGTTTCCCATGTAACAGAGATTTTAGAACTGAACTTTCATCTGGATATCGGTAATGAAACTACAACTGGCTTTCCAACTAGGAAATCCATTTGCGCTTTACTTTCTGCATAAATGTTTTGGTGCTATTCGCCACGCTACAACAACATGACAGAACTGTATGCAAACACTTACGCTGCCATGAGCAACAAGAAAACAAAGTAAAAGTGTATTGATTTTTTTGTATAGCTATTTGATAACCTGAGAAACGGGTGAAGTCAACTAAGATATATGCGCAGGAGATTCTTTACATATGGCTCTTTATATTATACATAGTGTATTGCATAAGAGGGATGGGCTTTCACCTACATCCAGGCGAGAATAAACTTGTGTATTTTGAGCAAAGGTAGACTGTCGAGACTCGGTAAGGTTTTAAGCAGATTCTTTTTCACCTTGCAATCTTGACCTATTTTACAAGTTACAGCAAAAAATTTAAAAAAAAATAGAACTAAGACCCAAAGGTGTTTTCGCACTTGATCAGGTCTTTAATTCGAAGATAATTGTTTATAAAAGATAAAATGCTTAGACCAACCTGTAATTATGACCATTTTCTTGTCACTACAAGCTATGTCAATTTTACTGCCCTTTTTGATCACTTGTGTTTTTAAATTGATGCTTTTGATCAGCACGACATCTTTTGTTACTACATCACCATAACCTTTAATACCTCTGGAATACTCGACATACTGTTTGTAGCTAGGAAAGCCAGGATCTAACATCTCTTCTAATTTCTCTTTTTCCTCGGAAGTTGGCTGGAGGCGCCCTGCTACAATATCTGAATTTATCTCCAAGGCTAATAATCGTAGACTAGGGACATCAGTTCTAATGGCTTTTGCTTCGCGTACAGGATCAAAGGACCATTTTCGCACTGATATAACGTACCGGCACGGAACATAAATTGTTTCATCGTCGCCTATTTTTCTTATTGGTGGATCAAGACCTTTAAAAAGCCCAAAGAAAGGTCTACTTCGTTCCTGTAATCCAATGGTATCAAAAAACACTTTCAACAAACGACTAGAAATTATTTTTCCTGTTGTAACTTCAACTCGGACAGCAGGGGGTGAGCCTTGAGGCAAAGTATAGATCGATACTTTAATTTTGCTTGGGAATTGCGAGTGATGTGATGCCTCAGCCATATTTTCCGTTTAACCAAAGTATCATTAAAGTCATATGCTTTTTTGATGTGTACGTTTATCTGCAAAATCTTCATACATGGCAGTAGCTGAATGAGAATCTTCCCGTTGATAGTGTTTCTCCCAGTCTTTCTGTAGGATAACTTTCCTTCTTCTGCTTCTAATTTTACCGCGGCCTTTCTAAATGGTCCTTGTGAGGGTGATTGCACTTCCTCTTCAAGTGGCCCTCCAAAGGCACTTAAAGGCACTCCCGAAGGGTCTTTCCAAGCCGCTATAGTCGTAATACTTTACAGGTGATAAAATCGAGGCTTATGTAATCTCTATCTTATTAATATTAAGGTGCTAGCTACTGTTATCGTTGGAAGACCACAAAAATTGTTTTGCACGTGCAATTACAATAAAAACCCACATTGCAAGATTTGCATTTAAGAAAATCAGCTGATATTAACACAATTTTTCAGTGAGCTAAATCAAAATAAAAGAAAAAATTTTAACCGCATGTTGTTTAGTCCTTTATGTCTGTTATTGTATTCACTTGATTTTGTGCTGCAGCTTCGAGCTGCTTACGTGTCAAGCTTTTTTCCAGAAATTTTCATAACTTTTGCAAGGAGATGACGCCATCAATTTCTGTTTCTACTATCCTTAGCATCAAGGGGCAAATCACTCAAAGAAAATCTCATACACCTTTTTTAAAAATCCTATTGTTTTATCTGAAAATCCCAAGAAATCCTTTTGTTTAAGGGAAAACCTCGTACTCTATTTGCAAGAGTGAATTGTCCCTCTCTTAGCATTAGACATAAAGGAACTGGGATTATACATTTGCAGTAGATTTATTTCCAGCACAATTTCATCTTTCCTGACTATTTAACGGTTAATAACGAGATTGTGCCCTACACAACAAACAGGCTCCTAGAAAACTTTAGAAAAATGATCATTAAATTTCTTGAAAACTGGCAAACAAGCATGGCATTTTGGCTTCTGGGGCTGTCATTCTCCTACGCCCCTAATTGCTATCTGAACTTAGTAACTTCTCCTCTTCTGTTTTGCATTGGTGGCTTTGTGGCAAGTTGGAGTGGGTAAAGGACGGAAACGAGACTGGGCTTTGCCGCCGATGCTCAAAACCCTTTGCAGAAATTTAGATGGCGAGCACTCGCAGTTGTGGAATATAAATAGTTAATGAACTGATCATGGACTATTCCACTGATAATACTATGGAAAGCGAAGATGAAGACGAGGGGATCTATCATGGTACTTGAGATTTTTCACATTGGTGATCACTTTACTAATGAAAATATCGGTAGGGGAATCTAGCCACAACACATGGCCCATGTGTTGTTACTAGCGCTCAAGGTCAACTCTTGATCCATCTAGTCTATTTATATTTACCACTTTTAAATTATTAAACGATTTAAATGATTAACTTACTATATTACAATAACTAGCGGGGTAGTAGATCAGTATCACTGAAGTTTTGTTCCGTGTTATGGGGGCTCAGTCAGGACGGCTAATGCCTTAAAGCAGCAAACATTTTCTATTTTTTTGTTACTTTAATAGCACAGCATGCCTGGTTTTACATAAAACCAAGTAAATAGTAGTATGATAAACCTATAATATACTATGATAAAGATATTATCCTATCAAGGCTAGGCAGAGAGTTAAGTGCAAAAAAGAAACAAGGGGGAGTGAGTGTTGATAGAAAATTTATTTTAAAGTAATATCTATAAGAAGAAAAACATTATTCTTTCAACATTAATAAGGGGGCTCAACCTCAATTTGTAAACCCCTTCAGGCTTTCAAAAGCTAATGTTGAAACAGGTTCTACTGTCTTTGTTGGACCATAGTTACAAAAAGAACACATCATTTCTTTCCTTTTTCATAGCTAATACATTCATGATATTGTTATTTTGTGATGTACATAATATAAATATGTGATATCATTTAAATACATATTGATTGTAAACTGCAAATATTGCATGACAATGAAAACTGCATTGAGGAAATAGAGCTATACCTGTGAGATTTTTTTTTTGGAACATAAAAACTTTCATTTGATGGCATTAATGTCTTTCTATCTCAAAACATGAAGGTTTAATGGTTATAATTCCTAAACAAAATTAAATATTGAACCTCCCAGTTTTCATTCCTGCTGAAAAGGTCTGGGACTGTAAGTTTTCCAAAGAAGGTTTAATGTGTTCAACTATTTCCCTTCGTCCTTTCTTTATCTCCATCACCTAAATTTCATTGATTTTTTGAAGGGCAAACAAATGAAATGGGATGTCCTCATGGAAGAGGGACAACAGTATTTTCAAACGGCAGTAGATTTGAAGGGAAGTTCAATAATGGTGAGTTGATTAATCTTGTGGTTTTTCTTCCCAGTGGCTCAGTGGTTAGGTTTGCTGACTACAGACCCAAGGTTCCATGGTTTGAGTCCTTGAAATGGCCAGATTTTCTCTAAGAGAGATAACAGTCACCAACTCTCTAAAATTCTAGGCATAGGAATCACAAGGTGAAGTCACTTTGATAGGAAGGACCAGGACACTTCTCAATAAACAAAATCTTTTTAGTGTCCTAAACTACCTTCTGAAGCTAGATAGCAAACAATACAATACAATCTCCAGCTTTATTTTAGTAAGGTCTTGGTAAAAATTAAAACTTTTTCTATTTTTTACAGGTGTCAAGGAAGGGAGGGGTACTTTTTTCTTTGCAGATGGAAGGTATGTTTAAGACCTTGCTGGAATTTGAAACATGAACATTCTTTGAAAGAATTTTCTGGTTTCTGCCAGAAAACATCTAAAATACTGACAGAAAGAATATCATCATAATCCTGAGGCTATTGTTCTTTGGAAGTTTTTTCAAACATGTTTTACTTTTAGCTGCCTCTCTGGAAACTATATCGATGATGCTCTTTTTGGTAAAGCAATATATACATATGAGGATGGAAGCAAGCTAGGTAACTGTTTTGTTGTGTATTTGTAGTGTATTTCACCAATTTTTTTTGCTTCATCACATGAAATGCAAAATAACAAGATGGAAAGGAAAGGTCATATTGAAATCCTTTTTATTGGTATTTAAGGCTAAGGATTTCTGCTCAGTATTCAGTATATTTATATTTTTGTCATAATGGTGAAGAGGTGAGGATCATTAACTTACTTAAAGCATATTTTTTGACAGTTAGATTTTAGAAAGAAAGAACAAATTGTTAACCATAGAAAAGGGAACAATGTTGTAGAACCCTAAAGAAACATGAAAGTTTATCATTCATAATTTTTTTTCATGGCATTACATCATTCAATTTTGAAACCCTGAAAGGAAATTCCCTGATAAGAAATCTCAAGTTTGTCAAACTAAAATTTTCAATGCCTGAAGATTTTAGATATTTTCTTGAGCAAAACAGAGAAATTTGGGGGAAAAAGGGAACCACCAGGATTTATGGTTACAAAAATTTCTTGGGTATCACAATAATCTGTTTTCAAAAATTTCAAAAGTTTGTTGTATATCAATAATATTTTTTCAAAAATTTTCTGGGCATCACATTTATTTGAAAATTAAGTAGAATGACTGCTAAATATGCATTTAATCTATTTTTGTCATTTCAATGCATTCTAGACATTCTAATAAATGTCCCCTCAAATAAATGAAACATCTCATAGAAGGTTGTTACAGAAAGGGTGAAGGGTTGCTTATTTAGGAGTGTCACTTGATTGTTGAGTTACAATGGGATCAATCTAAAACGATTTTCAGTGAATTTTAATGCACAGCCACTCTTGTTTCATTTGCTAGGCTGATCACTTCAGCCAGAATGTCACATTAAACCTAGAGCAGTTCCTGAGAATCTCAAAAAGAGTGTTAGCCTCATAATCTGATAAAACATTATGAAATAATCCTACACTTAAAAATGCAAAATCTAGCATAGTCTCATTCCCTATCAAGTAATTGTAACTTAATCTTTCTTCTAAAATTCATGAGGCAAGCCGGAGTATTAAGGAATTCTTTATTAACTTATGATCTTTTATGAGGATTTTTTTAGCTTTTTCATATCCATACAGTTGGCACATATGTTGATGGTGAACTGAATGGACCTGCAGAGGAGTTCCGTAAGTTTGATTTTTGAATGTTGTTTTGAATTTATGTTTGTCTTCCCTTATGCAGTTAAGATATCTTATAGTGAAAAGAGAAGGTATTTTGAATAAAGTAAAATCAGTGTTTCATGTTGTCAATATTGCCTCAAATACATCATTAGCTTCTTAGAATGGGGATGAACAACCTATGAGCTGCAGGGCAAATTTGACCTGCCAGCAAATTTGACCTGCCAGTTAATGGCCCTAGGACCTTCAGAATTGAACAAACAGAGAATGAAATTGTTTTATAAAAATGTTAGCTTGCTGCAAAAATATTCTATTAACATGAACATTCAGCAAATGTAAAGGATCATTTAAAACTTGCAGTTAAAATTTGTCAGCTACAAACTTCCCAAAAATTAATTCCAACACAGGCATATATCTAGATGCTGCTTATAGTGCGTTGTTAAGGTTTTCTCACTGACAATAAATTGGGAAAATGATTATCAAATCTCTTAAAAGTCCGTAAAGTGCTAAATACGATGTCAAAAAGATAGGTTAAACAACCCTTTTCAGTTTCCAGCAAATGTATATCAACCTTTTACATATTGATATAATTCGATTTAATATTCAAATTCTACTACAATAATAATTATAAACACAATAATGATAACAATAAAATGCAACTAGATGTAGTAGAATTCTTAAGGAGGAGCCCTCAGAATAGGTAAAATAACGGGATGAGAGCCCCCCTATTGTCTATCAGAACCATAAACTCAACGGCGATCCCACATTGCTAGTTTCAGTAATAATTAAATATATCGAATAGAAATTTCATTTAGGCATTAACTTAGCATTTAGCAATTGATGTTTTAAATTCTTTTTGAATAAAAATCTTGATGTAAAGTCTCAAATGTCAGCTGGTAGGTCGTTCCAAAGTTTCATCTCTATAGATAATGGAATGAACTACAAGCCAGATTGAAGAGTATTTTTTACGCCCTTTGGTAGAGTGTTCTATATTTTCGGAAATGATAAACCTACAATGCCTGCCAAAAGTCTTGGAACACTGACATCAATTTCCAAGGTCAAAACCAATCATCCCCCTCTCCCCCACGGAACAATGTTGGTTTACTATCAAACGGGTTAGGATTTTAGGAAGCACTTTCTTTTGCGCTTCTTTTATGATATTTCTCTAAATCATCAACATTGTTTGAGGGGAAAGGGGGCGGAAGTAGCAATTTTGTTTCCTGAAAGGAATGAAAGATATCAAATGCAGCGTAAATTGGTGGGTGTTCCAAGTACTTTTGGCAGGCATTGTAGCTTGAGCAAGAGATGGATGAAAAATAAAAAATTATTCATTGTGATGATTGGATTCAAATAAGCATCTTTTAATGAAAAATATGTTTTTACTACTGTAGATGCGTCTGGAGATATCAGTTTTAGAGGCAACTACACTGATAACATTCGTAATGGCTTGTGTCATTTTTGGGATGAAGTAAGTAATTTTCCTTCTGTTACTTTTTATCAAATTCACTCTTACACAGAAACAAATTTTCAAACTTAGTTTGTTATTCACATTGGATATTATTATGCATACACAAGTGGTGAATAGATGCTTTAAAAAACAATGTCAAAAATACCCTCGAATCATAGGTTGTACTTTTTTCCTTCATTTTCCCTATATTGAACTTTTTCCTTTCCAATTTCACGATGCATAATATAGAGCAATCGTATTATTAGATGTTTAATCAGAGAAGAAACATGGCCGCTCTTACACATAGTTCTTTGCTTGTATACTCATCAGACAGACCCTAACGAAATACATCTCTATTACAATGATATCAATCTGCAAGAGCTGTAATAATTTTTGGCAAAATAAGTATTGTTTGTTCTGTAGTAAGAAATATTCTATTGCTCTGTAGGCAAAGCCTTTTACTTATCAAGCATATAGCACTTATCCAGGTTTATCTACGTTTGTATAAAGATATAAAGACCTAGAGGAATGTTTTTTTATTTTAGTTTGGGGGCCATATTTTTGGCGAAGTCAATGAAAGTGGACAGCTTTCTGGTGATGACATCATTTACGTGTATCCTGACAAAGAAACGGCGCTGAAAGGTAGATTCCAGGTGAAAGAATCCTTACGTCACAAGGCTTTTGCTGAATAGAAATTTTGAAACTTCTTGAATTCGTTTGAATTTGTTCTCCCAATAACCAAAGTACTTTCAGTGTATCATTCTCTCGAGACTTTTTTCTGTTCAAGTTTGAAGCTTCATTATACTTTAATAACATTGGTTGCTTTTTAAAAACAACATAATCATTAACTTTCTTTATATCAGTAGCTTAAAAGAGAAATCCATTGTTCGTTGAGTTCTGATTTTATAGGATGGAGAGCTTATTCAGGCACAACTTGCAACGAAAATCAGCCCAGAGAAGAAGTCACTTGAGTTTAGAATTCATATCCCAGGTTTGCATGTGTATTGTAACTGATATTGCACTCCCGATGCCACCCATATTACACAGCGTATTTTTTTAACCAAACCTTAATATACACCTCTTTGCAAAGGCACTTTTCAACTAGCCACTTCTCAACTCGTATTTATACGCTGTTATAGTTAAATTGAAACGAATGAGTTACATTCTCACCTGAAAAACCAAACAATATGTTCCTTAATTTTTGTATACGCACCAATGCGTGTGAAACCTATGTAAATTTAAGAAACTTTGTTATTAATTGCTTTGTAAATATAACTTTAAACGTTGTTTGCAATAAATACTTCATATTGGTTGAAACTTCAAGTTTTTTAACCTTCACCAAACGTTTTTTAAAGTTATAAAAGTTAAAATTTTGATTGAAATTGCTTTTCGAAGCAATCACTTTCAGACGAGATGTTTCAACAAAGGAAAAGATATCGGAACAACCTCTCCTAAGTGATCCTTTTGAAATTAAAAGGTTCTTATTTTTCAGCCACTTCATAATTTCTTGTATTATTATTTGGTGTTATTTTTGTATATGCTGTCTTGTGTCACAAGGAGCAGGGGCGTCGCCAAAGGGGGGATATAGTGCTGCACCCCCAACACTTTGTCCCTCGGCATATAAATTAATTTTGCAGGGCAGGAGAAGACATTTTTTCTCACACTGTCACCTTTTTGCAACAATTGTGACGTATCAATATTTTTGCAGGAGTTGAACTTTCAAAGGATGGCACTAAGTATGAATTTTGAAATAGAAACGCATAAAAGCAGCGAATAGGATTATTTATCTTATGACCACGCCCTTAAAGAGTGAGAAACGCCCTTCCTGTCGGCTTAAAGCATTTCTGCACTCCTCCGAAAAAAGTTTTGGCTTCGCTCCTGAAAAGATATGCCAAAAATGTGATGTATACAGAACAGCTTCAGAGTTCTCCAGTTGATCCTTGTATTTATTAGTATAGATCATTTTCTTATACGTCTTCAAAAGTTCATGTTAATGCTGATTCCCGTGTTTTGCATATGCTGTTCAAGCAATTTTCTAACATTTAAGAAAATGTACCCCTGAGATCTCAATTTTACTTGGATTTACGAAGATTGTTTTGGGTTCGAAGTCGTCATAGTTTCTCGTTTGATCAGAAAGCTTTGCTCGTCAGGTTTTTGCATGGATAAACACTGTGTTTGTATCGTAAACCAACCAGAAACCTGACCAGTACAGGAAATACCCGCATATAAGAAACCCCTTTGTATAAAAATGGCCTTTTTCTTCAAAAGGGTTATAAACAATCGTGTTACATTATCTGTTTTTGCTGTAGGATGGTTTAAGTGTGTGTATTCTATTGATGTGAACATTTATACTGTAGATTATGTATTATACATTACTACCAGAAGTATTGAACACACGTCCATGGACGGTACTGTCATATAACTTGACTTGATTTGACTTGACAGTACCTATTGATAAGAAACTTAGACCTCTAGACAAGAAACTAAGAAACTCGACGATGAAAGGTCTTTATTAATAGCAAACGTTCTGAGACCTCACTTTGAAAGAGCTTTTTCTTATATGCAGGTACTTACTGTATACAAATTCCTACTTCACTCATATCACTTTTAAAGTCCTGACAAGTTGGAGCGTATTTGATATCATTAGACACTTCAGATAGCCTCTGGACGTGTACACAGTCTTTAAGAAGATTGCATATGTAATTTCTAGTGAACAGACTGTGCTAATCTTTTTTTACTTTTCATTGACGATTTCTTTTTTATGTCATTCTGGGTGTCTGGAGCATTTTTCAGATAGCTTTGTTTATTGTTTTTGCAGGACATACGTCAAAAAATCAGAGATTTCTAATGCTGGGGAGGGTCTCTTTGCAAGGAAGTATATAGGGCCTGACGTAAGTAGCCTGCGCGCAGACCCAGTATTCTGAAGAAGAAAGGGTCTTCTTAAGAATACTGGGTCTGCGCGCAGGCTAGACGTAAGTAGCTTTTGTCCGCTTTTCATGAAAATTGGCTCGTTATATGTCGTTAATGGTCTCCAACCAAGAAATGAAGGAAATAGGACGAGATCTGAAAACCATGAATTTTGCAAACCTGCTTAGAATGCATTACAAGATTCATTCAGAACTGTTTCTTAAATACTAAACGCCTGGGTGTTTAATGCAAAAAAATCTCTTTTAGGAGGGGTGACCATTGGGAAGGCGTTTATCAGAGGGGCCGTTTGTTGAAATGTTTTGAGAGAAAAATTCATTTTTCAACTCATTCCGCGCTAATTAGGTGAGCGTTGATTGGAGATCACGTTTATTAAAGAGATGGTGCTCAATGGAGAGAGTCAGGTAGTTAAGAAAATATAATGTTCTTCCGTAAGGTCGCAGATAAAAGTTTAGTGCCAGATTTTATCAACTATCAATCTTCTACAGGAAATTGTGTCGTTTTATAACGGAGTACGGATTCCACACGAAGAGGTGAGTTAAGAATTTTTTTCATCTTAAATAAAGCCCATCATGCTGCAATATCTAGATTTGGTGGTTAATTTGTTCAAAAGTAACCAGAAAAATGTGTAATTATTCGTGACACATAATTTTCGATGCACATCTGTACATAAACTTTTGCTAAAATCATGATTGTTATATGATATTTTTGATTTGCGCTGTTCAGAAGAGAAGTTTAATTTCGTATTATGCTATGTTCTGTTTTTATTTCACAAGTTTTAATTATTTCTCTGAACACATACTTATGGACTGTTGTGAAATTATAAATAAGCATAGATTCATAAAAAAGTTGACATATTGGACGTGGTACGTACTACTTAACGTACTACTTAAAGCTTTTTCGTCTGAAAAAAAACCTCAGAGTATAAAACATCAGAATAAGGGTCCGAAAGAACACGATTGAAAATTGCACAATCTGGGTGTCTAAGAGGTGTTGCCCGAAGGCAGTGTCGCTAGTTTTAACTGTGTTTAGACAACCCAGATTGTCAGGCACCGCGGAGCGTTGAGAAAAGTGGGGGGGGTCTTAAAAAAGTGGGGGGGGGGGGGCTAAAACCGTATAAAAAGAGGCTTTTCTGGTAGTTTGATACTTAATATTTGGCATTTTTTGCAAAAAGTGGGGGGGGGGGCTAAAGAATGCCATCAGCCCTTTCTTAGCTTTTCAGTCCATGACTGTTCTGTGTATGTGTGTGTGTGTGTCTACAAGTGTGTGCGCAAGTGTGTCCCTGATACAAATTTCTACTCCTTATAAAGTGTTCACGATGACTCGTACTAATCTACTTAAGCTCAGTTAACATCAGAAAGGGAATGGACACGATTCTTAATCGATACTCAAAGGGAAAAGGGTCTAGAAGACAGTTTATTGCATGCAGTTGTTATGTATGGTCTCTCCTGTGACAATAAAAGTTCCAAGCTTCTGTGACAAAATCAACCTCTACTCTCAATACGTACATTCTCGGAATATCTACCTGCATTGTAGTTTTATTAAACATATTTAAAAGATTCAGTTCTTTAAATTATCGTTTAATGTCTCTGCGAAATATCTATTTCTGAAGCAAAAGCTTGTCAGACACACATCGTTTTATTTAAGGTTGACGCCAGGGACTGGAGGTTTAATGGAAATACTATATCATTAGATGACGAGGTATTTTGATGAAATAGGTGTATGTTATTTATTATGTTTTTACAATACTCTAAAGACTGTCAATTTCTTTCATAAAGAGTGGTTGCGTTTAATTAATGTTTAGGGTTTTCACTGTGTAATTACCTTTTATTGAGCGTATTCTTCAGCGGAGATATAGGGGAGGGGAGGCAAAAATTCAAACGGGGAGGGGGGGGCGAAAAATCACAACACTGTAATGGGCTGTAGGTGTAATAAAAGCGAAACAAACTAATGAATCTGGCATGGTGCAAGTCATTTTGGATGATGCAAAAGATGTTCAAAATCTTTTTATTCGAAATTACAAAAACATACTTCAAAAGAAGAGCAATTCAACCAGCCTTTTGATAATCATTGGCTCAAAATCAAATTGTTCATATGTTTATTTTACAAGCTTTATTCCTTTACCTAAGACTTGTTTCATTTCGGAGCTTCGGGGTCATTTCCCCAAGGAAATCATAACAACATTTCACAGTCAAAACCATATTTGATAGTATTATAATATTGCTATAGTCTTTTATTTACAGCATAGTTTTCTAAAAATATGCAATTGTCATAGTTTGAATCTCTCCATTCAAACTTGAATTCGAAGGCTTAACTCCAAGAACCGTCAGAGCTTCTAGTTATCCATTTATAAAAGAAGTCTCTAAAACCTGTTTGATTCAATTTTTTTAAACAACTTTCTAAAGAGGGTTTAAGATTGTATTTACTGCAATGACAAATCAACTTTTGACCCATCACTGTTGTCTAAGAAATTTGATTATTATCTCTTTGCCAGTTGTTTAAGTGTAAAAGTTCTGCCGTGAATTAAACTTCTTCCTTTATTCTAGATTGTAATAGACGTTCCAGAAGGGTATTCAAGTACGGAAGTCTACTGCGCCACTTTAGGCCATAAAGCAAATCATTCGTTCACCCCAAATGCTAAATACGACAGGTAAGGATATTATGATTAAATGCAATCACATTGCTTATTATGTTGGTATTTGTAATTATGAAAATATTGCTATTAGTGACCTTTGCTTTTCTCGAATTGAAATACGAACAAATCATGCCTACAGTTTGTTATTGAAATAGTAAAAATCAAGATGCAAAATTGCTGGAGTCATAATCGAATTGAAGATCCTGCAAAATGCTGAAGCCCCTAAAAACGATACTTTCAAGCGATTCACACTATGACCTTCCAGGGTTCAACTGTGGCCCTATTCAAATTCTTTGATATCGACGCTCGAAGAGGTTTGATTTTCATTCTAGATTTGATCATCCGCGATTTGGCCGGATTAAATGCATACGAACCATAAAATCTGTGGAGGCAGATGAAGAATTGACTGTTGAGTATGGCTATGACCATAATGGTCTTGGGAAAAATAATCCTGAAGCTCCACAATGGTATAAGTCTCAGCTAAAGCAATTAAGCTCGTAAAGTATGACATACGTACAATTTGATTTTGAACTTATGATTGTTAAGCTTAAGACCCATTGAATTGCTCTTCTTTTGAAGTATGTTTTTAAAATTGTGAATGGAATGATTTTGAACATGTCTCTGTCTATTTAACCTGTTTTTGTATCACCAGAAATGACTTGTACCATGCAAATTTATTAGTTTGGTTTTTTATTATATTTACAATCCCAGACGGACGGTGTTCAGATTTTGCAACCACCTCCCCCCTCCCTAGTCCAGTGTTGATATCTCTGCTACTAAATTGTGTACGAACCGACTTAGAATGTGGGAGGGGGTTAGAGGTTGGACTATACATGCATGCTACAGGGCACGTGTATAAGGAATTGGTCCCAACAGCTCTATCCATAATTGTAGGCTAGATAAAGTTTAGAAAATGAATATTTTAAATTTAGGAAATGATTTTTTTAAAGACGACCTATTTATAGAAAAAAATATATGTGATGTTAAAACTTATCTGTCCCCTCCCTGACTTGCTAATATGAACAATAGGTCTTTCCGCCTTAACGGATTACGATGCTTGCTTTGGCTGGCCTAGCTGCGGTAGTGGACGACAACAAAAGCTATCAGGAATGGCAAGAAGATTTAATTTCTGGAACTGAATGATGGAAGCATTTCTTTGCCCTGTTGGCTTATCTGTCGCAGAGGCGAAACAGGGAATTAGATTTTTCTAGCCACAGCTTCATTTCAACAGAAACACAGCCCTTTGATTCAAAAGCTCTGGAATCAAAGTTGACTCTGATCGGCTTAAATCGTCTAATTATCGATCAAGCACAACGGTGCGTGAATTTTACTCCCGTGAAAATAAAGTTGAGCGCAATAGAGGACAGACTGCCTTAAATACAGAATTGGGCTCTTGTTAAAAAACAGAAATAAAATTAATGCTTCGTGTCATACAAAACTTCTCTGGCATTTTCATCTTAAATAATCTTTACACGAAATCCCTTTCCGTGTATTTAATAATTTTTATAGCAAACACAAGAGTATTAATTGATTAATAACTAAAGTAAAACTTAAAAACAAAATTAAAAATATGGAAGGCTAATGTCGCTACTGTTTTGATTGGGATTCGTGTTCAGTTGGCTTCAGTTCATCACATGTGTTTTAGTGTGTTTTTCGGGTGGTTAAAGGAAGGAAGTCCCTGATATTAATGGGGGTTTTATCCCATACCTTTGGGCTAAATAGGAGAATCCTTTTTTGGCATGCTAACCTCGAGATCCGAAGATCTCTGCAGACTAGCGTATAATTACTGAAGTATTGGGATCTTTGTTTGAATTCGTTTCTGAGATGTTGGGGGCCGAGTCTCTTTTTCATACTTTAGCGGTACGATCAAACGTGAGAAGTTGCTCTGCTTTGAAAAAGTTATTTTACCATTCGTCTTTTATCAAGGGTGGATAAAGAGAGGGTGCGAGGGGGAGATTTTGCAACCATATTTCCTTAGCAATTGAGGGCCTATTCTATTTCAATTTTGTCTTTTTACACTTTGTATTATCTATTTGCACTTAGTACTTTGCGCAGCTTCGTGAAATTGTAGCATCTACTTTAATGCCCCGTCTTGCAACTGTTCAGCGTAATTCTTTCGTTTCAGGCGTCTAGGTGTTCGATCATCAAACTTCCCCTGGTTTTACAATAAAGCATTCTACAGAATCAGAATGCAAAAATCACCCCGCATTGAACAATCCTTTTCTTAGGCCGTGATTTCTTTTAGTGGCGAAGTGGTTCACAGTTTGCAGCTGTTCTTGGATTATAGTCAGATATAACAAGCATATTGATCAAGGCATCATTAAGAGAATTTTGACTGTTGTATTGAGTCAAACCAAACTTAGCCCCCCCCCCTTCCACTTTTTCAGATGCAAGAATTTTTGACCGTCTTTTTTATTGTTTCTGAAAGCAAAGTATGAAATAATAAAAAGAAAACAAACTGTTTATATGCTGCTTGATTTTCTTTTATCTATTTACTAACTTGTTTAGGTATATTTCTGTTATTTGTCAATTATTTGCATTAATTCAGTGGATAACTTTCTGTACCATTGCAATGTCTGCATTTTGGATGTGTAAAAATGGCCTACTGAAAATACTCGAGACAACGAAGATGCACATATCTGTCCAGGAAGTAAAATTCTCTCAATCAATACAACATATTCTTGTTATTCACATCGATGTGCACTCTGAACCAAAGATCTTTCTTTGTCGATACTTCTATTCAAAAGTCCCCTCGGCTTAAAATAGTACTTTGCAGATCGAAAAGAGGGATTTCCACGCTAATCTTTTTAGCTGCATCTGAATTTTTTGGAAGAATGTTGAACTTTTTTGCTATAATGTTGAAAACGGCTCCTTTTTTGATTGCGGAGGAGGTCACTAAAACGAGACTCGTGCTCCATGCCAAAAAGCGCCATTTTGTAAAATGGCGACCCAGGAGGAAGAGGTAAACGGCGAAGATGCCTCGCAAATACACCAAAAAACCCATGCAGCAGAAGCATCTACTGACTTGGAGAAAATCACTGACTATGAAGAAGATAAGGAAATATCTTCTTCAGACATTGCCAATGCCGTATCTTTAATAGAAGGCCGTCATTCTGAGGAGAGATTGGAAAAGGCCCAACGCGAGAAAGAACTCGCTCAAGTGAAAATAAAAAAAGAAGACGTGGACTTAATTGTAGACCAAATGGAAATAAGCCAGGTCATTGCAGAAAAAAGACTTAGGGAGCATAAAGGTGACGTAGTGGAAGCACTTGTTTCTCTGTTGGAATGAAATCCGATCGTTGGAAGCGACCCCCTCGGAAACAATATCAATGAGACATGGCATTTTTCAGCAAATTGTCGCAAATAATTGAGGAGTTGATGTTGATCTTCCTCCTTTTTGGGTGTTTAAGGAAAGAACGCTAGAGCTAATAAGGATGCACAAGGCATATGGCCTGACTATTAATGCTTTTCTTGTCCGTTTATATGAATTTGCTGTGTAACCTAATGAATATGAAAGTGGAATGATATTAAAGGTCGTGTTTACTTGTGTACCATAGACTTTTCCTTACGCGTTTTTCAGTAGACCCTGTTTAAATGTGTAATTTAGGTTTATTTTGGCTTCAAAGTTTTGGAGTCCCATACATGTATATAAGGCAGCAATGTACATTAAGCCAGATTCCACTCATTTCATTTCATAAATCTTATTTACAATATCAATTCAGTAAAAATAAAAGTTATGTTATATGATAAAAAACTACATTACCCTAAAATTTTGTTAAGGTAACTCAGAAATTAAAAAAGCTGACTTCTTTTAGCTCAAAAGGTGGAAGCTCAGTTCTTTTTTAAATCTTATGATGGATTCCATTCAAAGCAATTGGACCAGTGCAATGTACAAAAAACCTCTTTTGGTGTACACTAATATTAGTTTTTGCACATGGTGATCTGGCCTATTCCTTGTGTTGTATTTTTATATGGTAGGCCTTTTGATAGTACATTTCATTGTTAATACTGATTTCACCCGATCGTGTTGCAGTTTCCTAGCGTAGAGTTTTTGATCTATGTTCTGACATTTTAAACTCTGAAGAGTGTCAGAAGAAAAGCTTTAGTTTACTCAAATGTTTGCTTTTTTCAAAGCCATTTTCAAATCTTAAGGTTGTAAGCCAAAGTCCCCAAAAACTTTCTTGGAAACCTTTGATTAAAATTTTTATTTTCTTGAATCTTATTTTTGATGCGATCCCCCTAAAGATATTAAATGTACTATTGCTGAGATGATATGACGACGAGCAACGTTCACTGGTTATCTTCTCTACTTTCAATGAAATAATATTCTCACAGAAAAGTCCAGAAAAGTTGACAACCTTCCTGCGGCCAAAATATCATATTGCAAAACCTTTATAGTTTTTAATGGGTTCAAAATGGGCTTGGTCAACAAAATGGGGTACTCAAAACACCTTTATATTCAACTGTCAAAAAGTTGAGAACTACAACACTTAAAACTTTTGCAAATGAAGACAGTTGACAACAAAACTTTAAAATCAGCACAAATAACATTGTATCACCATCATAAATTTATATGCTCCACACACAGACATAGTTCAAAAAAATCCAGTTCAGTTAGATCAGTTGTTCACAGACCTAGCGAACACAATTAAAGCCTTGGCCAAACTGGGCAACATTGTCGGGCAACATTCACAAATTCATAATGTTGCTCAAATGTTGTCCAGTTTGGCCACCATGTCAGCCGATAAATTCATTAAGAAATTTGTTGCTCGAATGTTTGAACATGCTCAAATATTTTTCAGCAACATTTGTTGCTCAGCCCTATGTTTTCCAGTTTGGCCACATTGTCGGGCAACAATTCACCTCAATTTACAATCTGAGAAAAAATCAACATGCGCAGTGTTGTATTGCAAAACAATATCCTCAACTCGATTCAATAAAAATGGCCTGTCAAAATTTAAGCTTCGAAGTTGATTTTGCAGAATGGGAAGTAAACCATGGAGAGGAAGAATATAAAGGTCTCGTCTGAAACAAGTCCAAGTGCAAGTTCTTGAAAACAACAAATCAGCCAAATGCTACTGCTTCTACGAGTGCTCTAAGGGTGCTAAAAGCAACACGATGGTGTTGTGCTGAGTCAAAATCAGCTTCCAGTGGCTGCAGCTTGCTTTCTTTCAGCCATACTTATCCAAACTTTTGAAACCACTTATCAATTTAAATTTCGCGCGCTGTTTTGACAACATCAGCAAAAGATGCTGCACGACAATGTTGCCCAGTTTGGCCACCATGTTTCGACGACAAAAAAATCAACAAAATTTCAAGCAACATTGTCAGGCAACAATGTTGCCCAGTTTGGCCAAGGCTTAACAAGATCAAAACAGACAACAATACAAGGACATCGTTGCTACTGATTGCCGGAAATTTTAACGCACAGATAGGGAGGAAAAAGATGAATCGTGTATTGGTTCATATTCAAAAGGAAAACGAAATACATCTGCACAAACAATGATTGATTTCTGTAGCGTAAACAATCTTTTCATTACAAACAGCTCTTTTAAGCATCCATCTAGACACATAACAACGTGGGAAAACACATTTAAGAATAAAAATAGTAATGAAATGGTCAAAACTTTCAACCAAATCGACTACATCTTGTGCCATTCATCTCAAAAGAACACTCTTCAAAACGCAAGATAATATGCAGGAACAAAAGTCAATAGCGATCACCGATTAGTTGTAACTCAGTGAGATGTGAGAGGTATTTTTCTTTTCAAAAAAAGCAAATCAAAGATGCCTGTGACAATAAACACGAATAAACTACAGATATTGAAAGCGAGAGAGAATTACAAGAAATCTTCACAAACCAACACCAACAAGATCGAAACTAAACAACATGATAATGACCAGCAAAGATGGAATGAAGCAGTGGAGGTGATTTTGCAAACAGTGGAAACACTGGGTACTAAGGAAAGATTAAATAGAAACCACGGAAGGATTTATGACAACGAAATAAAGGGAATATCAGAGGAACAGAAGCAACTGAGGGTACAGATAACATTGTGTAAAGAAGCAGAAAAACATGAGAAATTGGAGCACCAAAGGAATAGAATATTGAAAAGCAGCAAACAGAAGGTAATTGAAAATAGAGATAAAGAGATTGATGATATAGTGAGAGATGTTGAGAACTTGCATGAAGAATCCAAGATTTTCAAAGCAGTCAGAATGCTGAACCGCACGAGTTATGAAAATCCATTTATATACGACAAAGAAGGAAAATGTATTTCGAATCCTCGAGAGATATATAAAGCAGTTAAGACTCTCTTCAAGCAACATTTCTTTGACGAGAGTGTAGAAAAAGTACCGGTCTTTGTAGGAGAGACAAAGAAACTTGACAACCCAATAACAACCAATGAAGTTGGACATGCAGTTAACAATCTGAATAATAATGGAGCAGCAGGACCTGATAGATTAACAGCGGAACTTGTGAAATATGCAGCAGAAGAACTTGATATTTTTATCAAAGAATTACTCAATCATCTTATCAAAGAACGTCTATCTTTAGACCTCGGCAGTGGAATTTTATAGCCGCTTCAAAAACCAGGCAACCCGAAAGGAACAGTCAAGAACTTGAGACCAGTAAATCTCCTCCTAATCGTCCGAAAAATACTTTCGAACATCCTACTTATTTAACCAACCTACGAAGCGTATCTTTCTGAATCACAGAGCGCTTATCGAACCAGCCGAAGCAAAAGTGATTTTGTTTGGGCTTATCGGTGGGTAGCTGCTAAAGTCCAAAAAGAAGAGTGTGAGATATACATAACCGGAATTGATATGTCGTCCACCTTTGACACGATAGTAAGAGAAGATCTGATGAAAATCCTAACTGATATCAGTGGCGGAAATTATGGGGGTTTGGGGGGGGCTCGGGCGTTTGGACACGTTCTCTGATTAGATCGAAATTGCCCAACAAAAAAAGTCATGGACTTCTGTTTTGAAAGCACAACTAACAAGCTGCTTCGTGGTCTATCTTGGACAACCATTGCTCCAACTTTGCAAAACGACATAAAAAAGACATTGGAAGAAAATCCAACATTCTCCAACAGTTTGAAAAACAAAATGATCTAAGAAGAATTCGTGACCTCGCTGAAAACAGAAAATTATTGAAAACGTTGACTGAAAACATTTGCAAAGTTGCTGAAGAAATCGCTTTCAAGCGCCTTTAAATCGATACAGCTATAAAGAAAAAGAAGCAGGAGAAGAAGAAGAAGAAGGAGAAGAAGAAGAAGAAGGAGAAGAAGAGGAAGAAGAAAAAGAAGAAAAAGAAGAGGGTTTGTAAGTTTAAGTCTGACATTTGAATTCTTTGTCTTACAGCAAAAAGGCAATAAGATTTATTCAACTTCCTCAAGTTTCTAAATTTTTGGTCTCTAAATATCTTTTTGTTATTACAACCTTCCTCCGGCCAGTGGCCGTGATGTTTTCCTGACTCTGTCTCACATAAGCCTACCCGTGAAGTCTTACGTTTTCTTCGCAAGTGAAGTCTTACGTAATTGCGGTGATTTTCAAGTCTTATGGCGTATTGAAAAAATATTGTAAATAAATTGAAGCTTTGATTGATGATGGGTTTTTGAAAGAATCTTTGTAAACTGAACTATGTAGTGTTCCTACTCAGTCTTTTCTTTTTCCTTTTATGCAATGAGTTTTTATTCTGAATTCGTTGTGAAACAAATAGATAATGAATGAACAAAAAGACGGTTTTCATGCGACTTAATTACCGTTTTATACACAAAATTTTGGTTCGATAGGCAAAATCTTACGGCAGCACACCACAATAGCTTGACAGGTATGTAGGAGATGCATAATTTTAATAAAATTGAAAAAAAATTTTGGCGGGAAGGTCGATGCCTAGCAACCAGCTGTTGTCAAATATTCGTCCACCTTAGAGCCAATGTCAACAAAATGGCGTCTCGTGTAGATACAAAATCGGACCAAGAAGACACATCTCTGGATTACTAACGTACATTGATTTAGATTGAAATAAATTCGGCTCTTTATTGTAAATATAATTTAGGTGGGTGGTTTTATGTGTTAGTTATGCCAAGCTCGAGCAACCAAGCCCCATTTTCTAGGCCTAGGCCCATTGGCCAGCATGAGCGTCGTGACACCCCTGAAGGTACTTCTCTGAAAGAAAGCCCAGCAGGTAAGAACATGTTTCTTTTTTCTATATGAAACCTTTCTATTTTCATAGGTTATCTTTAGAGCCTAGCATTTTAAGGGAAAATAATTTTTGATTTTTAAAACTCATATGAATGACGGATGTGGAATCCACAATTCACGGTAGAATCCATGTAAATTGTAAACCTACGCCGAATGTTGTTCAGTAAATTATAAAGCTGCACCAGAAGTTTTATAGCTTACCCTGTTTCCTCATAAATACGTGCGTGTCGCAATCTATACGCAGATTTGATGAAAATTTTTTCTAAACATCTACCTTTAGTAGATTTTTTGTCACAAACTAAAACTGACGTTTAAGTTTAAAGATAACAATTAAATAAAGAGATTATCTTACATTGACTGCAAGTTATCATAATTACTGGTAAAGATTATCAAACTTTCTATGATGAAAAATCCAACCATAAATGACCAAAGAAGCACCTTGGTGATTAGCACCTCTGCCAAAAAGAGCCCCATGGTCTGTGTAGATTTTTTGCTAAATGTCCCTTCCAGTTCCTAATATGTGCCCCCTTAACAAAGCAGGAATTTTGATACAACAATGATGCTTCTTTCACTAAGCATAATCAACAGCAACTTCATTGTTAAACATGTGTATCATTATTTAAAATGCAGCTACACTATTAAAGGTAGCCTAAAAAATTCGCCTCTATAGAATAGAACACACATGTTGAATAAGTACCCCGGCGTTGATATCAACATTTTGCTTTTTAATTTATATTTAAGCATTTGTTTTGTTTTAAGATAGTGCATCTTTTTGTATGTGCATCTATATAAAATTAAATAAGATTCAAGAAACTGTCAATGAACCTGCTGAAAATTCCTTGATTTTGCAGGTTCTCCTACCCTACTTGGCAATCAACGCTTGAACTCACCAAATGTTGGAAACTGGGACCCAGATGTGAAAATGCTTCAGTCTTCAGACAAGTGGATTAGGGTTAGTTAGATAATTGTGTAAAAAAGAGAATAAAATCTGCATTGATTACATCTCTGATGATGCTAGATGCATCTTTAGCAGTGATTCTAGTATTTTGCTATAATTTGATGACAGGTTTTAATATTGTGACAGAAGCTTATGATTTTTTATGCCAACATCTCCTTAAACCCTGGCTATTGCTCATAACATCCATACTTATCAGCCAGCAAAGTGTGCTCCAAAGGTTTAAACAGAAAATATCATCATCAATATTGCTTTTAAAGAGATACATAGATATTTGTAATTGAAAGCATTCCTTGGTTCTTTTCAATTTAGTCTTTAATTTTGTTCTGGTACTTATAAATTCTTGTCAGAAAGGTGCAAACTCTCTAGCTGAGCAGTGAAGAGGTTTTGATAATTATATTTTGATTATTCTATAGGCATATGGTTTGAAAAAACTAAAGCTAGAGCTTCAACAAATTTTACCAACCATTGGCTTCAAACATAGTGATGGTATGTCTTTAATGTTTTGCAAAGTTGTAAAGTATCAACCTTGCCTTCCCTATATTTTTATCTTTGGAGATGAATTTTCAGCAGACAAAGCAAGTCTAAATCTACCTTACCAATATATCACTGTTGCCTCACAGTTTTGTCCCCCACCCTCATACAATGTTGATTTATTTTCTCAAAACGTTCGTACAGCTTTCAGTGAATTTTCTTTTAGCTCCAGCATCTAAAAAGCAAAATTTAACAATGGAATTTATTTTCTCAATGTCATCAGTCTCCTCTGTTGCCATTGATATTTTAAGAATGATTTTCATTTTACCTTATGTCATATAACCTAACATTCAAAAACTTCATATAAATGTTATGGTTATTGGCAACCAATTTTTTCTAATTATGCTATGACTATCATTGAACAAAAAGTGATATTGTTTCAATGTAAAAATAATCCAACCTCTGTCATTGATGAAAGTCAAAACTCCTTGGTTTCAATGCAGATTTTGTCAACTCATTGAAGAAGCCAATTTCAGCAAGATATAGCAATGGATTGTTCACTCGCTTACCATACAAAGATGGAACTGTTTACAATGTAAGAGACAACACAATGTTTTAAAAAATTGCTCATTTCTTAATAATAAGGTTTATTAACATGAAGATATTTGTTAATGTGAAGACAATGGATGTTCTAATTATTCTTCAAAACAATAAAATACTCTTATCTATTTACAATTTCACAATCATCTGCTTACACTACAATTTGTGTTTTTCTTTTGATCTAATTTCAAAAACGTTTTCAGTTGCACCTATTTTAATGATGTGGGCACAAATATCAATATTATTTTTGTTGTTTAAATAAGGGGAAACCTCAGTTGAAAGAAATGATTTTTCATGTTGAATTCATAGTTTTTTACAAAAATGCAGAAATTTATCCTATATTCCTTTTTTGGGATAGTTAATTCCAAAATTTTCTACCTTCTCAATTCAGGAAATCTTTCTTCCTGTGAAATTTTTCCCTTAAAGTACACTCTTTTGCAGTTAAAATTGTTTTTCATACAAGCAAAACATATAATTAAATCTACAAAAACACCATACATTTCCAATACCATTGTCACAATTTGGGGGAAAGAACAGACAGTCAGCTAGCTCTCGCTGTCAACAACATTTGGATTTCTTTGATAAGTAACAGTTAAACAGAACAAGAGTATTAAAAAACAAGAAAATTGGAAAAGGGGTCTTTGCATCTGTGTTTTCATTGAATTGACTTTATGGTGTAAAATTGTTATCTGAACTGGTTTGTCTTTTCAATGAATAAAAATAGTAGCTTTAATTATCATTCTGTTTGTTAAGATATTCAGGTCAGCATTTCCATATTAAAAAAATTACACAAACTTTTTTATTCCATGTCTATAATATCTAATTCCATGTCTGTTTGTTTGTAACATTTGATTTGTGTTTTTGTCACCCTCAACAAGGGAACATTTTTTGCATCTGGCTCCAAAATGCCAAAAAGTTTTAATGAACTTATATTTTGCTGCTCTATGGTTATAGATTGTAGCAACAAGAGATAAACTAAAGATAATTGAAAAGCAGCTTCAGCATGCCATCGTTCTGTATAAGAAAAGGCTTGACTGGCTCACCAGTGAAAGGTATGTTAGATGATAAGCTGAATATTTACATCTTTCTCACCTTTGTATAACTTAGTGGTGTTCAGTGATTTAGTTTCATAGATGGGGAACACCCAACTAAAAGGTATCTTAGAAATAGAAAATCTTGAAATAAGCGAAAATAAGCTCAACCAACAAAATGATAAAATTTCTGACAAGAGAATGTCAGGAGGCACTTGGCCTCCCCTCCCACCAATATGTATGATGCCCCTGCAGTAAGGTAATTTATTCAAGATAAACTACAGTTTTGTAAAACAACAGTTCACTTTATTGTGCCTTCTCTGTATGCTAAATGCAGCTTTCTGCACTCAATTTAAACACAGATATCAATTTTTTTTAAAAGGGTCTAATTTTTTCTTCTTAGAAATTATGATTATTCCTATCACCAATCTAATCATTCTTTTTAAATTCTTTCATATGTTAAATGTTAATATAGAATGATTTCCAGTCGTAGGATATTTGGAGTTGTTGAAGAAAAATGCATCACTATAGTTCTTGATGTTCAAGCTACCAATCAGGAACTGTTTGATATGTATATCCAGTCTTTGATTCAAGTAGTCAAAGAACAAGTTATGTTTGCATCAAAGCTAAATTTGATCAGGTGAGGTTTTTGAATTAACCAGCTAGCTAACAATGTTAAGCTATAATCACTTTTTTTACTTTTCTGAACCCTATAAGAATTTTGATCAAAACTGAACGACTGTCTCCTTCCAGTATGATAAGGCTCATATTGCCACTGAGAGTTACTGCACATGTTTTTATTTCATTGACTGATTGTATAGGTATATTCACTTGCTGTATTTTGAGTTATTAACAATGTGTGATAATAGTTGTGTTCATAAAGCTAATTGATATTTTCTGATTTGAACCTTTAATATGATTCATTAGAAGGTATTGGTGAAATCTTATTTTATAGGTTTCTCTTATAACCAAACAATGTCTGCATTTAGGTGTCAACAAGAAGTGATTCAGCTTTATCATTATGGAAAACATGTTTTTCAACTTTTAACTGCTAGAAAATAACCATGAAATGTCTTAACTAAAATTGACTGTTATCAAAGATGATAGTGTGAAATAGCCTTATTTATTTGACTGACTGGAATTCTATGAAATGATGTTTCATTTCCTGAGGAACATCTATTTAAGGAAAGGGTGCCTTTTTATATGTTTGCCATTGAAAGGTACACTGCAAAACTTTAGGAGTCAGAGTTCCAATTCCGTGCTTTTAATTTATATCCAATCATCATCTTTGTTAGAGTTGCTGTAGATGCAGATTGCTGGCAAGGGAATGTCACCGCCATAACCTTAGAAAGTATGGATAGTGCTCTTAATTGGATTCTGGAACAAGAAATGACAACTCCATCATCTGCTTCCAGTACTACAGAAGCGATACTGAAAGCCATGTCAGATGACAGCGTAAGCTACAAAAGCTTTATACATCCTTAACATTTTTTTTAGTTGTTGAAGTTAGATTTATCCATGATTTTTTTTTAATTTTCTTCAATCATATTGCAAGTTGCAGTATTTACTTCTTTATAACTTTCTTATTTTTTAATCGATTTAGCAACATATGACTTATACGAGCTCCTAAGAATTGAAATACTGGCTTTTCTTATTCTGCTTCTTTCAAAGGTCACATATTATTTTCTCTGGCATAAAGTAAACCAAAAGAAAAACCTGTTTTGCTTTTAACCTAAAATTCTTCATTCTCCATGATTATTTATGGTTCTGGAATCAAAATCCTTTTGAGGGCCAGGCAAAACCAACCATGTGGTCTGGCGTTAGAACATTGCCTAATGAAATCATATCAGGGATCTTTGTGTAAAATGTGTGCGTTGAATTTCAGGTTGATGCTGTCTATCTTTTTACGGAAGGAAATGCTTCTGTTTCATCTCAGGAGTTGTTGAAACGAAAGGTAAATTCGAGCAAATTATAACGGGAATTCTTGGCGTTGTGTCTCCGCAAAGATTGGGCCTGCTTTTTGCTCATTTGATACGTTGGTTTACTTGTTTTGCTGACTTTTGAGGGAAGTAAACAGTTGTAAAATGTACATTTATCTATCACAAAAGAAACCTGTGTTTAGTAGTTTCTTCCCTAATCAAGCAAGCCATAAATTTTGCTGAATTTATAAGTAATACTTACGACTTGCTTACAGCTTTACAGTCTGCATTTGTGTTCAAAATAGCAATTACCAGTAGTCTTTTTATCATATACCAGTCTCTGCTTCTCCTAGTATTGTGGTTGGTATACTAAATAACAATTGGTTTTGTATATTTACAGTATATGGTTTATATTTCAGTTAAAAGAGTGTGGAAAACAATTAAATGTTGTCTCTTTCAACTGCAAAGACCCAGCCACAATCACTTTTCTAAAGAGTCTAACTAAAATTGGAGGTGGAAGGTACTACAATGTTTTTCTATGCATTTCTGCTAGATTTATTTTCGATGGTTCTTAACGATTTGGCCCTGATGTAACTATGATTCACAATAATTATTCCCTTTAACTACTCCTGTGAGGGTGCAACAACACTTTTTCTAGCATAAAGACACTTTCAAGCCACGTCAAGTTTTATATTTCTAATTTTTGAATCCCAATTGTAAAGAGAGTACTTTCGCACAGAAAAAAGGCAAAATTTAAAAGTTTCTCTTGGTTGGCTCTCTGATTTGGGAATAGGCGGGTCGGGCTTGGAGATATAAAGTCATAGAATAGAGATCTCTATTCTGTGGTATAATAGATCACAAAGAGTTGGACAGGTAGTTGGTCTTGAGAGCTGAAAACACCGAATGATTGCCACACTTGATCCATTACATACAACTGCTCAATGCCAAATGGTTTCATATGAAGTATATGAAATATATTAATGCATGCTATATTGTGGAGCTGCTTTCATGTGACTTGTCTATGTGAAGCTTCATCTTTAAATCTGGATTTGCCATTTTCAGTGTAGTAATCTGATTTAGTCTACATACTTGTATTTAGCTACGATTGATCAATGAATAAATAAAGACTGTGTCGCATCATTACCTTTTCTAGATTTCACGCATTTTCCGTATTTGAAGAATCTGGAGGTAACCATTATGAAAAGTCTTTGACCCTGCATGATCCTGACGAACATTCCAAGATTTCAACGGCTGGTAAGCTCAAGAAGGACCGTATTCAGAGCATAGGATACGGAGTTAGGGAAGATGTAATGAAAATCTGGGAAGAGCTTGACACGGCAAGAACCACTCTTGCAGAAATTCAAGCTCTGCTAGTTGAATTTGAGAACCCTCAGAAAACCAAACAAGGTATGAGAATTACCATTTAGAGTTTAGTAAATAAAATGGTGTAGAACGTTGCTCTAATCTTATTTGATTTTTACAAACTTAGTTTTCAAACACGAGCCTCCAAGTTGAAACCAATAACAGAGCTGTTTTTAAATTATTCTGCAATGACAATTATAAATATTGCAGATGTCAATTAAAACTTGTGTGTCCTGCTCATTGCATGGTTGTATCAACGGAGTCCAGAGAGATGCTAATCCTTCCTCAGACGATAATGTCAAGCTTGAGAAAACCGAAATGAGCACAGTGCATAATTTGGGCTGAGTATTTGACATTCAATCACATGCCTGTCAGATTTTTAAATCTCTGTTTATAATTGTTCTCTGTTACCAAAATGCTATTAGCTTTGTTATCTCTTATAGAAATAGCCAAAGCTCGAGTTTCAAAAAAAGAAAGCATTCCATCAGAAGAGAAGGGTGAACTGTACATGAGCTCAAAGCAGTGGCTTGCTCGACATGGCCTAAAAGCAAAGAAACTGGGGTTCTACGATTTTCTTCAGACCTTAGCCTTTAAACACTGTGATGGAGTTGTTGATATTCAGCATGCACCAAAAGGAGATATTGGATATGCGGTAAGGCGTTTCTCTGTGACAAAACGTTTTATCAATGAACTCTTCAGTGGAAAATCTCTAAGTCTGTAACATGGCTAGATTGATTGCATAGATAGCTGCTGCTAAATATTGCATAAATTAGCTGATGCTAAATATTGCATAAATTAGCTGCGCATTTATATGTCTAAATAAGCAAAAATATCACATGTGTAACCGAATTAAACAGAAAATCAATGAACGAACAAAATCAGTCTTTATATTTTTTCGTCTTAAGTTGTACTTGTATTAATGCCTCGGGGGTCTTGTATATCCCAGTAACTTTGGTTTTTTCATAATGTTAGATCACTTTTAGATTAAAAGTCTTAAAACAATCACATTAGTTGGAATTGAAGAATTAAGCCAATCCCATTTTATCTTTGAAACAGGTTGGGACGTGTTAGATTAGAAAGTATACTCTTTCTTGTGACTTGTTATGTTCACCTACCTTAACTATTGACATTATTGCAAGATGAACACAAAGCGGATCTAATGTTTTTTGGGAAAGAAAATTCAAATGTTATAACAAGACTCAAACTATTTTGTTTTACCAGAAAAGTTGTCAGGGGTTGTATTTTGAAAAACAATTCTTTATATCCATCGCCTTTAACCTTTTTTCATCTATGCTTTTTCAGGTTGTGAAACAGAAGCTTGTCAATGCAAGATACTGTGATAAATTTGCTCATGTCAGGTATTAGATTTGATTTCATTCTCTTAACTATATCAACTATACTAATGTCATGGTATACTTGTCACAATTTCAAATCGATGGAATACTGGGAAAATTATATCTACAAGCTTAATAAATGGAATGAAGTTGTTAAGATTGTATTTTTAAAAACCTTGTCTTAAAATCGATTTAAACAGGATTTTGTTGTAGAAAGAAAGGTTAAAGAACAATAGAGTATATCAATGTTATAAGAAGTTTCTAATTGATGTAGAACGTTGTCAAGAAGGTAATTCAATTGAAGTATGATTATTCCTGGAAATTGGAAGGCATATGCACAACGCCACTACATCCCTGTATGGACAGAATGGCTGAGAGAGATCTTTATTGGCAAAAAGGGAGCTGCTGCCTCCAACCTGAAGTGGCAACATTATAGTAGTTGTCTAGTTTACCTTGTTCTCTGTCTTCAGAGAACCAGCGAACCCTTGCCTTCGAGATTCCAGGTTACTTCAATAGACTTTTTGATATTTCAGCTTATCCCTGACGCACACGGCACACATAAACTCAGCTGCTAAATTGGCTCTTTTGTTAGCACTTGTTTTATACTAGTTGGAACTGCTAGTTTTGTATTTTATAAATGTGATTAATTTTTTTACAGATGGAAAGATGGCGAACTTATGCATGTTCATGTTAGTGGCCCAATGCATCGAAGTTACGAGGAAAGGGTCTTGGCAACTGTCGAAAGTTATCGTAAAAGGTTCATATCAGTCAATATCTAAAGTACTATCTACGGGTGTTATCTTAATGAAGATTACTGTTGACGGATCTGTTATATAATGTTCGGCACCGTATGAATAGAGCTGAACACACTATGGTGTGTGGGACACGATTGTTCGCAGTTGCAGCTTAGTGTGCTATATTATTGTAGTATAGTAATGCATGGAATTGCATTGTTTGATAGAGTATAGTATAGTATCGTAGAGTACAATAAATTGCATTATTGTTTGATAAAGTATAGTATAGTGAAATAAAGTCAGTAAATAACGATACTTCATCAAAGTATTATAACGGGTTGTCCGCGTTTCTCGATTTAAAGGATGGAATGGCTACAGCAAGGCAGCAGAGAATTGTTTGGGACGATCGTAGAGGACCAGGTACTACTTTAAATTTCCAGGATTTTTTTCAGTTGCAAATACCTTGCTAACTCACCAGCTTTTCCGCTGTTTGAAGCTATAAGAGATTTTTGATACGCCATGAGATCAGATAAAGAAGCATAGAAGCATGCAGGGCTGATAGTCAGGATTGTCAAGTCTTCTAAGTCTGATTGGATGCATATCTGAATCACTTTTCAGCCATTTCAGCATCCATAAATTGTATTGTATCAGTTGTTTCTTTCAAATCTTAAATGTTTGACATGCAGACTGATATCAATAATCGAATGCAAAACTTTTCTGTAGTTGAAACCATCTGATGATAGTTCGTATTAAAAACAGCAGAAAAGCCTGCAGGACCTCCATATAATAAGCGCTTCAGTGATCAGATGAACTCTGTGTTAATGGAAACTATCCCCGGTCTAGAGTGCACTTGTTCGAGGTATTGATCGTTAGAAACAAAATTTGGGATAGAAATATTTCCTCACTTGTTTAGAGGTTTCGTTTTTAGGCGCTATCCTTTAGTGTGTCTTTTGCTAAGATTCCACCAATTTAAAGATGGCCCCAACTTCAAGACAGTAACTTTTCAACTATTCGCTAGATTTTCAGAATTCTTCATTTGCTTTCTCTTCTAAATAAAAGTCCCAATCCTTGCTCTCAATAAAAACAATGTTAATTGCCATTTCCAGGTAGCAATCCTTATTGACACATCTTCATCAATTGCATCAAGACTTTTCCTGATCAAAGATAAGCTTTATAGGCTAATGCAGGTTGGTTGCTTTTGTCTTCTTTGTCAAAAGTTTTTTACGCAAATTTTACGATATTCATTTTATTGTTTTCTAAATGAATATAACCGTGCTTTTTAAATTGCTGTTAAATAATGTATGTTTAAAAGGCGAGCATACTTTCTTTAGATGGTATCTGCAATTTTCAATTCGATGCGTTCTTTAGGGCGTTGTAAAATACAATTTTTTGCAAATTCATTAAGAAGCCCATACTGCCAATAGCCCCCATCAATTAATGCACATTTGGGAGCACCAGTTTTGCTATCCTGAGCTAAAAGACCACCATTAGATACAGACGTCAAGTATTTTCTGTACTGTGATATATCCAGGACCTGAAATCTGTTTATGCATATGATCTCATGCCAATCAATAACTGACCGATCGAATAGCCAGTTTTTGCATGGATCAATCAGAAACACCTCGAAGGCTTTACCAGTGGTTATGAGCTATCACACAATATCTTACGAGTTCTCATAGACGAGGACATTTGATTTTCTCAATTTGTGACTTGGTCTGCTAAGAAATTCAATCAGTGAGACGTAAAAGCACTTTTTTACGGAAAACATTGTTACTTCTTTGAAAAATGAAAGGAGATACTTGAGTTCATGCATTGAGGTATTTTGAATGTTTCACAAAATCCACCGTTAATATTACGTATCAACATGGATATTCAAAAATCAATATAAGTTGTATTGTATTTTCGTCGGTAAATTGTATTTTCGTCGGTAAATTGTATTTTCGACTAGGATAGTTAGTTTTTATTCCATACATAAATACTTTTATTCTGACATAGCCTTTATTGTAACAGTATTGAAAAGCTTGATAGATCTTATCAATACTACTATCTTGCTCAGCTAACCAATTTCATGGTTTTAGCCATTCCCTCCTTCGGCAACACAGGCGTCTGCATTAATGCATTCATTTATACGTTTTTAAATCATATAGCTCACCCTGGTGTTTCTTCCGTAATCTTGAACGTAAGTTATTCCTCCAATTGCAAATTTGTTGCCATTATCGACCTTAATTTACAAGTAGTGATGTTATGTTGCTGTTTTACGTGTGAAAATTGTTTCTATGGTCGTTAGATTAATTGGAGAAAACACTAATGTGTGAAATTATCTCTTTTTAGGAGCAGTTAAGGCATAAGCGTAAATTCAACATCATAAAATTTGACTCAAGAGTGCAACCCTGGCGTGATCATCTTGTTGACTGCAACAGCCACGTAAGTTTACATGTTACGTATAAATGTTTACTTGTAACCTGCAAATTTTGACTTCGGTACCGTAAAGTTTGAAAATAGCAAGGAAACATATCATACTGAAGTATTCTTGTCTGATTCTCCTCAGATTATTATCCTTTGACAATGTCCAATTGTAGTCAGAAAATTTATAGCAAGATGTGGATCGAAAGTAACGCGAGAGGGAAAATTGGAACCAAACAGATGCGTCATTCTCTAAAGTCGCGCCATAAACGGACCAATCTTATGCTATGCTTCCTCTCACGTTTTTTTCAATCGGGATCTGGATAAATTTTCTGCTTACATTAAGACATTACCTGAAGTTTAAATTTAGAGGATTGTTTACAATTGTTACATTTGTTTATAGCGATACTGGTTAAACAAAACCGTTAAACCTGTAGCCTGTCAATAAACATTGCGATAGAATTGTTTGCCAGTAAACGTTGCGATAGATTGTAACTGCCACGGGTAGCAGGCTTTACAACTTACGGCAAGCAAGAATGCAGTGAATTTTAAAGAAGCATTTTTTCAATAATTAAAGCTGATCTTGAAAACTTTATTAGAATTTCTGTAACTCGAAAATTGGACGTATTTGTCATATTTCACAGAGGCCTGATCAATTGAAAACACATTAAAATCTTAACGGTGTCAAATATCTATTGCGAAAGTAAATCTCACTCGAGAGTGATACTTGTTCAGCTGTGTGTTTACTTGTTGTTAGGAGAACCGTTAGCTCTGGGAATAGTGGCTTTAAGCTTACTTTAGTGTTTCCTCTTAACCACTTCCTCAGAAATAGCCCTAAGATGTGCCTCCCCCCTGAAGGCCTTCCCCCAGAAAAAGATCCTTGTAATAGCTTAACTTAGTGAAAATTCACAAAGAAACAGGTTATATTCTAGGCAATAAACAAGACCTGTCAAGAAATCCCAAACTATAAATTTTCTAGACGTTTCAGATTCGAGCAGGTTGCTATATTCTTTTTGCGACTGTGGTTTTTCAAATACATAGCATGTGTTACTATATTGCAAAAACTTTTACCATATCGAGAGACGTTTGCAGTCGGCAAGAATGTCTAATTTGCTCGATGTTATTTGACTCTTCGAACTCTTAGGTCTAAATAATCTAGTAAGGAAACGAAGAAGAACAAGGTGAGGCTAAATGTTTTACAATTAATTGAACATAAATCAGGCAGCATTTGTGCGGTTTTGATACAAAATATTTTATACAAGCAATACACATTATATGCATTTGTTAAGAATTATTTTCTTCAGCTGACAGTATGAAGCCAACCTACGAAATATCTCAAACAAAAGCTTTATAGTATTTTTTTCATTTCTTCAAAAGGCTTTGAAAAGTACAGGTTTGCAGGACTCCTCTAATTTCAGGACTTTTATGATTTTTGTTTTTGCATTCTTGCAATTCTTTGCGTGAATACATACATACTTTTTACAAGATAGTTAATAAATCATTTTTACTGAAAGTATGTACGCTCCAAAGGGGCAGGCTTATTCAAGAATTGATACTGAAGGGTTTTATTCTAATTCTTATACTTACACGAGAGAACACTTGTTCGCGGGAAGGGCTGTGCTAGTGCTCGTGGCATTGTTTTTTGGGTTGACATAAGATTAACTATTTTATAGGGAATTGACCTTTAATAACGAGTGGGGGTGAACTTTTTCAACCGGAACGATTTTTCGGTCAGGTCCTATGTTTTCATATGTTAAATCGTCTTAAGATCTAAAATATAAGCACAAACAATGTGAAAACTTTCTCTTCTAAAATATGGTGGCAAATCCGAATCGGAGCTGCAAATTCTCACAACAATGTTTGTAGTGATTTCCGATGCAAGACCGTTGATTGAATTAGTTTTTTGAGTTGTTTTTTTAATATGAAATCGTTTTGGGGTGGGTATATTTAAAAGAGGGGGGAAGGCTTTTTCGAAGCTATATACTAAAGAAGGAAAACGTCATTAAAAGAGCTTAATCGAATTATTATGGTAGATGTGCGAATGAATTGAGCACTAAACATTTTTTAGAACACCAGGAAGGTGGAAACTTGCGATAATGCAGAAAAATAATTATTATCTAATTTTGCTGTAAAAGACATCGTAGAAATGGCAGGCATAGATGTGTTGTCAGGTTAACAAAGCACCTGCACTGAGAGTTCTAGAGCTTTTCAGCCCTTGTCGTACTGAGCTTTTTATAAACAGAAGCCAGCTGAAAAACTACAGAAGAGATCTATTGTAGATGGAAGGGTGGGAGAGAGCGGCAAACCAATAACTTTTATGTGACGAGGGTGTTTTCAGGCTTTTTTAAAAATTTCCCGTTATTGACCGATACGAGGCATTTTTGATGACTCTTTTCAAGATGTGAATTTTTATTGCTTTGTAAGTTGCTGTACAGACTGCCCATTGCTCAATCAGGGCTTTGTGATGCTGAGGCTGTCTATTGCAGTGAAGTTATAGTGCAAAATCTAGTAAATTCCCTATTTTACATAAGATCTTTTATTGCAAGGTGGGGTATCACCACTAGCAATAAAGCAATCGTGTTTGATAATACGTAGAGGCATAGAGCAAATCTTGATGTGGATAGGAAAGATGGGTCAAATATAATTAAATGCACTATATCGATGCATTTCGCTGGCCATTTAAATTTCCCATTGGTTGGACCACACAATAGACCCATTGCTACGTATCCAAACGACTAATACTCAATGCGCTGCAAATCCTATTGTTAACTCTGAACGTTTGACTGACGGGACATATTGCCTTTACCTGGGACATGAAACCATACCTTACGGAAAAAATTGATGTGCAAAAACACTTAAAGCATTACTACTGATATAAGTTTAATTTCAGAGAATAGTGTACAGCAAAAATTGCATCAGATAGCAAGAAAAATTGTGCATGCCAACTTAAAACAAAATGAAAGTGTTTACACTCATGGGGGATGTTTCTCATCCGTGAAAAGTGTATGTAATGGTTTGAAAGAAAATTTGGTGAAATGTGCACTGAGAATTATTTTAGAAGCTTGCAACAATGGCTTTCTTTGTAGCCTCGCATTGAAACATGTCCTTGGGCACTGTGCATATGAAATAATACTCGATAACTGCAACATACCCCGAATAACTGAATGATACTGAGCAACTGAGTTTACCGTAGCATTTTAGCCTTCACAGTTTAGAACAAAGAGAGGTCGTGAACTGCAATCCTATGCTGTCAATTTTGATGACAAATGAGCCTTTGAACTCACATTTCATTTGTAGAATCTTGAGAATGCATGGCAATGGGTCAAGGGCCTAACCACTGGAGGAAGCACGAACACGCTCGGAGCACTTAAGAGAGCGCTTGCCGATACCCAAGTGCAAGCGGTTTATTTGCTAACCGACGGAAGACCGGACCAGGTAAAGTTCACTGGCTGTCCGAGTTCGGTTATATCTTGCACATTCATTTATGAAACTTCGAGTAAGATTGAAGATATCTAGAACTTTCTAGTGACACGGTTATATAGATTTATTTTAAAGAAATATGATAGGACATTCGCGTAATTTTTTAGAAATATCTTGTTTTTGGTAGAATTTAAGAATCCAACTTCGGTATTTCATCAGTTTGAAGTATTATTTCCCTGGAGCAGTTTGATTGTACTTCGCTTAATGTGCCATTTCTGACTGGAATACTTAACTTCTCATCGAATGAAATCATGTATCTTGCATTCGTAGAAATTCTCTATTGAAAGAATCCATCTTGCCTTGGTACCCAGTTCTTAGATAATTTACAGGCACGCTGGATCTGGCGAGGGCCAGGTAGTCTCCCCCCCCCCCTCTCCACTTTTTTGCTTGAGTACAATATCGAAGTTGTAGCATCTTAGTGCTCCTCTTACTGGTTTTGTCTTTATTCCAGCCGCCTGCTACTGTTCTTGCCCAAGCTGCCTTGATCAATACGGTTCCGGTGCACACTATTTCTTTCAACTGTGCTGATTCCGAAGCCAACGAATTCTTGTCTCAACTCTCCTCTGATACCGGTGGAAGGTTTGTATCACCAGTCCATATTTTGTATGAAAACGTCTTGCTGGCTAGTGTGTTTGTAGGGACAAGTTTTACGCTTAACATTTCGAAAGAGCAATGTTTTTAAAACGTGCTTCTTTTCAGATTCCACTATTTTTCCGAAGATGGCTACGATGATAAGGGCCCACGACCGTTCGAGGTTGGTATCATCAAATTCTTTTATTTCCTTGCTCATTTTTCTCCATCTCCAAGATCACAAAACTAGATTTCATCGCCATTTCACCAAAAAATTTACCTCGATAAACAATTCACTCACATAGTCGCATATATAAGAAACCCGAGCCTTTGCTGACAAAAATAGAATAAAAATCCCAAATAAGCTGTTGGCCAAAAGACCCTTTGATCCTAAATATGTTTTTCAAAAACCCTAGTGTATTTTGTAGCATTTGGTTTTATCAGCTAAACTCACCACTCATCCTATCTTTCTTCCCCTTATTCAAATTGTATGAATTTCTACACATAACCAGCATTGAATATTTGTCACGTCATTCTGACGTTGCAACCAAGTCTAATGCGACACCGAACCCAACATACTCTTTTTCTACGACTCTTCAAACTTAGCGTTGGCTTAGCCTGAATGACTGTGAATTGTTTGTCTATGCTTTTTGTAAAAAGGACATTCGATGCTCAACATGAATAGATTTACAAAAGTCCGCATGAAGGTATTTTCAATATTGACTTTGAAAATCTTCAATGCAAACTCTCTGCTGACATGAAGTTTAGAGTTTGACATGTAGTCAAAACGTCTTATGCTCATAAACCCTTTGAGGGTTTACCTTTCAATTCAGCTACTTTTCATAGTGCGTATCAACAAATCGTGTCACTGATAGTGGGGAAAGCCTAGCCTGTGCCCCAGTCCACCAAGGTCATTTACTAATTCTGCTTTTTCCTGTACAGTCGCGGTCTATCGCCTGCATTTTTCAGGAGCTCACCGCGGGTGCGTTAGCATCTTATCAGGCCGAGTTTGAGTAAGCGGTCTAAATCTCTTGTTTTAGTGGACTTAATCTTTTAGCCGTGAATGGATTTTCAATCTTATCTCTCCTTTTAACCGAACAAAATTTCGATTGGTCAGATAATTCCCTTAGTGATGATTTGTTTTTCTTCAGTAGATTGAAAAATTTTCCCGCAACGACTCGTTATTAAGTTCCATATATTTGCCAAACAAGATCTTTTGTTTGCCGAAGCAAAATTGCAATTTACCGTGGAATTAACGTGTTTAGTTTTATTTTGCTTCACATTTGTTTATATTCAGAGCGAGGACTTGCGGTTGCTAAGAGAAGAAATCGAGCGGGGCCTGGCTGATTTGCAGAAAGTAAACGGTCTGAGAGACGAATGCACTAAACTTGACTGGTACGGATCTGAGAAAGACAAGAGTTCGAGGTCTTCAAGTGCTTTTTTATTAACCTCTTTATAATAACGATATCTTTTATGATAACTGTACTCTACTACAAATGCATTCTGAAGAAACTACATTTCTAGTTTGTTTGCCAAGCACAATTGAATGGTACTAAGAGCATAAGCAAAATTTGGCGTTAAAGTTTGTTCCATTCTTAAAAGTTTGGTAGAGAACGGGGCTCATCCTTACAAGTCAAACTCTTGGATTTTGCTTTAGAATTGTCATTTATTCAAGACATTATCGAGTTTTAAGGTCAGCAAGGACAACAAGTTACAAACTCAAATGAATATTAACAGATAATTTTTTCTTGTTTAGCTTGAATAGCAACCAGAGATGCTTTCGCCTTTATTACTAACGAATTTTCCTAATGGTAAAAGCTCTATCATAGGTGAGCTTAACACACTAAATATTTAACCCAATGACTTAAAATTTTTGGCTAAAGCAGGAGTATTGGCATATGTACCTGTATTATTGCCCTACCATTGAAGCTAATACCAGCTTGGTTGTTTCCTATAGGAGTCGTGGTACCAGAGCCAACGTCCCCGAAAGACCACATTCCGCTTTAGCACGAACTCAAGGTCCAAGTTTAATGATGCCTACATCGTCAGGAATACGAACGAGACCAGCCTCGGCTCGACCCAAGTCAGTTGTTACATACTACTCGTCGAAGCCTGGCAGTAGCCCAAAGAGCCCAACCATGACTCCTTCGCCCCCGGTAGCCACAAATCGAGCTACGATGTTGCGATTAAATTCGGTGAAAGCTGCTAGTTCACGTGATGATTGGGTTTTGCCTGAGACAAGGGAATACTTGGAAAGAAGCCAAGCAAAAACATCGAAGAAATTTAAGCCCGACAGAGGTATCTCATTTTTCTTGCTTTAACATCGTCGCTTTGTTCTATCCTTTGTACTTACTTTCGCTATTTGATACCTACTCTCGGTGGTAAACCATGGGCACGCATCATCCGCATGCAAATAGCCACATGAAACATCAATAGCGTGTTTTGTTAAGCATAGGAAGATTTGTAATGTTGGGTGTGGAGGCAACTCGATAACATTATGTTTTTTGCCTCCACCTCAACAATAATTAATTTGAGTTTTGTATTTTTTGATGTTATAGAAAAAACATCAATACATTCGATTTTAAAGATCCAAAAATTTTATTTAGATACATTTATCAGAAGACAATAGAAGCTTCTGGAAAAGGAATTTATACGATCTAACAACCTAAATCACATTTAAACGATTCAACACATTGATAGATACGAGATCCTTGTGCACACGTCAAGAGAGCCGGGGTGTTCAAACAACCCAACTATTTTGTACTAGAGCAAACTTCACCCAATATCTGAGAAGTTAATGTTTGGTGACCAAGCATGTTTTTCAAACGGCCCATAAATTTTGGGTGAATGCTTAGTGAAATATTCGATCGTTCAAACGGGGCTTTACTAGATTACTTGATACAGTTTTCTTTATATTTATACATACTTTTCAAGGTGGTTTTGCATGCCTTTGATAATACTTTGAAAAGTATCCTCATTAACAATTGCATCAATTTCGTTACTTCCTTTAGACACCTCAAAATCTTCCGTTTCAAATACTGTCCTGTTCCAAACCTTGTGCCTAATCCACTTGTTTGTTATTTTCACTTGTTATTAAAACGTTTCATCTTGTACCCGCAATTTTCCATGTTTTTTTCTTTTTTTGTAGCAATTATTATGTATACGTCTAGCTTTTGTAGTTGTTAGTCTAGTTGCGTGTAATGGCCATGGGGTTGTTGTCCTTTGCTCCCCATGGTATCGTACCTGCAGTATCGTAGAGTAATTAGAAAGTATAGTAGATTGTAGTTTATATTGTAATATTGTTTCTGGATATGAAAAAATTTGTTTTTTAAGGCAACAAGAAGAAACGAAAACCAAGAAGCAGGTATGCATCATGTCTTCTGTTTTCAATTTTTTTAACCAAACTATGAAGTTATAAAGTCGCCTGTTTTATCTTGAGATTTAAGTTGAAAGCACAGAAAAAGTGATGCATTTAAATATAAAATTTAATGAAAAGTGATCTTCTGAAGAAAGATTTAAAAAAAATAGAATAGACAAGGTTGTAAATATATAAGACTGTATCTCTGTCTCTTGTTTGAATCTCTTTATTCCACATCAATAATATTTAAGGTAGAATGAAATAAGCTTGCGTGAAGAAGGGTATGAACAGAATACTTGACTACACAATGAAATTCTGTAACTACCGCTTACTGTAGTATCTAGATCTGTCGAAGCACTCAAAGACGCTGTAACTTTCGTGAAGTACGAAAATTACCGTTTCATTGTGAATAAGCATAATGTGATTTTGCTATTTTGGATCTTTCTCTGTTTCAATTACAAGAATTTCAAAAATTTTCTTTGCAGGTCGCCTGCTTCATCAATGAGAAGGTAAGCATGACAAACTAGGTAGTTGAGTTGGTAAATTATTACATTAAAGCATTTGGTAAATTATTACATTACAGCATTTCAGAAATCAATACATTTTATTGAGGCAGCTTTTTCTCAATTAGATTTCCTTAGCAAATATTCAGGGGCCAATTGTGACCGAAATTGGTTAAAAACCGATGACAATTTGATTCATAGATCTTAGATTGTTCCTTTTGCCCGCATCCACTCATTACAAATTTACTAATTAATTATGTAGCCTTCATCTATTTTTGTGCAAACGATAGATCTATATTGTATTGTGAATTGAAAATTGAAGCCTAAAAACTCATCATGACATCTATAACACATGTCTATAATTTTATACTTACTTTTATACATTCTATAATTTTTCACAGATGGATAAAAAAGAATAACCTTGCTGCAAAAAAGCTGACTATTCTTGATGCCTTAGCTCCAACGATGATCCCTCACACAACAAAATACGTGCCAATTCTCGATAAACATATTTTGTCAAAAGTTTTTGACCAAGTAAGTAAACACAGCTTAGTTAGGAAATTTCTTTACCGAAAAATAGACAATTTTTATCGTCCCTAGGTTTTTGTTTTTCATTTGCAATGAAATTTTGACAGCAAAGAATAAGGTCTTAATTTCAATGCTATTAATTTCAATGTAGCCTCAAATTCACAACCCACAACGCCCCCCCTGCCTTCAACAAATTTGCTACTTTACCTGTTGTCTTTGAAAATTTATCATACAATTTCGGCATAACCTTATGTTAAATGCATAATTATTTTTGTCTCAACAGATTCTTCCGTTGGCGCATACTTCCGGGGGAGACCGCACAGAGGTGCAGATAATCAATCCTCAGGCAGCTAATTTGTCTTCTTACCAAGATAAACTCAAATCAGTCATTGAAATTTATAAAAGGTGTATATTTCAGCTCATGTATTTCTCTTTTTCCTATCCTACCTACCTTTCTTCCTTGCATTCTTTTTTTCTTTTTTCGCTCCTCCCCCTCCCTTCTTTTTTGTTTCCTTTCTTTCCTTTCTTTTATCCTCCTTTCCTTTCTCTCTTCCATTCTTTCCCTCATTATTCGTTCTTTTCTTCTTCACTCATTATTTCCTTTCTTTTAATTCTTTCTTCCTCCCTATCCTCTTTTCTACCTTTCTTATTTCTCTCTTATTTTTCTTCCGTCCCTCTCTGCCTTCCTTTCTTCACCCTTTCTACCTGATTTCTTCCCTTCCTTCGCCTTTGTCTCTTCTCCGTTTCCTTTTCCCTTGCTTTAATTAGAATGGAAAGGGGCTCACAAGAGAGGGTCTATTGCATTTCGTCCATATTAAGCCCTTTTCAGATTTTTGACACAGAAAATTTACCTGATTAGCGACGCCCTCATCTCTCCGTCTTGGTGCTATATTTTGGACTACTTGGGGCATCTTGACATTTCCGTCCGATTTAAGCTTTATACGTTACATCGAAGCGAGGTATCTAAAACTTTATCCGCAGATTTGCCACAGCGCAACGCAATAAGATGCATTTAAAAGAACTATCCATTTAGTCATTTATAATTCTTCATACAAGTAATTCTTCCTCATTTTATTTCGTAAATCTAATTGTTCATTTTATTGGGCACCAGCAAGCTGGCAGATCTGAGAAACACTCCTACAGATAGCACTGGCATAACAGTCCTTAAGACAAATCGACAAATTCTTTGTTCCCTCCGTTTGAGACTGTAGACTCCTGAAATATTATGTCAAATTCAGTCAGTGACAAATTTTCATGTACCGTGAAAGCTGCTGAATTCAGGCTATTTATCAGTATTTCATTCATTCGTATCTCTTTCTTAACACAAAAATTTATTTTTCAGAAAACTGGATGAGTTTGTTTATCCAGTCCTCAGTGCAAAGGAACGATTAAAGTAAGTAGTTATCATATGGATATCAAAAAAATATTGTATTGGATATATTTTAGATCTCGTCATGCATTATCGACAGGTTTTAAGCTTGATGAAATAAGTGTTGATCCAAGTTGATTTTGACCAGCTACTTCATTTATTCATGTATTTTCAAGGGTGTTGTTCCATGTTTTAAAAAATAATATCTTGTCCAATTTTTGTAAAAAGTCCTCAACGTGGGGATAAGGGGGCTGAGCTACTTGCTAATGCCAAGAATAACAGTTTTTCAAATTTTGTCATTGTGTCCTGAAGATTTTTTTTGGGAAGGCCACCCTTCTTCTTTATATAGCACTATTTCCCTGGTCCTGAATATCAATTTTTAGACGATTGCCTTTTAGATCTTCTCTTAAGATATGATAATGATATTCGTGGGACATGCTGATGATGTCACTCTGAGATTTTCTTTATAACATTCATCTCTTCATTGCGTTACTAAAATGAGAATTGTTGGATTAAGGCTCTGGTCCTTTGATATCTTCTCAGTTTGAAAGCATTTTACGCTTAGAATTCATGTTTTGGTAATTATCTTTAAGAAAAAAGGTTTAAAAGACAGTTGTCTTCAGTATCCCAACATATGCATGCAAAGCTTTGACTTGTTGAAACGCTAAGCTTTAATCGAGATTCAATTAGAGAGAGTAATTTCCACTCAGTGAACTTTGTTTGCGAAAACCTCGTGGTGAAAAACATTTTCATTGTTCCTATGGAGCTTCAAGATATATTTCAACTATAAAAAATCAAATATCAAATTCAGATGTATATTGACCAAGGGAATAGCAAAAAGACAAGAAATACAGGATTTAAAGCTACTAACATAAAGGAAGGTTTTTGCTTCAAATGGTGTCTTTTAGCTCTCAATTACCATCAGTAGTGAACAAGAGGTCACTGTTGTCACCACCATTAATGGTATCTGGTGTTTGTATGAAATTCCCATCTTTGTCACATTCGTAAGGAGTAAACAAGCCATCTGTCTGTCTCAAGAAGCAAGGCTTATGACATTCCAGCCGGTTTTTTGGCATACTATGCGACATTTTGTTCCCAAGGAGGTCACTGCACCAGCACAGGTTTCCCTGTCGATTGCACTGCTCCAAAGCGAAGTATCCGTTAGGCCTGCAAGCCGGCAACCAGTCAGGGTCGTTAACTGGACCCTTGCATATTCCTGGTGTTGTCCATTCGTCCGGCATCTCATGATCGTCCAATTGCTTCTGCATGATCGGTACGGCATTTGCTACAATGGATGTTATTACAAGAGTAGCAGTTAATTTTGCAATGAATCGTTTAACAAACATGTCTCCTTGGAACAATGCCATGACTTCACTGACTCACCGACTTAATGTGGTTGATATCGATATCTGTAAATAGAGCTTACAACAACGAGCTTCAATGCTTCATGAGTGCACCAATGTTTACGCTCTCCCTTACAGCTGTGCTTGCTCTGCTTAGTGTCTTGATTATTTTTATAATTGATTCTTAGACAATTTCTGTCAATATGCAATCTACCAATGAAATGATATTGTTCTTACTGGTAGAAATTGTGATCGATAAAGGAGCACGCTTTTTTCTGCACTTGCAAGCAAAATTTCCGTCTTTAATTCATTCATTTATGTGTTCACTCTTTCTTCCATTAAATCCAAGAAAATATTTTTCCTGATAAATTATCATGGAAAGCTGCCAACACAGCGACCGTTTTTCACTCCAGACTCCCAAAACTGAGCAGGCCTATTCAATATTTCCTCTTTTATCGGCCTTGTGAGATCTTATCTTCTAGAAAATATCCAGGTACACCCTTCTTTATAAGAAAATTGTTTATAAGAATTTTCAGGCAATCATCCAATTTTTAAGAATGTTTTAATAATATCGTCCAGCCTCAGTTCGCATATTTGTGTCTCATTTTTCAGCAGCTGCCTGTTTTGTGATGTTCATAACAAATAATCGCATGTTTTTTATTGTAAAACATATTGTTGTTGTTAAAAATGTCATTATTGTTAAGAACATTATTATTGTTATAATGGCCTAAATTTTCTTCGTTCGCCCATTTCTACGTACTGACATGAAATTTCTTTAAACTATTTCCCTAAGAGATTTGAAACCATACCAGCTTTGAAAAATAAGGATAGTTTGATACCTTTTTCGACAATTCTTTAGGAATATTGAGGCTGTGCAAAATTTACCGTATTCTTTTAAAGAAACGTATCTTTTGAAATTTGTCTTTTGAAGTATGAAATGTCAGATTTTAGCGAATTCATCAATTGTACAACCTTTATAGATTGAACTTTGCCAATGTTTAAACTTTGAAAGACCATTCCCTGCCAATGTTTAAAATTGACCTTTCCGCGTTTAAAGAAGAATGAATCATTTACTTAAATGTTTGATATTATTTTTATTCCCTTTCGCGCGTAGATCATTCTTTTTGGCCTTTTGTAGATATAATGGAGAGGGGATTCCTTCATTCCAAGAAAACAAGCAATCAATGTTAGAAGACCTAGAGGGGAATGAGTGGCCAATTACAATAGATGATATTGCCAAATATGAGGATGAAATCAAGCAAGCAGAATTGTACCTTTTTCAGTCAAAGGAATTGCAAGAAACCTCTGAAAAGGTATTATTTGAATATTTATTTTGGTATCCACGAAAACATTACAAACACCAAAATCAGTCAAAAGATATTTTTGGGTATGCTTTTGAGACAGAAAGGGGCTGCAAAATTAGCAATAGAATGGCATGGTTTCCTAGTTTGGTTGCTTGTAAACAGCTGGGTCAGAAGGGTAGTTACCCTGGGTGCCAGAGCCTCAGAGAGTCAAAGGATGAAGAACGGCGAAAGAATCCATGCAATGCATTTTCCTTGTCTCAAAAACATCTTGAGAATGCTTAAGGTTACGGTAAACGTTTTCTGGATGAAAACATCATTTTTTCGATTTTTTCACATTCAATTAGCCGAACTTTCAAGGCACACAATGATACCAAATTTGAAACAAACAGAAATTTTGAAAGTGGAAAAAATCCCATGTAAACGAAGGTTTCCATAATTTCTTTATCAAAACTTTTAGTTGAGGCCTGAAAATCTCTTGACCTTTTTAGCCGATTATCGTTGCTTTGCGGTTTTGGTCGCATGTCTCATTTACAATATCGCATGGCACATCCATATATCCAATGTACGGCCGTGTTTATTTAAGCAGGCTTATTGATCTTAAATCTTCAAGTGACTTGACCCGGATTACACTGTGGTTTACGAGTGTATCTTGCAAGTGCGATCAGTAAAATCCCGTTTCCTCCGGACTCGAAATTCCTCTACATGCAGGTACGAAAAAGCTATTATGTACCCAAGGAACCAATCGAATGGCTCGAAAATTTGCACACGGCCAGGGCAGACGTTGGGCAAACAAAGTGTGTCTCAAAATTTTTTAATTTTCTCTGGTCCGTCTTTTATACCCAAATACAGCTGCGGGAGGGTGGAAAAATTATTTGCCAATTTTTGACAGGGTATAGTTTAAAGAAGAGGAGGAATTTAAAAAATCTGAGACACACTTTGGTAGCATAGGACCGGCACTTCCTGCTGGTCTAAGTCAGATTTTGTTACCTCAAACGCAAGGGTACATAATAGCTTTTGAAGGTGGTACACTTTTTGACCAGTAAATTCGCATGGAAAATAACATTTAACATTATTTGCCAATAATTTTTATCTGGCTAGATACGCCATAATCTTGTGCATCGAATGATATATAGTTTATCCAGATTCCTTAAGCCGTTTGGCCTTTAGGAAGGAAAAACCAATTTTCGTGTTCAAAACGTTTACCGTAACCTTAATAATCAGCTCAACTGTTGTTTCCTTTGAAGATCTTGGATGAGGAGCGAACCGCCCTGTCTAAAGCAAAGTTGATCAATCATTTCGGTGCTGTTTTTGGCCATTTCTAGGCATACATTCTTCTAGTAATTTTGCTGTGTTACATTTATGTATTCTCTTTTATGGATGTTACAAATATTTTATTTTGTCCTTGAAATTCATACGCCATAATGATGTTCATTTTTGCGAAGCTTTCGAAAGAAGCCCTCGAAAAACAGAAAGAACAAACTTCTCAGTCACCGATACAATTGAGATCTTTCAAGAGAGTAAGTAAATTAATCATAAATCCTCACATGGTCGATGGTCCCTCCTTTAATATCGCCTGTGACTCTGTAATAGTCTAAAATACATGTACTCTTATTTAATATTCTCTACCTGTCAAAATGGGTATAAAATAGCTTGAAAATCTTTTGATTCCTTTTGTAAGTAATTTAAGGTTTATTTTGAAATTAAAAACTCTTTATTTATAAAAGTGGTGTGGCGATGGTAATTGTTACTCAGATTCTTTTCCGAGAACTTTTCCGGAAATTCTATTCTAAAGCAATCCCCCCCTGACGATACGGCTGTGTAAGATGGATAACAGCTACCCTTAGCACTTGGCAACAATTCTTTTCCTTAACCTCGTGTTCGCTTAAAATATACATGATTCCTAACTCGCAAACCAAATCAAACCAATGCATCGTAACTTTTGCCCTAAGAAAAAGATCTTCATTGCATGTACAATTTTTCAGTTCCAGAACGTCAATTTTTCCTCCCTCAACTAACTGCCCTGCGTTTTTTTAGGCCTCTGCTCAAGAAAGATTATCAACAATCCAAGCGTCTTCAAGTACGCGGCATCTACGAAACCAGCGAGTTGTTGGTCGCAGCGCATTGGATGGATTTTATTACCCAGGAATCGTCGCGAGATGCTTGAATTCTCGCTATCTCGAAGTAGACTTTGATAATGGCGATAGACAGGTGACATCTGTGAGATATGTGATTCCTATTGGTGGTGCGAGGCCATGTCCAACGTTAAAGGTAAAAGTCTTTATCGTCCATTCTTGTTCATACCGTTCGGAGCTTGTTTGCAATTTCAGATATAAACACACATCTCTTACTGTGAGTGCTCGGAGGGCAGCACTTCTGCAGCTGACAAGGTGCTTACCTCTGATGATCAGTCAAGAGATTTAACTGCTGTTTTGCTCGTTCTTTGAATGGAAGCCGAATATCATATTGCCAACTTGTTTGTTATTAGCCTGAATTGTTTACCTTATATGTACCTGGTTAATTATTTACTTGAATTTTTGCCAGAATCTTGAAACTCTTAAGACCTGCTCAAGTATTGAGGAATGGAAGTTTACGTAGAACCATGTACTGAATCATTTTTTCCTTGGGTTTTTTTGTACTGAGAACACTTTAGCTCACCTCCTCCCCATTTGTGATTTTAACCGGTGTCCCTCTTTAGGAACATCGACTTGATCTGATGGAGTTTGTGTTGTTTTTTTACCAATTAAATAATATAAGCTTTATTTTTGGCCTAGGTTGGTGACTATATTTTGGTGAAATCAAGACTTCCCACACAAACAGACGATGATTCTGTTCCCGAGTTTGATTACTGTTATGTTCCTGGGATCGTGCAAGTCACCCCATTGCGTCATAGGTCAGCAAGCAAGTGCTACACTGTTGTGCGATACAATGGATTTAAGGTATTCTATTTCGTTTTCTAATGGTTTTGTGTCTATATCTTAGCTATACGATCAGTATTGACATGCTTTCCAAAAACCAATAGAAGACATTTTGGCAGAAATGTCTGCTTTACCTGCTGTAGTCATTCTGCTATAGCCACCCCTAAGATATAGTTCAGCTTTCATATAGTTCAGCTTTCATTCAGTTTTTAATTCAAAACTGATAAATTGAATTCAACTTATATTGTATAATCATACCAGAGTCTTTTGAATCGATTAAAAAAAGTTTTAAAGTTGGGAAATTTTACTATGCTTGCAGTGGATACAGAACTTAACATGAAAATTTATCTTTTATCTTAATTGCAATTTGCTTTAGATCACCGTCCTTCGTAATGACATGATAAAGATCACTCGTTCACGTTTTATCTTCGCGTGCCGGTTCATAAGGGATGCAGATATCGCCACCCATAAAGCCTCGTGAGTACAATTCTATGTCTGCCATCTACCTACCATCAAACCTTTTCACTGTATCTGTTCTTCAGATGAATATTTCCTTATTTTCTTACATGGATAAGCTCTTGTGATTAATAAAATAAACTATCAATGTTTTATGCTCATTAAATCCTGTTTTTCTTTGGCTAAATATGATAATTTGGCTATAATTTTTGGAAATATATATCTTGTGTCAGATGCAAAAATTGTGGAATTAAATAAATAATAAATGAAAGATCTTGTGAATGAAAAGCGAACTACTCTTATCAAAGTGAAACAGGTAAATTTTGTATAGCTGTGCCATACAAAGACCAAATTTATCGATATGCTTCGAGATTCTGCTTCCACTACAGTCCTCGTTATTTTATCCCATGCCTAGGTCGCCAGTTGTTATATATCCATCGCCCGAGAAGATCCTTGAAGAACACCATTCCACAAGAGGTATCCATATATCTCCATATGTTGATCTCCATATGTTTGATATCAGGGTTGTATGTCCTGAAATGTCTCGAAAGTCATCAAATATTATATTTTTGTTACTGTTTGTCTTCTTTAAATTACACCAAAAGATACGTTTCGAGATAAAACTATCAAGTGAAGTTTGTATTTGTAAAATTTCTAGCAAACAATTTTTAACTTTTTTAAACCAAAGCTTCTTCGAAAGAATTATCCAACCACACAACTAATCCATTTCTGTTCAAATCACTCAGTAACACCTTGGTTTTTTAATACTGAAATTTTGAGCTAAAGCAGGAATCGCTATTGTTTTCTGATTTCTCCAATGTTTTAGCGTCTTCTGTTGCTTCATCTATCAACTCATCTGTTTCCGGCTCTTCTTCAAAATCTGGATCTTCAAAGTCATCGAAAGTGGACCAAATCAAAGATTCTCCACGCTCTTCACCTCGTAAGTCGTCAGGGAGTTCTAGCAGCAGCAACAGTAACTCTAAGAACTCGTCTAAGAACTCATCGAGAAGTGCGAGTCCAGTTATAACACCGCAGGGTACCCCTAGGTCTCTATCCCCCGTCAACGACGGTCCTACTGATGATGATAATAAGCAAGAGATGGAAGATAAAGTCATGACAATGCTGGAAGAATTTAAAAAGTCGATGGAAGATAAGTATCTTAAACAGTTGAACGATCTGGATGATGAAAAGAAGAGATTAGAAGAGCTACACGATGATCTTCTAAAACAGCAAGAAGATCATCGGAAGAGCAAAGCAGATATTGAAGAGCAGCAACGAAGATTGCAAGAGAAACAGCAGGAACTACTTCAAAGGCAGTTAGATCAGCAAAATGAGAACCAGAAGAGACTGCTTGAAGATCAGAACAGACTACATCAACAGCAGGAAGAGCTTCTGCGAAGGCAAAAGACCCAGCATGAGCAGCTTTTGCAGTCTCAGTTGAGCCAATCACGTTCACTGAATCTTAAGTATTTAGAGCTGGTCAGCAAACGGCCTACAAGTGTTAAAGACCAGGAAATGGAAACTGAAAATAACGCCAAGGACCAAGAAACAGAAACTGTTCACAATAGTGAAGATAAGCACACTGAAACAGAGCGTAGTGACTCGAGAGATTCGCAAACTTCACCGATGTCTTCGCGGAAAAATTCGATTGCGAACGCCGGGGAAGTTGACCAAAGCACGGAGCAAAAAGCAGAAGATTCAAGGTGTGTAGATGTAAACTTTGATTTGAAATTTCCATTAGATGTCAGTCAAAGGCAAGTTTCGTCAAGAATAAGCAGCTTTTCAGCTTCAAAAACAAACAACTTTCAGTAGTAAATTCAGTACTGTGATTACTGATCAGTTATCTGGGTGACGTGTTCTGTTGGTCTGTTTGGAAGTCCTATACGATTTCCTAATTGCTCTTACCGATTCTTTTTGCAGTGATGATCCGAAAGGCACTACTGAGAATGCGGATGCTGCGCCAGAGCTGACTATGTTTATTGGTAACGAGTCAGAGGCGGTGCTGCTTACTAAAGGAGATCAGGGGCTTTTATTTTGTACGTATGCAACAATATTTGTATCTAATGGGAGACTTGAAATCGATACGATAACCATAAACTATTACACAGTATTTTGTTATTAAGAAAATATTCCATTTTTAAGGAAAGAAAAAGTGTGATGTTCGCAAATAATAAATATACGATATTATGTAAACTAAACTAAATATTCTTTTTGCAAACGTTTTGAGGCCTTCATTTGCTACAAATTTCGCTGTAGCTTTTGCCAATATCAACACCTATAAATTCTAGAGACTTTTATGTGAGTAACATGACAGGTTGTAATAGTGCTCAACCACAACCTTCCAAAGAGCCCCTGTTTTACCGCAGCGTCTCCCATTTCTCTTTTTGAGTCAATTAAACAGAATTTCACCAGAGAATAGCTGAATTACCTTATGACGTCATCTTACGCTTTGATGAGAATGATGGTTACTCGGAAGTAGCACATGTTTCCTTTTGTATGTTATTTACTTCATTACTCACGATAGAAGACTCGGGAATATGTTGCAGAATCGCGTATTCACAGCTATATGCAATCTGTACGCTGCCATGTGATTGTGTCTCCACCTTGCAGTAAATTCCATAGCTTGATTGATGTCTAAGTTCAATTGTCGCGCTAAGAAATGGTCAAGCTTCTTCAGTTGTTTCGGATGATTGCATAATGGTCTCTACAAATAGGTCCCTGACCTTATTATCTGCTAATTTTATATATATGGCTTTGAAAATATGGCTTTACGAGCTTGATAGCAACTTGACCTCACTCATTTATCTGTCTCCTTTTCTCAGCTCGAAAGCCACCAGAAGAAGACCCAGCAGTCGTCGCGCAAGATATTCCTCAACCGCTCAAAACAGGAGAAGAGGTTTTGGCGAGATGGGCGGATGATGGCTGGTATTACAGAGGTAAGTGTTCTTTAACTGCTCTCACAATCGCTTTAGTACAGATCATATGAGACCTCAGAACGTAAATAAGATTTTCTCTTCTCCCCCTGTGATTTCTCCATAGTTTTGTTTATACCGATAAGAATTTATATTCACATTTCATTATTTATATTTCATATTTCATGTTTCATATCCTCATACTTTGTAGGGAGTCATTGGTAACGTTTTTTATAGGATAGCCCGGAATTATAACCAAGTTTTTCTCAGAATTGCACGTTCTCCTACCCACATCTACCTCTTCAATACTTCTCTAGAGCGATGCATGTGTAACTTTTTTACATGTTTCGTTTGACTAAAAGGAACCGTTAAGGAAGACTGCGGCAACGCCATATATGCGATTGAAGACAGTGTTGGTAACGTTGAGAAAATCGCTCGATGTGACGTCATAACTGATGAAGATGATGCGGACAATGTTGTCAAGGTATTTTTTGCTACAGATATATTTTTACTTCATTCACAAATTAATTGTTATGGTTGCATTTTCTTGCAAGATTGTGCAAGATCGAAATAGTTATGGAGCCCCTCATTTCAAATTTGCCAGATTAATTAGAATCTTTGGTGAAAAATCTCAGAGAATAGGCCAGCTTGCATCTTAGAAATTTGGCTCTTGTAAGGAATTATATTCCTTTTCTCTCATATTGAGGACCCGAAAGTACTACATTCCAGCATTCCAACATCCAAGTTTTTCAACATTCCAGTATTACAACATTCCCGTATTCTGACATTCAAGTATTTCGGCATTCCAGTATTCATACCGTCCAGTATTCCAGCATTCAAGTATTCCAGTATTACCGCATTGCCGTATTCCGACATTCCAGTATTTAAACATTTATGTATTCTGACGTTCCAGTATTCCATCCCTCTTGCATTCCTTATTCCTTTTTTAAGTATAGCCAGCATTAAGCTTATAAGAACATTTCAGGTTGAAGGGTCTAATGATTGTCTATCTAAGAATTTTCTTATTTATACATTCACGTTCAAAAAAGTATTGGGATACCTTCTATACAAGAACTATGGCGTTGCGTTGGATTCGCTTTTGCAACGGAAACTTGTTCAGATATAGGCAGTTTTTTTCAAATGACCTAGGCCTGTGTATCGCCAAAATTAAAGTTGAAAACACAAGCATTCGATTCCGACAATTTTCCTACGTATAAGGCCAAAAAATGGAAGCTAAATTTCTTACTGTTCTTGTGCTGAAAGACGTTTTACACAACGCTCTTTTTGTTGCACTCTTTGAGCAGCCGACAAATGAGGCAATTTCACGATAACTATTCGGGATTTTTTTCGCGGAAGGCAATGTTAAAGCGCTTCTTGTTGCTTAGTTCTTGATTTTTAAGAACTCCCATATTTTTTGGCATGCATAAATGTTTTTTAAATTTTTATGTACATAAAAGGCTTCGAAACATCAACAATATCTTGGGAAAATTTTATTTGTTTATTGACAAAATTTTTTTAAAAATGAATTGCATAAAATTTGTTCGAAATTTCGAAGTTGTCTCAATACTTCTTGAACGTTAGTGTAAATATGTTTGTTGTATCACACGAAAGCAACGTTTCGCTTCAAAGCGATTATGGTATATTGTTTTGGGTTTCTGAATAGTTTCCTTTGGATGGTATACGGAATTTTTGTTACAGAGCAGATTTTAACAAACAATGGTTTTGAAATACTGTCGGTAAGCGTCGAGCTTTTTGTAAAAACCTTCAAAAAACGTTTGAGTCTTTGTATTAGCATTGCTTCTTTCGATGATAACTGTTTATTATAGTGCCCAATAAGCTGCTTCTTTCATAACATCTTTGATACTTTATTTCAGACTGGGGATACTATTGTAGCTTTGCATCCAGGATATCCATACAGCTATGCACCAGGTGATTTATTGCACTTTTTGTAAAAACACCTATTGTAAAAGGGGGTTTCTTTCTTAGCGGGGTTATGCCCTAATGTCCGTGTATTGTGCCAACCTGAGAAATGAAGGTTGATGTTTTTTTCTTCTAAAAGAACAAGCTGTATCTTTATCTTTTCCGAGCCCTTCTTACCTTGGCTCCTTCTATCAAGCACAAACATTTCTTCCCCTTTGCTTTAAATGTGTTTAGACACTGACTTCTCTCGAGTTGTGGTATTTGTAAAAAGTATTAGATATCGATAAATATTTTCAAAACTAAAAATTCTGTGTTCATGTCTCCATTTGATTATCCATAAGCCCAGGTTATATTTTTATTATCCATCCAAAAGCGATTATTTGGCTTTAAAAGAAAGTGAAATTGGTTCGAATTATCGTGAGTTTGAAGTGTCAAAAATTCGAATTATCGAGAAGTTGAATTTATGTCTAATTAACCGAAACAGGGATGGTTATGAAGGAATTTGAAAAATCTGATTTAGATACTTACATTTCAACTTTATATATTTTGTTCGGTTGTAGCAAAATCAAAATGATTGTATTAGAATTTTACTTAGCTCTTTCCGTGGCTTTTTCTTTTAGGATAGCTTTTTATCGATCTCCTCACTTTCTGAAAAGCTAGGAGGGAAAGTGAGGTTTGTAACCACTGTGCATTACTACCCTCCGATCAATACCCCCACTAGACTTTTAAAAGAGCTTGAATTGTAATGAACAACGTGCTTTTCTGCTTTGCAGGAGTGGTTATGCAAAAATCCAGTGAAGCCTCGTTGAAAGTCAGATTCTACGATGGACAAGAGGTTAGTTGCATAAGACGCGGCGTTTTTCAGTTTTTGCATCATGCCTCTACATAGAAATATCAATTCAAAGCCCATACCAACAAAATAATTTTTCTTAAGAAATGTGTTTGCATTTGTGAAGATTATTTAGAAGTATGGTTTCTCGTTTAAAAGTGTGCTATTCTTTGTAACATAACGGCTTCTAAGCTACATATTCTTCACGGAGTTATTGCAATATCTTTATGCAATACTGCGTTAGAGTAATTATGCACCTTTTGTTGGACCTGGTCCAGGAGCATTGATTTGAGCCAATCCAAGATTTACCAAAGGCCCGTAAAATGCCCTGGAATAGCAAACTTTTTTGTAAATATAAGCAATGTTAAAGCCACTTTTGCACACATTTAAGTACGACTCCTCTAATGAGACAACTGTTGACGCCGATTCTCCTAACTGATCTAATCTCAAAGAAAGAAACAGATATTTCACTGAACAGGTGCTAAAATTTGTCAGAGGTACTATAAAGGGACCTTCTGAAATACTGTATAGGGACTGTATGATTTTCATTTTTGATTTAATATAATCAGTTTGCTTGTCTTATGTAGTCGATCAAATCGTAATTTTTTGTGTATTGTTCGTCTCATTTCTGATACCAGGCGGTTGTCTCAAGAGAAGAAATGTATTTACTGTCCGCTGAGAAATTCGAGCATGACTGTGCTTACATTGTTGCATGCGAAGATGGTCTTGTGGGTCAAGCAATAGTAGCAAGAAACGACGAAGATGGGCAATTTCATCTTGGTAGGCAATTATTTTCCAATTAAGTCAGTCGCAATGGAGGATTAAGGAATTTTACGTACAGTTGTCTATGTTTTTTGAATTAATCAAGTCGATCATCAAAGCCTGAAATGATCGTCAAAATTGCTTCCGCAAACTCATGCTACATTGTCACATCGGTTCAAATAAATTTCCGTTCCTTGAAATTTAAATGACGCGTGTATTTCTAGCTTATATCAATATACATCATGTGAACAGGCGTGTTGTAGACTTTCCCAAAGTCGCGGTGGCATATCTAAACTGCGGAGGAGACGATACTACGCCCTCCCAGTAGTTCGAGTGCCTTAAGGATTGTTGAGAAATGCATTAAACACATGACGTAACAGCGTAGATTACCAATTTTTGAAATATTAACCATTACCGAGGGCTGTCTATTCGAGATTCTTTTTACTGCTGCGCTACTCAATTGCTTGCCGTTATTGAATCATCCATAGCACAATTTGGCTCATTTGCATTTCTTCTAAAAGATGTTTCATTTTTATTTGTTCTATCCACTCAATCCATTGTATCAAATCAGCTGCGAAAGTGAACTGAATTTCTCTTTACTTTGTAGGTGCTGTACGAGAGCGTGTTAGTGGGCCAAGAACATATTTAGTTGAATGGGCAGACCAGAAACTACAGATTCAGGTATTTATAGTTATTAGTGTATCTTCTTCTGTTGGGGTTATTCCAACAAGCTCTATTTTAAATTTCTATTTTTGTATATGGTTTTATTGTTTTTAAGAAATTTTATACAGGCATTAATATTCCTTATTCTATTCCAATTTTTTTTGTTAAGAAATTGAGGTTTCCTGAGATTTCCGCCAAAGTTATCTTTTATATGCTAAGATGTAACGATGTAAAGACAGGTGTGGGTTATTCTATATTGTATTTTTTGAATGTTTGCACACAAGCACCTGCTCCAAAGATACTCGTAAGGTGATTCGAACGAATGAGGAAGACTGGCTTGTTAAAACGTAGGGAAACCCAGGGAATAATATTCCTGTATACGAGTAATTTGAAAACGTAAGGAATTTGAAAAGGTTTTTAGAGAGGCAGAGTTCAAATAATGAGGTAATGGAATTTTGGCACCATTTTTTTGAAAGTGGTCAAGAGAATGGTCTGGGCGCATTTGGGTTTCGTCATTCGTTCCACCTCTCTTTAATACGTTATTCAAAATTAGTATGAAGATCCTCCAATTTCAAGACAACTGAAGCGTAAATAAACTGACACAAGCATTTGTTTTTTTCAAGAATTACTCGTTCATATTTGGTGCACACACAAAAAGACGCCAATTCGAAGTTGGAGATTGCATTCTCGCAATTTCAGACACAGGTAAGATGATGCTGCTTTCAATTGTTCCTTGCTACATCTCGTTTTCAGTCAGAAAAACTATCCAGATTGATTTGAAATAGTTTGGAAGTTTAATGATGTTTCTACCATAAAGAGTAAGCACCATTGTTGCATTTACTAAACGCCTTGAACTTTCTCCTTTTATTTGATGCCTGTTGAGAAGGGTTGCCTTATTGTCTTAATGTAAGTGTTTATGCCAAGTCATAGCTAGACTGTTCAATCTTCTCTTGCTGTGCTTACAGAAATCATGGCTGGCTAGAGAATGCCCGCAGCTTTTGTTCAACAAGGCTTTCCACTTTTAAAAACAAAGTTAGCTTCTTAATGTCATTGGCCATTGGCTCCTACCTACCCACTTTCCTACTCAGGGAACGTGGACCACTTATTGCTTATTCTAGATCAGATATTTCAAAGTTTACGTTTTTGATTAAATTCTACTGTATTTTCCAGCTTCAGGTTTTTTGCTAGGCTAGCTTGAATGATTTCTTTCAAAAATCTCCTCGTATTTTTTCTAGAGGTTTTTCACTGATATCTTGATTCCAAACAGCTAGCAATTTATGTTTACAAAAAAGCCTGATACCCTTAGCCAGAATTTTATTGCATTTATAGCTGCTTGCAAATTTTCTCAAGGGAAAATCATATCTAGAATCTAGGATAAACAATGAAAGCACCACGTGGCTTTATCAATTTTCAGTCTACAATGAGTCCCTCGTATTTTGAATCCCCCCTCCCCAGAATCTCTCCATTTTTCATCCTTTTCTTTTAAGGAAGCCAGAACCAAGTAGGCATCTCCCCCTCTTAGGCATGTGTCCGGAGCATTTATATAGCTCTTTGTCCGGAACATTTTTATATGAAACATTCCGTGTGATTTAAAAATAAAGCCAACCAGGTTTTCACTTTTGACTACCTGGTAGAGAAAAGGGTCGTTAATTATAATCACAAATTGAAAGCTGCATGTTTTCTAGATTTAGCTTTACTTCTTATCTTGTCATTTCTTTTGAAATATGCTTGTTAGTGCCTAAATTTTTTTTTCTTATTTTGCAGCTACCTTCACCTATTTACCAGGAAAAGTGATCGAAGATAACGATGAAACACTTTGTGTCAAATTCTGCGATGGTAAAACGTAAGTTGAATTAGAAAATCTAGGTGCTTAGTGTCTTTGAAAACCTTTGTTAAATCCATGTCTACTTTTCCTATGGATTGGTTCCAATCAAATGTTTATGTTTAGAAAGTTGATTTTTCAAAAGAAATTGTATCTTTATAACATTAAACGGAATAGCTAAAACTGCTCATGAATTATTTTTAACAAAGTATATTTCATTTAATCAGGCTGTCTGACGTCGATCCTCTCCAATCCTATTGGATATCAGCTGATTATTACAAGATGGTATCAGAGTATTTTATGAAGCGACGATTTGCAGACCAAAACCAGGATGATAAAACAAAAGAAGCTGAGGCAGATTAGAGAAAATATATGCAGTATTCTAGATTTATAGCTCTGTGAAACAATTTTTTACCTTCACTGTGACGCTCGTAATTGTTATTAGCAGGGCCGTCGATAGCCACGCGGGGTCAAGGGGCAGCCAAAATGCTTGGGTATCTTCCTACCCAAAGCAATAAACCTAAAATGCGTTTAATATGGATTAAAAATGCATATTAGTTTCTTTATCAGCTTATTATTGGTATCTATATTCTTATGCATTTTTAAACTTTCTCATTACAGATATGATTAGTAATTACCATTTTATTAAGGGTCATAATTTAAATTGGGACAGTGTAATTACAAGCAAAACCCTTTTTATTTACGGACTTAGGAGCAATTGCCCCCTTTCCCCTCTCATTGAGCCTGTTATTCAAAGTAGCATCATACAATTAAAGTGCCATGCCTTTTTATTTTGACTTTTACGCCCTGTTGAAACTCTTTCAAAAACATAAAAAAGATCAATCACTATTTAATGATCATTAACATAAGGCATTAATCATCATAATTTGATATTCTTCTATACAAAATTCCCTGTTCGATTTCATTCTCCAAACTGAGCCAACCTTTCCTAGTCAAACATGTGTATCAACTTGGCCAGTACGCAGAGGAACTCAAATAACACGATACCGGGCTCTTATCCCACCATCTCACAGGAAATTTTATTTAAACACCCATACAATCTGGCTGAGTGTCAGCAAAGACCGAGATACAACTTTTTGTCTGAGGAGGGGGTCAGCTGATAAATAAGCGAAAAAACAGCCACATTTTACAAAACAAAGGTATTTTACCTATAAAATTTAAATTTTGGGGGGCACGCCCCCCCGGGCCCCCGGTATCTCGGAGTGTCAGTGAGGTTTTTTGAAAATTGTTCCATTAGATCTAGTATAAATTTTCTCCGATGCCTGGCCGATATTTCATTCCTAAGACGTTTTTTTCTTTTGAAATATTTGAAACAAAGATTTTGAACGTCTTGAACTCTGATATTTTAGTCCCACACAACTCCATGGAACATTTGAAACGGTCCATAGACTAACAATTCATCACATGGACGTAGGCGTAGGGACATAGGCCTACAGCACCCTTGGGAGGACTGCAGTACCCCTGACCGGGCAATTTTATCCCAAAGAAGCAATTATATTCGGGCAACATCCGTACCAAGCCCCCCCAAATGTTTAACATCCGCCACACCCATGTGTGTAATCCTATAAGAATCTTAAGATAACTCACTTCTGTTAACATACCAATCAGATCTGCCCTTGCTGCAATTATTTTTTCAGCGATGTTTAAGAATTGTATGATTCATAAGTGAATTCTTACTCTTGTACCAACATTAATGCGGCAAACCATGTATACTGGGGTTCTTTGCATTGTATGTCCTTACTGAAATGACTTGCACGTGTCTCATAAAAATAGAGAAGTGGCTCGATCCAATGCATACAATATCTTAGTTTTGGATTAACGTAAAAAATATATTAGCAACAGAAGCTTAATTTTGATTTCATTTGATTATAGATCTTGTAAATAGAAATTGAACATCTAATGCATTACATGCATTAGAATGCATGAAAGAGTATAGAATACTGGCTTAATGTTTTTTCTGTCTCCACTTTTTGAAATATTCAAGTGTTTGATGCGACCAGTTGATGAAATACTCTATAGCTGAATTCCGTTGGTTAATTTTGTTATAGTCCATCGTAAGATGCTAGTTATCATCCCTTGTTATAGTCCCTTCAGCAGCGATTTCGCCGCGAAATTCGCCTCGTAGAAATCAGCCTTAATGCCCTGGCCAAACCAGCGCAACATTTCATCCAACAAGTCCCAACAGTGTTGGCGGCTTTTGCGCATTGTTGGACATTGTCGGATGCTCGGATGCAGGGTTGGCCAGACCAGCGCAACATTTCATCCAACATTTGTTGATATACAACAACAGCAACAACAACCAGAGGCCTAACCCATTCACTCGAGATTCTGCTTTGACTTACTCCATGAGCCTCTGTTTCGCTACTGCCTCACTTGACGCTAAGTCTAGATTCTGCTAGGCAACTGAACATGGGGACTCGATTTAGAACAAAACGACAAGCGACAGCAGTGTTTTAGGTATATGTGAAATTTTGGATGATAGTGAAGAAGAGAATGTGAATGTTTGGCCTCCATTTTTGTGGTCTTTTCCTTTCTGCGCTTGCACGAACGTGATTTTGTTGTACAGGGTGGCCAAACCATCCCAAACATCACCCAACATCATCCAACATCGTCCAACATGGGTGGCCAAACCGGCCCAAAATTTATACCCAATATTGTTGGGACTTGTTGGACAAAATGTTGCGCAGGTTTGGCCGGGGCTTAAGCTTGATTTAATGAAATTTAAACACGTTTAATATGTGACAGGGTACGCCGTTTAGGTGCCCCTTTAGGCTTTTGTTTCGGACACAGATTGCACGATGGTGGAGTTTGTGTTAATTGTAGCAGTGCTTGAGTAAGCTTTACATTGTGTTATTTATACGGCTAAAGCAACAAGAGTGCAAGTGTGCATTGGCCTTGGGTATATAAACTTTGTCTTGGTATACTTTTATTCTCACACCTGCAAGATAACCTGAAGTTAAACGTAGAGAGGAAAGGTTTTTCCTTTGCGACCCTGCCCACCCTACCCATATCTAGGTATTTTCAGGTGTTTGCAGGCATGTTGAATTTATCTTTCTTTTCTTCGTTCATTAGTTTATGGCCGTATGGCTGGCAATTTTTGCATGAACAAGTATTGCTAGTCGGCGGAAGAAGGCCATCGTTCTTCTTCTCAACCCCCTCAAAAACGGTTGGGTTTTTATTTATGGCCGTCTTTGCGATTGGCGCAACGACAGCCCAAAAATAAATGGTCCAAATGATGAGAGAACGCCACCTTCAGTCTTATGATTGATAATTGGTAAAATATTCTGAGGACCATCTTATTCTTATTTGCTAACGGTTTTTGTTTGGTAACCTGGAACAAATATTAAAGACAGATTCTTTCAGAGAAATCGGTTGCAGAGGTTACCCAGGGGCAATGTACCACAGGCTATTTATGGATGAAACATTCTCAAAATGCAAATAAGACTCCACAAATAAGACTGGTAGCTGTTTCAACAATGTTTTTCACTATTTGCTTTTATTTAATTTTATTCATAATGATGCCAATTTGTTGAGGATTCGTGAACGTCTCTTTTCAAAAATGAGGCCACCAACAGCGTTTTTGTTGGAGCAGTGTGAACACTTACCGTATTCAAATCGTATTAATTTGAAAACGGATTAGTGTGAACGGACAGCGTTTTCATCAACGAAAACGGAGCGAAACGAATACGGAGCAGTGTGAACGTAAGCTAAGTTTCTGGTTGCACGCACTGATCTAAAAAAAACTGGATCGCGCATCCTATTGTTCTAAAAGTGCGGCCGCTGAGAAATCGCAGCGGCCATGCTCTTGTGACCACTTTTGCAGACTTGTGGTCTTGTTTACTACGAGGAAATGCCGGTTCGGACAAGTAAAGTCGAAGTTTCTGTCGTCAAATAGTGGCAAAGGTGGGTAAATCTAAATATATATGAGCGTAAAGGACCATCAAATTATTAAATGTTCCATTTTATGGAGGGTAAGGCATTTTGGTTCTCTATTTCTTGTTGCTTTACGGATAGCCTACACTTTTAGGCCTATTATTAGTAGGTGGATTGAAACTCGAAAACAGAAATCAAACTAAGGTAAATCTAAATAAACATTTTTCTTTCGTTGTTGGCACTCAAAAACAGTAATTAGACTGTTTCCTAAACTCAAGTCTCCACGGAGAGTCCAACGATGCAAATATATTTATTCGAATCAGCAGGCAAGTGACTATATGACTAGCTACCTTTTACTTATTTGATCAAATTAGAGCCGTAAATTGCCATGAAAAAGCCACGTAGCAGCGATAATTACATAGAATATAAGTAGCTTTTATATGTAAAAGTTAATTTTAGTTGTTTCTCTGATAGGATATAACCCCCAAAAACATCTTGGGAGCAACCCCAGTGTAGTACTAAGTTTCTTGTAGATAGAAAATATGTTTAATTTGTGTAGCTGCTCTTTCCAGACAAGTCTAGCCGTGATTTCAAACCTCTAACTTTTTGTGCCCCTCTACATTGTTTAAGCAATACATTTTACATTGAAATGATGTGATATGAAACATGCTTACATTCAAGTGAATCACCGCTTGTACTATGTTTGTGACTTATGTGACTTAGGACTAATTGAAGAGTGATATCATATTCCTCTGAAAAAATAAGCCTTAAAGAATATGCCTGGTTGTACTTTTGAATCAAAATTTTAATATTACCTCTGACAAAGCATTTCTTTATTTTGCAGAATAAAGTGCAATGGAATGGCTTGACAGCTATTGAGGGATACAATCATATATAGTTTACTGAGCTAGAACTTCATAAGTAACAGATATTACAATGAATAGTAATTAAAAGATTGTGACTTTGTTTCAAATGAATTTTAAGATTGTGATTTTAAAAATTTGAGGTTTTTGAATTTGTTATGTATACAGCTCTTTGAGAGATATTGAGAGATAAATCCTTCATATTTGAGAGATAAATCCTTCTGCCCTGAGACAAAAGCTATGAGTGACAACACTTTTATGAACTGAAGACTAATACGGTTCATAAAAAAGGCTTACTACAGCAAAACATTTGATTACATTGGTAATTTTGTTCCAGAAATAATCATAGATTACTGCATAAAGCTCACAAAATAAATTCATTTTACTGC